CATGGCATTATTGGAAAGTGATAAAGATTTAGAAGAGGGACCTAGGTGAAGTCACTGAGTCATAGTGCAGGACCTTTGGGACTGTATCTTGTCCCTGGTCCCTTCCACTTTGGCTTTCTCTGTTTCTCTTTGCTTTACTAAATGCCATGAACTATAACATATTTAGCCAAGGAACAATCTAATACAGTAAGGAAGTTGTACTCCCAGTATCTTAATTTCAAGTTGAGTTTTCTCAGATTTTGATAAAATTTGAGTAATAAGGGCTAGGTATGTAGCTCACTTGTGGACCATTTGACTAGCATTTATTAAATTCTGGATTCAATCGCTAGTACTGCCCCTCCCCATTTTCCCTAAAATTATATGAAAGCAAAGGAGCAGAATCTAAGCTTTTGTCATACAAAACCATACTAATTATGACTCTGGCACATAGGGAGATAAGTGTTAAGTAAAACAGAATAAAAAACCCCATGAATGGACCCCAAGCATATTCATTTATTTGTTTGTTTGTTTATTTTTTGGTCCTGGGGATCGAACTCACAACCTTGCACTTGCCAGACAGGCACTTGTGCCACTGAGGTAAACCCCATCCAGATGTATTTAAAGACTTGCCTGATATATGCTAAATATGAAGAGGGATGGACTTTACAGCAAATATTGACATTTATTAGTGTGAAATAAATATATTTTACTCTACATACAAGAATCAGTTCTCAAGTGGATTGAAGACAAAGAACAAATTTTGATTTATTTAAAAGTATTTTTGAAGTGGGGAAGGAGAGGGAGAGGTTAAGGTGCAATTAACACAAAACATAAAAGTAGGGCTGGGGATTTAGCTCAGCGTCTTAAGCGCCTGCCTTGCAAGCAGGCAGTCGTGAGTTCGATCCCTGGTACCGATAAAAAGGAAAAAGACAAAAAAACAAAAAAACAAAAACAAAAAAAAAAAACCCATAGAAGTATTAGGTACATTAATATTAAAATTTTGAACAAAAACCCTTTGTAAACTAGATTGACAAGTCATAGAAAAGGCTGTGTCCTGAAACTGAAAGGGAATGTACCTAGGATTTATAAAAGACATACAACTATCATAAATGGCTACTTTAATCTTCAGTATTAGATATGAATGCATACACAGAAATGGATGCCTTAGATAGACAGTGCATGTGAAATCTCACTGAAAAACTGGGAAGTACAAGGCAAAATCACAACAAAGCTAGGGATTTCGCTCAATGGCATAAGTGCTTGTCTGGCAAGCGCGAGGTCATGAGTTCGATCCCTGGTACCACCAAAAAAAATTTATTAAAAAAAAACAACAAAATGCCATTGTTTATGTTCACTAAGTTTTTTTTTTTTTTTTTTTTTTTTTTTTTTTTAACTAGGCATTGAATTCAGTGGCTTGCACTTGGTAGGCAGGCACTGTGCTACTGAACTATATTCCCAATCCAAAGTTTTTAAAAGTATATATGCAAAAGTCTAAATGTTGCCAAATGGAACTTAATTCACTTTGATGCGAGCATACATTTGTCAGACTATTTTGTATTTGTTTTTTTGTTTTGATACCCAGGATTGAGCTCACAACCTTGTGCTTACCAAGCAAGCACTTGAGCCACTGAGCTAAATCCCCGGCCTCTGTCGGACTTTTAAATAAATCAAAATTTGTTCTTTATTTGTCTTCAATCCACTTGAGAACTGATTCTTTTGTTTTTTTTTTTTTTTTGTTTTTTGTTTTTTTTTTTTTTGGTCTTTTTCATATCGGTACCAGGGATCGAACTCACGACTGCCTGCTTGCAAGGCAGGCGCTTATGCCGCTGAGCTAAATCCCCAGCCCCAAACTGATTCTTGTATATAGAGTAAGATATATATATTTCACACATGGATAAATGTCAATATTTGCTGAAAAGTCCATTCCTCTTCATATGTAGCGTTCAGGTAACATTAGATGATTTTAAAATGTCCTTTATTCGTAAAAAATATTGGGCCAGGTATGGTGGGACTACACCTGTAGTCCAAGGCATTCTGCAGCCTGGACAGGAAGGTCACAAGTTTGAGTCAAGACTGAGCAATTAAGCAATATATTGAGCATATGTTTTGGAGAGCAGTTTCTAAAATCTGCTCAATTTGTCAGTGTGCTTCAATAGTTTCAGTCCTAAACAAACTTGAATATCTGTACAGGGAACTCCATACAAAAATCTTTACTTTGGAGTTTTTAGTGAAGACTAGGAAACAACTTGCATGTCTATTGATAAAGATTTTAAAATTGTATCATATTTATAAAATGATTTTACTTGAAACTCTTGAAGTAAGTCAAACTTTATATATCTATATAATTAAATCTTTAAAAATATTAAATAAGCCAGGCAGGGTCCTGCATACCTGTAACCCAACACTCTAGAATGGTTGAGGCAGAAAAATTGCAAATTAGAGCCAAGCCTGGACAACATAATGATTTAACAAGCCCCTATTTCAGAATAAAAAATATTAAAAAGGCTGGAGAAGTTCAGTCTGTAGTACTGCAAAACAAAACAAATTATTGTATGAAAATTGAGACTAAAGATATATGCTGTTGAAATTTGAAAATATTCAGAATGTCAGTTATGAATGTATACACACTACCTGTAGAAATACACGTGTACACACACACACACACACACACACACACACACACACACACATAAAGTGATGATAAACTTCAAGGAGTAAGTTGTGTTTGGAAAAAATGAGGTCAAGGAAGGATATATGTAAGCTGTGTGTTGTGTATGTCTCTAATGCCAGCTCTTAGGAGGCTGAGACAGGAGGATTGCTGTTAGTTTGAGGGCAGCCAAGGCTACACAGCAAGGCCCTGTCTCAAAACAACAACACAGAACAAAAAAGGTAAGATAAACATAGTAATTATCTAACATTTGTTTAGTGAAACATTTATATATGCAAAAGGTGATTTTAAAAAATAATATATCTTTAGCATTCAGATAACATTTGATGATTTTAAAATGTCCTTTATTTAGTAAAAAATACTGGGCCAGGCATGGTGGGACCACACCTATAGTCCAAGGTATTCTGCAGCCTGGGATAGGAAGACCACAAGTTTGAGTCAAGACTGAGCAACTGAGCAAGACTTTATTTTAAAAGCAAAAAATAAAGAGGACTAGGCTGTAACTCATTGATTCCTGGATATAGCCCACAGTGCTACAGAAACAAAAACATTAATAACCCAAGCAATATACTCTTTAACTTTTTATTAGTACGTTTGCAGTATATAATGATTAATTCATCATAAAGAATTGGTACATGTGTGGGACATATCTTAATTCTTTTTAATCCCACCTCCACCCCATCTCTTGGTCCCCTTCCCATTTGCAAAACATCTATTTTCTTGTTGCTTATTAACTGTCTTTCATTTTGCTCTTTATATTTTGGGTTCCTCATATAAACCAATCCATGGGATATTTAAGCTTATGTGTCTGATTTATATTTCACTGAACATTTCAGTTTCAAGGTGCGTCCATTTTCCTAAAAATGACTCAAATTTATCCTGTATGGCAGAGTAGTACTCCAGCCAGCATTTGACACAAAATAATATGAATGACAAACTATACAGCTTCTTACTTTTTCTGCCCTTTTATCATTTACTAGTATGTTGTTGGTTGATCCAGTAGCCTAATATATGATATCATTATTCCTGGTAAACTCCGGGTTACCAGCTGTAGTACATATCATGTTACTATTCTTGGTGAAATATAAGCAACTGTTCATCACAAGATGTATTATAAGCCCAATTATTGTTTGAGCTAGTCACCTTCCTTCAGTGTGACAAAATACCTAAGATAAACATTTTAAAGGAGCAGGAATTTTTCAGCCCATAGTTCGAGGCATTTGAATCTGTGGTCATGTGCCTCTTGTTTTAGGGCCTGTGGACAAGGCATCACATAATGGTAGAAATTCATATGTAGATCAAGAAATCTGTTCACTTCAGGGAGGTGGAAAGGAAGAGAGAAAATAGGACCAAGATCCCAATACCACTATACAAGCATATCCCCAATGACCTGATGTCCCCCTATTAGTCCATATCAGTAAAAGGTTTCATTACCTCCTAAGAGCAGTACAGTTTATTTATCAAGCCTTTGGGAGCAGTTAAGATCTAGATGATCTAAATCATATGGATTTTGTGCATATCATCCATGTGGCATTTGAATAGTATGAATAGTGTATGTGTGTATGATGACATTTCTGTTAAATAGGATGTAATCAGAAATGACATATTTGACTGAAAATAAATGTGTAGTTGCTTGCTATTTGACTTAACTCCAAAATATGAAGAGAAGAAAATGGATTAAGTTATTATACAATGATTTTTACTGTTTGAGAACAAAGAAACCTATATTCTTTGAAGATTAATTCCAAACTTTAAGTCATTGCATTTTTTCTTTTTTCAGTATGTAACTAGATTAATTTTTAATTTTCTTTTTTTTGAATCAGATTTTATTAGTACTTTTTAGATCCATATAATGATCACATTCATTGTAGAGAATTTGTACATGTACATTTTTAACTTGATTTTTTCCCCATTCTCCAACCCTCCCTTCCACCTCTCTTCTTCCCATTTACAAAAATTTTATTCACACAAAAAAGCTTTGTTTCCATTTTTTCCTTTTCTCATTTTTTCTTTTACTTTTCCCTTCTTTCCTTTCCCCTTCTCCTCTTCCTTGTTCCCTCCCCATTTGAACATTTTTTTTCCTATTTCATAATACCTATTACACATTTTGGTCCTTACTTATACCAGAGACACAATGAGGTATTTACACATGTGTTCAGTGTATTTCATTTAAGAGTATGGTCTCAAGGTGTATCCATTTTCCTAGGAAGTCTTGAGCTTATTTTTCTTTGAGGCTGAGTAGTGCTCCATTGTATTAAAAGCTTTATCCATTCACCAATTGATGGGCATCTGGTTATTACAAACTGTGTTACTTGTAATTTTCTTCATTAAAATTTTTTTTTTTCTCATACAGTTGCGGTCTTGTAGTAAGAGTGAGTTGATAACAAAGAGTTCAGAGATTCTAATGATGTTTCAGCAAGTTCATCGAAAGCCCATGGCGTCCTTTGTTACTACTCCTGTTCCACCAGACTTTACCAGGTATGACAGTTCTCAAATATCATTTTCAAGTTTGTATGCAAAGATGTACATGTTTTCAAAGGAATAGGTTATTTTTCATAAGCTCTTTTTAAAGTGCTGTTTGTAACAATGTGATCTGGTGAGCTGTTTATTTTATGCATATAAATTTGGTCTCAAAGTTTGAAGGACTCAACTTTTGATGGTCAAAACAGTAAGACATTCTTGTAGCCCCAATTTTCATAGAAAAAACAGTTGACCTCTTTAAATTCATCAGTTTTTTTTTATTGTTCTGTTTATCTTGAATTAGCTCATGTCTTGTTAAATGAAACTCAGAAATGGGTGAGATGCCAAAAGAATTTGCAGTTGACATACCCCTAGGTCTTAAAAGATAGAGGGAATAATTATTGCAAAAAGTTGCAATCTGTGTGTCTTGCTAAGTTTTTTCTTGGACTGAATCTTTGAATTCTTCAGAATAGCATATTTTTTAAAAGCAAATTTCAAATTACAGTATAGTGTTTAGATTGGTTGTTCTTACCACTAGTACTAACACTTAGATTCTGTTTAAAATTGTCAATGCTAGATCATATACTTGAAGCCATTTGGAATGAAGTTTCTGTGTATGTATAAGTCTGCAGAGATGATGATGACCATAACAAAATACCACAGACAGGGTAACTTAAACCACAGAAACTTACTTTCTCAGAGTTTGACGTTTTTTTTTTTTTTAAAAGGACAGATTAGACACAACCTTGCTTTGTAGTACACGTGGGCCTTATGCATAGCACCTCTTGCCACCAGCACTTTATCACCATCACCTTGAGGTTGTGACAGAAATGTTCCTGTCTCGCCAAATGTTCTCTAAGGTCAAAATGTTGACAATAATTCCTGACTGGGAATAGGGTATGCTCTTGTTCCTCATAGATGTATTACTGAGGATCATGACCGCCCATAGTCCAATAAACAGAGGGACCAATTTAATGAGCAGCAAGGGAAGCCAGACTGTTTACATGCTTTCCTTCTTCCTTCTTTACTTCCTCCCTTCCTTTTTTCCTTTTTTGGTTTCTTGAAATGAGTCTCACTTTGGCCTTAACTCACTATGTTGTATAGGTTGGACTCAAACTCATGATGATCCTCCTGTCTTGGCCTCTTGAATGCTATGATTACAGACATGTGCCACTATACTGCTTAGCTCATATTTGCATCTCTGTAAGCACTGAGTGTTATTAAAATTCTAGGTACTTGCCATTACTAAGTTTGACTGAACTAAAAGTATTCATCAAGATCACAGGGCTGCTGCTTTGATAGTGTGATCAGACATTTGAGTTTTGAAGACAGCTTTTTGAACCAGGCTGTCACCAGTGGAATGAAACATAGATTTTATAATGTCATATGTAAAGATTAGTGTGTTCTTTTTTTTAATTTTTATTTTAAATGGGGTAAAATTAAACACAACAAAACAGAACAAAATAGAACATAAGAAAGCAATGTAAAAGATATAAATTTCAAAGCTAGACGACCTGAAATCTTCACTATCTATCATATTGTCTCTTGTTTTCTTCCAAATAGTTGTCCATGTCTTCTCATACAGAGAATTCTTACAAAACACATAGTATAAAACTGATCCAAACAGAATGAGGAAGGCATTCTAGGTCTTCCAAACCAGACTATAGTGAAGTCACTAATGGCTGTCATAGAGTCTCTCATTCTCTTCAAAGTAGCTCTCCATACTTTCATGTATATTGAAGTTCAACAAAAACAGGCCGGGGTGGAGGGTCGGGGTCGCTTGGTTTCCTGGTGGTCCAGGTCCCAGTAAACTGGGTGGCTCCTGTCCGGGGCCACTGGAGCCTGCCACGCTCACAGCCACTCACAGAGGGGCGGGGTGTTGCTTCAAGCTGTTTCATTCTAATGAATTGACCATTTCACTGCCCAAGTTCTGAAATGGCTATCAGACCATAGAAAGACATCTCTTTAGGCTCCTACTTGAAACCAACAGCATCAGGAAGCTGCCAGCCTTGATTCAGGGCCAGAGATTAGTGTGTTTCAGTTCACAGTGTGATACAATGATCGCCTGTATAAATTCTCATATCTACTTCACTAAAGTTTCTTGGGTTGGTAAAAATTCAACCTTTTTCTTCCTCCCTCTCCTCCTTTCTCTCTCTCTCTTCCTCACTCACTTGTAGTTACTTGTCAGGCAAACAATAATGCTTTCTACTTTGATAATCACATTGCCATGGGTAAAAAGCATTCTTCCTCCAGTAATGCCCATTCCCTGATTAAAAAATCTGAGTTTAATTCCAATTTTTATTGAAAACTGTTTACTGGTTATAGTATATGGAAAATAGGGTTCATCTATTGATGCATTGGCCAGCAAAAAACAGAGAGCCAGATAAGAAAAAACAGCATCATTAGGTTGAAAACCAAAGTTATTTTGACCCTTAATATCTGATAAAAATAGACTTAGAGCAAAAATAACATCAAAAGAAACACGCCACGCTGGATGTTAAGGATATGATATGTAGAAGAAACATCATACATACCATCAGGCAACTAGAAATTGGTTGGAGTCTTGGAACATTGGGGAAGATATTTTGAATTTGGTAAATAAACAGACTAACACATACATGACTGGAAATTACCAAAGATTATAATCTAAGCATGTTAGCTTTTTTATTAAATTTGAAGATTTCATTGAGAAGACTCTTTTAGAGATATGATTAAGTTTACAACTCCCATAAAGTTGCCCAGGCACTGATTGCATTGGTCCTGATAATTGGTGTTTGTGTATATTAAGTGCTAGAGAACATGCAATTGGGAGATGTTCGAGTATAACTGCATGGGTACATCACTTCTAAATCATAAATCTGTTAAGGAATAGGAAGATTGATTAGGCAAAAAGATCAGGGAAGAACTTCTAGTAATTGACTAAAGTTACGATAGTAGTGTATGACATAGTCAATCTGGATATTAACCTACAGGTAACATTTATAGGGCAGAGTATATCTACTTAATATAAAAGAGATATGATTTAGTTAAATAAAAAAAGATCTAATCCTATACTGTATTTCCACATAACAAACTACTACTAACTTAGGTACTATCATAGTGTGACAGTGATATTGATGTATCCTGCCTTATTTTGGCCAAAATTTGGGTGCAGTGAACTTTAGGAAATATAATTGAAGATGTGGTGAAATGGCTTTCAGTTTGTTGTGTTAAATTTATAACTTTAGATCAAAATTGACAGTACTGTGTATTACAACATTGTGTACAGTAGAGTATTACAAATGGTGCTTTAATGGCTTTTGAGGTGTTCTAATAACAGTACCACAGTCCATCTACTAATTAAACCCAATTAGCAGCAAAATAGATTGTCCCATAGCTCACGTAACAGTTTATGATTCAGTTCTCTTCAGAGGGATTACTTGAAACTAAAGTTGATTGTCTTGCCATGAAAGAGTTAATGTGTTAGTCCATCTCTGTTGCCCACTAAATGATTTTGTGTATCTTATAAAAAAACCATAGATTTACCGTAATATCTCATTTCACAAATGCTTCTCTTAGAAAACAATTCAGTTTTTAAAAGTATTTGACAAAAGTTTGCTTCCATTTCTGAACTCCACATTGGTTGACAAACATAAATGCGGTCATCTTGCCCCATGCATTCACAAATGAAACCATCTTGTCCCAAATCAGAAAACAAATGAAGTTTAAGGTACCACTGTATTTACTAGTAAATAGTCTGAAAGTACCTTAGGTCTGTTGATATACTCACTAACTTCTGAAAAAGAAAGTTTGGAGATTAACTATGAAATTGTTTTTAAACTTTTGCTATTGCTTTTTAGACCTTATAAATCTTTTTCCTTTACCTTTTAAGCCCATTTATATTTTGTTTCATAACTCATTCCTGTGCTAAGCATTGACTTTTTGCTATTTCCTAAACATCAGTATTTTGCTATTTCCATGAGTACTTTTCTAAGTCTCTTGCATTTGTTTTAATATTTAATCAGACATTGCCTTTTAAAAAATACGTGAAAAAATAATTGTTTTATCTGCAGTTGAATTGTGCATTTTGATGGTTTTATGAACTCTTAAGACCTAATGTTGCATTCCATAAGGGTTTGGAAATATTTCATAAGGACTAGTTTAAAATTTTCAAGATATTACTGAAAGGTTGTTTTCCAATCAGATTTTATTGGTAGATTTTAGAATGCATAATGATTGCATTCATCATGGAGAATTTGTACCTGTATGTGATATAGCTTGATCTTTTTTTCCTCATTCCCCTACCCTCTTATCAACCATATCCATTCCTCCCCTTCGTATTTACGAAAGATTTGTCTCTATTTTTTTCTTTCTCCCTGCCCCCCAATTCCCTTCCTTATTTGAACATTTTCTGTTTCACGGTGCCTGTTGTACGTTTTGGTCCTTACTTACAGTTTCAGCTATTCACACAGAGAAACAATGGTATTTGCACATGTGTCAGATTTATTTCTGACACACTGAAGAGTATGTTCTCAAAGCATATTCATTTATTAGAAATGTCTTGAGTATATGAAGGACATTTTTTTAAACTAAATGAACTATAAACCTTACATAAGCTAAATAATTTTTTTCCCTTTTGCTTATTTTTAGTGAATTAGTACCATCTTATGATTCAGCCACTTTTGTTTTAGAGAATTTCAGGTAAGACTTTTTGATGACTCTAGCTTTTTGGTACATATACATAAGGAAGAACCAGAAAGTTGTTATTCCTCGGTAGGCTAGAGATCTGTTGAATTGTATCACTCTTAAAAGAAAAAAGAAATACCAGAAAGTTTCCTTTTAGATATTTAAGGTGATCTTGTTTGTACAAGCTAAGTATTCCTTATCTGAAATCTTTGGTACTAGAAGTATTTGAGATTTCAGATTTTCAAATATTTGTATATACATAATGAAATGCCATAGTTAAAGATATCCAAGCCCAGAAACAAAATTCATGTAGTGTGTACATTTTATACATATAGCCTGAAAATAATTTCATATAGTGTTTTTAGTGCCCTTTCAATTTGTTTGTAGTTTTGTTGGTTTTTTGTTTTTATTTTTTTGAGATAGGGTCCAATGGAGTTCGGGCTGTCCTTGAACTCACTATGTAGACCAGGCAATCCTCTTGTGCTTGCCTTCCAAGGGGTGAGGTTATAGGCATACACCACCAACCTAACTAAATACTGCTTATTAAAGCAGGATTAATTTCAGGATAATTAGTGATACTTTCCTCCTGAATGTCACATTTTTAAGGGTGTTTTTGTTTTGCTTTGCTAAATGATTATTATTAAATTGTTTTCCCAATTTATAAGTATGTATAATCTTGTACAGTAAAAGCTTGACTGCCCTAGTCACCTTCTGTTAGTTGTTCAGTATTTTAAATACGTAATATATCCTGTTGCCATTTCACAACAGTTTTGGTCTTAGGATTTTGAGTGGTTTTCTTTTTCTTTAGCACTTTGCGCCAGAGAGCAGATCCTGTTTATAGTCCACCTCTTCAAGTTTCAGGACTTTGCTGGAGATTAAAAGTTTACCCAGTAAGTTTTTCATATTTCTAATAAATTTTGAAATCGAGGTCTTTCTTTCATGTTTCTACAGTTTACTAGTTCAACTTTTTAGTGCAGTAAGGAAACGAAGATAATGGTGATTTTGTTTCTTAATGGGCTATTTTACTTAATATGGAACAGTGGATTGTATATTAATAGTGTAAACTCTGATATATTATTAAATTTTATTTCCAGTTTGTGGAAATACACTTTTCATTAGAAAAATGTTTAAATTTCTTCTTTTAAAAGTCATTTTAAAAATTGTACAGAATCAGAAACTTAGAAAAAAACACATATATGCTGACTGTGTACTCTTGTGCATTTTAATATAATACTTTATGTATTATTTCTCGAATTGGCAGCTGAATCCAGAGACATGATGAAACTCAGTCCATTCCTATGGCAGGAATATAAGCAGTAATGCATTCTTTTATCAGACAAGGTGTAGTTGCATCTCTTTTGTGATATGAGCAGCTATTAATGCTCATTGTAGCTTGTAGTATTTGTTTCATTACCTTTTTTTTTTGTTTATTTGTTGTTTTCTTTCTTGGTACTTGTATAATGTGTGAGTTGTTTTGTTTTGCTATATTTTTATTTTAGTACTGGGAATTGACCCAGGCTCTTCAAATAAACTTATATCCCTACCCCTCTTCTATTTTTTATTTTGAGATAGAGTCTCACTAACTTGTCCAAGTCAGACTAGGCTTGAATTTTCCATTCTCCTGCCTCAGCCTCCCAGACTGCTGAAATTACTGGAATGTACCACCATGTCCCACATAGTCTCTAGTTTGAATTTGCTTAGCCTGTCTTTAACTATTTATCACTTGCTTGCTAAAAGCTGTTCTTTTCATTTTTTTATTAAATAAACTTTTTGAGATAGTATTTCATTGTGTTACATGGGGTGATCTTAAAGTCTTGAATACAAGCAGTCCTCTTACTTCAGCCTTATAAATGCTTTCATTTTAAAAATTTTCCTTTGATCACTTTTTTCTCAACATATAATTAATTCATTGTGTTTATTTGCTCTGTATTTCTTCTCGTTCAGTGTAATTTTTTAGAAAAGATTCATATTTTTTTAGTTCTTTTACCCAATTTCTGAGTTTCATAATTTTGATTTTTGCTATTCTTTCATGTTATTATTTTCTTAATGCCATTTAGGTTGCTTTGGAATGAGTTACAGTTTTGATTGGTTCTTTTTTTTTTTTTTTTGGGTAACGGGGATCAAACTCACAACCTAGTGCTTGCCAGGCAGGTGCTTCTGCCACTGAGCGAAGTCCCTGGTCCTTGATCGGGGCTTTCATTGTCTGTAGGGATAGCATTTTGTTCATTCATCTTTTATTTTGGTAATACATAATGTAAAATTCATCAGTAGCATAGGTATATTTATGTTGTTGTATGATCTTCAAAACTTCTTCATCTTGCAGAATAGAAACTGTGACTACTAAGTAGCTCTCTACTTTCTCCTCTCCCAGGCCCCTGGAATCCCTTATTCTGCATTGTTTCTGTGAGTTTGATTATTCTAAGTATTTAACTAGAATCCTACGTGTTTACCTTTATATGACTGACATCACTTAGGTTAGAGTTCATCGTAAAGGTTCATCTGCTTTTACACCATATTTATAGAATTTCCTTCCCTTTGTAAGGCTGAATAACATCTATTGTATGTGTATCACACATTCATTCATCTGTAAACAGACATTTGGGTTGCTTTTATCTATGGGATGCTATTAACATGAATGTGTATTCATCTCTTCAGTATCCTGCTTTGAGTTCTCTTTGAAAATATCCACAAATAGAATTACTGGATTTTGTGTTAATTCTGTTTTAAATTTTTTTGGGGAAAAATTCATTTTTTTATAGCATCTGTACTATTGTTTTATCTTACCATCATCAGTGCATGAGGATTTCAGTCTTTTTGCATTCTTTGCAATACTTTTTTTTGCATTTTGGCAGCAAGCCTTCTAATCCTTTATACTTATTGTGTGTGTATGTGTTTTTTTTTTTTTTTAAATGGTACCAGGGATCAAACTCACGACTGTGCGTTTGCAAGGCAGATTTACAGTGTTTTTAATTTGCATTTCCTAATAATTAGTATTGAGCATCTTTTTATGCTTATTGGCTATTCATATATCATTTTGCATAAAAGTCTTGTTTGTCTCCCTGGTTCTTTATATATTCTGAATATTAACTCCTTAAAAACTACCTCATTTGGGGCTGCAGATGTAGGTCAGTGGCAGGACAGTTGCCTTATGACAATCTGTAGGAAACCTTCCTCCTTCTGTTTTTGGCACACTCATTTCTACTGAAATTGAGTAGTTATTTATATTTTTTCTTTTCTTTTTTTTTTTCCAGTGACTAGTGTATAAAGAGTTCTGTGTATCTTAGAGCATTTTACATTTTCATAGTTAATAGTTTTCTTATATGCCTTGATCTTTTTACTTTTCCGTAATGCACAAAAGCTTAAAATTGTTAAACAAATCTGTTGATCCTTTTTATTTCATTTCTTTAAGGTTAGAAGTACTTTCCAAACTAATTATTGGGTGTTAATCTTCGTCTTGTCTTTATTTTTTGTATGTGACTTACTTATTTTAATTTAGATTGATCTGGAGTTTGTCATTGCATAATTGCTTACTGTTTTTTAGGATGGAAACGGAGTTGTGCGTGGTTACTACTTATCGGTGTTTCTGGAACTCTCAGCTGGCTTGCCTGAAACTTCGAAGTAAGAGGTGTAATTTAATAACATTCCTACTGTGCATTTATATATGTATCTCCCTGACAACTTTTGTCAGTTCTTGTATTTCCACTAAGATGTACAGTAAAATGGAATATTTGACATAGCATGATAGCATAGACTGAGTGGTTCTAAGAACTGTTTTTTCCTAGGACCTCAGTTACTCAGGAGGCCAAGACAGGAATCTCTTAAATTTAAGCCAAACTTGGGCAATTTAATGAAATCCTGTCTCAAAATTCTAAAACAGTAGGAAAGTTAGAACACAGTGTGGATGCCTTTGGTTCAGTCTCCAGTGCTAGCACCCCACCCCACAAAAAATTGAAAAAACATTGAAATTTGTGCATTTGTTGCATATTACATAAATGCCTTCATGAGAGTATTCTGTTCTGACAAAGACAGACATAATTTGTTGATTCACTTAACATTTCATTAAACCTAGAGATGGGTTCTGAATACTTTTTCATTAAATACTGAAATGTCATGGAATTTAGGGCTTACCAGTGGGGTAGGTTAACTAGTAAACTATGGAAGAAAAACTTAACTAATGGGCTAGTCAATTTTAATAGAAGTTGATACTACATAAATGCTTGTATAATTTCATTAACTGAAATGTTTTTAAAGGGATTCATCGGTATACATATATATAGTATTTCAGAGGAAATTTGCGCATGAAAGATGGACTTTTAACAATATTTGTGGTGTGAGTTTTATTTTTTATTTATTTATTTTTTTTGTCTTTTTCCTTTTTATTGGTACCAGGGACCGAACTCACGACTGCCTGCTTGCAAGGCAGGAGCTTATGCTGCTGAGCTAAATCCCCAGCCCCGTGAGTTTTATTTTGAAACAAAATCTTTGAATTGTTTAAGGAAGGAATAGGACTTTCCTTAGACAAGTTAACAGCCCTATTTTTTTTAAAGGAAAGGGTTTTAAATTGTCAAATTCAAATTTAAGGTTTTAGTTTAATGCTGGGATTGAGGAGGGGTGGAGCAAAGATGGTGGATAGATAACAGCTGGTTACAGAGGCTCCCTGAGATATTAGAATTCAACATAACACAGCATGGGGAGCCCTGAACAGAGGGAGATGAATTCTGTGGTCCCAAGAAGAAACTAAGGTGAGAAGAACCAATCAAACGTATAGTCGTGGTGCTATTATTGGAACAGCTAAAGGTTCAGTGCTCCCGCCACAGTGGATGACGTGCTGAGCCATCCGAGGTCCTGCCGCTTCTGCTCACTGGAAGTGCAGTCACACAGAAGTCGGGTCGGCCAGCCCAATGGAGAACTGAGCTGGCGGGGAGCCTGCATCAAACCTGTGGTGAGTGATGAGAGTTGAGCCATTCCACAGAAAGTGGGACAACATTCTGGGACCAGGTAGGACTGGCAAATATAAGGGGCAGCAGTGACTTTAGTCAGTTATTCCCTTCCCCAAAGGGATTGGTGGACTGAGCTAGGCTTGGGTTATGCGACTGAGCTGAGACCCCATAGGTTATCCGAGATCAATTCCTTGGTGACAGCGCACACTAACCACACTAATGCAGAGGTTTGACTGATCCGGAGGGAAGGGGCCAGCATACGCTGCCCCTGTTTGCAACTTGCCAGCACACTGCATTGGGAAGGGTCACCAAGCCAGCTTGCCTCAGAGGAATTTAACCAGCAAAGAAAGAAACTGGGGCCTCCTAGAAGAAACAAAAAAGATGGGAAGAGGAAGCAACAACAAAAACTCCCGGGGTCCCAACCCTGAGAACATTGACCCAGGACAGGTAAATACAAAGGAGAATGAGAACAGCAAACATGTAATATCAGACACAGCACCAGTGGACATAAAGAGGTATCTTTGGGACCTCATAGACGAGTTCAAAAGTGAAACATTTAGCCAAGTAAAGCAAGATATAAGAAAAAGAGATGCTAAGCACCCCTCAAGCAGACACAGATGGAAGAAAGGATGAACTCAAACAAAGGAGAAAACCATTTGATGAAGAATATAAAAAAATATAGAATACATGAAGCAGATTCAAAGAGATTACCAGGAAATTAAGAACTCTATGGAAAGATGGCAAATATGCTTGAAAGAAACTAAGGATAAATTGTCCAAACTGGAGGACAGGTTTGCAATGTGGGATTATGAAAGAAAAAGCTTTTTAAAAAGAAGTAGTAACAATACAAAGGCTAGAAGACAACAAGAGGATCTACAAGTTGAGAATAAAGGGTGTGAATGAAGAAGCAGGGGTACAAACAAAGGAACTACAAAGGCTATTCATAGATATAATTCAGGAAAACTTCCCAAACATAGGAAAAGGAAATGATATTCTGATGTATGAGACATACAGAACTCCAGCCACCTACAACCAAAACAGAGCTACACCCAGGCATATAATAGTCAAGATCCTAGAAATTCAATCTAAGAACAGAATATTAAAAGCTGTTAGAGACAAGAAACAGATAACTTATACAAGAAGGCCCATCAGAATTAACGGCAGACTTCTCAGCACAAACCATTAAGTCAAGAAGAGCCTGGAGTGAAATATTCCAAGCCCTGAAAGAAAATAATCTCCATCCCAGGCTGATATACCCTACTAAACTGTCTCTAGAAATTAATGGAGAAACAAAATGTTTCCAAGACAAAGAGGAACTTGGGAAATTTGCAACCACCAATCCAGCTCTACAGAGAATACTGCAGGGCATTCTAGAGAGAGAGAGAGAAAAGTACTAGTATTCCAGGAACAGAGGCAGAGAAGCCTCAATGAATGGAGCAGGAAACCGAATGAAGAAGATAAGCAGACAACTGATGGCAAAAAAAGAGCATAATGGAAATGAGGCAGAAAAGGTTGGTTATAATCTCTAATATAGATGGCCTTGATACCCTAAATTAAAAAATAAAAAAGAACCACATATGGAGTAGATCAGGAGGCAGAGTCCACTGAGATGCTATTTATAGGAAATATAATTAACATGAAAAAGAGTACATGGACTGAAAATCAAATATGAGAAAACAATGCTCTATGTGACCGAGAACCATACAGTAATAGGGACAACTAGACCAGTATTTGTGGATAGGTTGTAAAGACAGGCTTTAATAGGTAAGGGAACACAATTAGAGATCAAGTCCAGGAGAGAGAAGGTTCGGAACCACTTAGATAAAAAGCAGGTTGCCTCCCCACCCACTGTAAAACCAAGGGTCTTGGTGAGATCCAAAAATGCACAGTGTACCCTGGGGAAGTGAAAGGGGAGGGAGAGTCTTAAAAAAGATGGCAGAATATATTGTTAATGGTGTATCAGTATTTAAAACCCACATTACTCATACCACTCTGCTTAGATAGATTTTATTCTTTTTTTTTTTTTTTGATAAATTTTATTTTGTCCCAGTTGTCTACTTTCTTTAGATTTGAGGGCACAGACAGCTATTCCAGAAACATCAGGATATAGCACAGTAATCATCTTTAATTTCCTATTATCTTAATCTAGAGCCCTATATGACTTACACTGTTTTCTCATGACTGATCTTAGTTAAATCTGGTTTGTTTGATTGCTGTTTGGTATCGACAGATTTTATTCAAAACATATGATTGATAGTATCAAGTCTGAGAGTATAGGCAACTACACTGAAGATGACAGGACTCTACGATACACATTCGGGTTTGATAGTTGCCTGCTTTTGAAGTTTTATACTATATACAAAGTTGTGTTTTTATTAATACTGTTGTGTACTGATATATTCAATTGTACTATGTCTGATGATATCGCCATTTCTATTGAAGATAAGCGACAACACAAGGAACTATGATAGAACTCCTTATACAACGATGTTATATGTCTTTCTCGTTTCATGTTCTTATAGGAATATGTTTTGTTTTGTCTTGCTTTGCTTTGTTTCTCCCTCTAAGATAGAAAGGATAAAAATACATGTTAAGACTCATGCATGTGTAGAACCTATAAACAGTTTATGAGAACTGATCTTATGACACGTGATGAAATGAACAGATACTTTGAAGAAAAAGAGACATTAAAGTACCCAGTGCTGATCCTGGAGAGTCATAATGTGAAATCCTGCAATAGTACTATTCTTTGTTCAGAGTGATATTAGACTGCTTGGGTTTGTTCAGTCTCAACATAATTAAAGATATAGATAACTGCGTGTATTTTTAAGTGTATAGAATTGATACTATAACTAAGTTTTTGTTCAATAGTTGAACAAAACTGTTTGCAGTTTCACTGGTTGAATTCCCACTTTATATGTTCCACTTTTGTATCTTGAACAACTATTTGTAAAAGGACAGTATGTAAACATTAACTAGTGATTTCTTACTGTTTATTTTTTTTCTCTGAATGTATGTATTATTTCTACCCATTTTCTGTTTTGTTTAGTCTTTAACATTTAAAAAATTATTGGGGTTGAGATGCTATGTAAATCATATAATGTGGATTAGTTTCCTATATTTGTTAGAAGTGTTAGGTCTGTCTCTTATGACTTTAAAGAACTAATGAAAAGCCATGTTAGGTGGACCATGCTTATAGTCCTAGCACTCTGAAGAGTTGAAAGTTTGAGCCCTAAGTGGGTAGTTTAATGACTTAGGAATACCTTTTCTCAAAGTAAAAATTTTAAAGGACTGGATATGCAGCTCAGTAGGAAAGCCATGGGTTCAATTCTGAAAGAAAAACAAAAAACCAAAACAAAACAGAAAACTGGTCACTTTACTGTACTTCATCTTGATCTTGAGCATATTTCACTATTTGCGGTAATGTCTTTTTATCCTGGCTTTTAGTATTATTTTTCTGTCAGTTTGAGTTTTCACTATACTCATTTTAAAAATTTAAATAAAAATTCACTGTTTTGAAGTGAAATTGACAATAGCATAGTTAACCATTTTGAAATACACAATTCAAGGGATCTTAGTACAGTCATAATGTTATGCAATTGCATCTGTCTTTAATTTTAAAATGTTTTTTGTCAACCTAGAATACCCAACACTAGAATACTTGAATACTAGAATACTTGTTAAGTAAATGTTCTTTATTCCTTCTTTACTCCAATCCCTAAGCAAATTAGTTTCTGCCTCTCTGGACTTGACTAGCCTGCATATTGCCATAGGAGGCACAGAATGTGAAAGACTGGTGCCACTGGTAGTAAAAGAAATTACCAATAACCAAGGAATATAGAAAAGTTAGAAATATTGACATACTATAAGAAAGCAGCTTGCAAGTCCAAGAGAGGATCACACCAGTAGGGTGAAAGGTTGAAATTTTTATAAGGGTTTGAGGCGGTGAACAGGATATGGTATAATCAAAACAAGTATTAGGAAGGCTTTCTTTAGGTTCAGCATGCACTGTTTCTCTCATAGGAGCACTATTATGCTAATAGCTACACATTAAAGGAGCCAATTTGATGTAGTCACTACTTTGGTCTTCACAAAAGGCCCATAAAGCTGACAGTTAAGGGTAAACTGTGTGCATGAATGCTGAGAAGAGAGTCACAGGCCATTGGGAAGGAATATATATGTGTTTTCTACTTCTGAGGCATGCTTAGTGTACTTGTACATGTGGCTTAGCTGTGCAGAATGTGTCACCTTAGAGAAGCCTGATGGAGTCAGAGGCTGGGCTTACTGTACTGCACTGTCACTGTAGATTAACTTGCTTTCTGCCTGTTCAACCTCCACAGATATTTCATATAGCAGGTTATATGAGACTTTTTATTTTTGCTTTATTAACATCTTTTTATTGTTTTTTGTGTTCACCCGTGTTGAATCATGTATCAGAACTTATTGTTTGTATATACTGTACCATTTGTTTATCCATGTATGTCTTGTTAGGACATGTGGGTAATTTTTCACCTTTTGACTGTTACAAATAAAGTTACTATAAATATTTCTATTTATGGAGAGATTCTTTTGAATGTATGCTGAATAGAATTGCTGGTTTGTTTGATAATTCTGTATTTAAGTTTTTGAGAATCTGCTAAACTTTCTACAGTGGCTGCGTCATTTTATATTTTCATACAATAATATATAAAGGTTTTTATTTCCCTATGTTACTTGTTATTTTCCATTTTAATATAGTTTTTTTAGTGGATATGGAGTGGCATTTTGTTAAACTTTTAATTTGTCTGAGGATATAGCTCAACAGCATAGTGTCTGCCTGAGCAGTGCAAAATTCGATTCCTTGTACCAAAAAAAAAAAAAAAAAAGAAAAAGAAAACACTTTTTTTCATTTGCTTTCCTTAATGACCAATGAAGTTGAACATCTTTTCATATAATATGACGGAATCTCACTGTGTAGTTCAGGCTGCTTTGATTTAATTCATTATGTAGCCCAGGTTGGCTTCAAACGTATGTCAGTCCTCCTGCCTCAGCTTCCAAAGTGCTGGGATTACAGGTGTGCACCACCTTACTTGGTGTTCTTTTCATGTGTTTAGTTATTTCTGTATCTTATTTAGAGCGATGTTCACTTAAGTTTTTGCTCATTTATAAATTGGTTTATCTTTTTATTGCTCAATTACAAGAATTCTTTATATATTTTGTGTACTACACCTTTATCAGATGTATGACCTGAAAATAGTTCCATTTAGTATGTTGTCTTTTCACTTCTAGATTCCCTTTGTTACACCAAAATTTTAGACTCTATCTTCTTTACCTCCTTTTTTGTAGACTTGAAGTTTTCACATAGTAGAATGTGGGGATCAAAATACATTGACTTTTCCAATATACTTATCTTCTATTAAAGTTTTTTTTTTTTTTTTTTTTTTTTTTTTTTTGTCTTTTTCCTTTTTATTGGTACCAGGATCGAACTCACGACTGCCTGCTTTCAAAGCTGAGCTAAATCCCCAGCCCCAAAGATTTTGGTTTTATAGTGCTATACTAGGGATTGAACCAGGAGCTTTTGCACTGAGGTGCATCCCCCACCCTTTTTAAGTTTTGAGACAGTTAAGTTACCATAAAATTTTATGGCACTGGGTTCTGAATGCACAATGTTATTTTATTTTAACTTGTGTCAGAAAATTGATTACTTTGAAGTTCATATTTTTTAATTGCATGATGATTAACATCTAGTAGAAATAATATTCATATGTGAGGAAATGCATGGCACTGGTAAAACTAAAACAGCTTTGAAGTACTTGTTTATACAAATTTACTTATTATTTGAGGTGCTATTTTATTTCTGATGTATTGGTAAACTCTCCCCTGCTTCCCACTGGGCTGGTATCGGAGATTGATCCCAGGATCTTACATATGCTAGAAAAGTGCTCTTCTACTATCCTACATCCTTGTCTCTTTTTTTTTTTAAATTTTGAGACATGTTCTTACTAAGTGGCTCATGCTGGCTTTGTACTTATGATCTTGTCTCAGACTCGGGCAGCTGAGGGTATAGGTGGGCACATTGTTAAACAATTTTATGAAGAAAATAGGACCTAGTGTAAGTGATATTTTAGTGACACAGTCAAATAGTATTGGTTTCAGTCATACATGGTGACACATCCCTATCATCACAAGTTCAAGGCCAGGCCAGACATGATAAAATATAAAAAGGGCTATGGATGTAGCTTGGTATTAGAGCACTTGCTTGACGTGCACAAATCTTGGTTTGGTCTCCAGGCCTGCCTTTCCCAAAATGCTTTTTTGTAATTGATACTATTCCTTCTGAAAAGAAATTCAGCTATACTCATTAGATCAGGAAGTTTCTTCTTGAATATTTGATGATCTTAATGTTCTGATAATTTTTTTACTCTGTGCCAATATTCAATTTTTAAATTTTAGATATGAGTATCGTGTAGAGATGGTTCATCAGTCCTGCAGTGATCCTACCAAAAATATCATTCGAGAATTTGCATCTGACTTTGAAGTTGGAGAATGCTGGGGCTACAATAGATTTTTCCGTTTGGACTTACTTGCAAATGAAGGATATTTGAATCGGCAAAATGATACAGTAATTTTAAGGTAATAGGACATGCTTGATTTTAAAACTTCTATCATGGGAGAATAATGTCAAAACTTTATTTCAAAGTGTATTTGTTCAACAGAGGGGAATATTGAAATTCATAGTAACCATAATCTTACCAAGTTTCTTAACTGTTGAATTGTATGAGTTCCATATAGTCAAGTGGTTAAAAAATATTTGTTCAGCTGGGCATAGTGGCACACGCCTGTAATGCCAGCACTCAGGAGGCTGAGGCAGGAGGATTGCTGTGAGTTTGAGGTCAACCTGGGCTACAAAATGAGTTCAAGGCCAGCCTGAACTGCAGAGCAAGACCTTGTCTCTTTTTAAAAGACAAAAAAAAAAAAAAATTTTTTTTTTTTAAGATTTGGTTACTTAGTCCATTAAAAACAAAACAAAAAAATTATTAGAGGTTAAGAATCCTATTCCAGAGGATGCTCCAAAATACTCCAAAATTTTAAATAGTTTTAGCATTGACAAAATGTCACAAGTGGAATATTCCACCCCTGACTTCATGGAAGGGATCACAGTCATAATGCAACTGCACTGAAAATGTTATGTAAAAGTACATTTGGCCTACATTTATAACATATCCAGGAATAGTGAGAATGAGGATCAAACACTGTTTTTTCACAAGACAATACATACTACGTTTTGAGCGACTGGTTTCACAAACTTAACTTTTTAAAACTTCTCGTTTTTTTCTTTTTCTTTTGTCTTTTTGAGAAAGAGTTTCACTATTGCAGTTCATGCTGGCCTTGAATTCATTTTGTAGTTCATGCTGACCTCAAACTTGTAATGATCCTCCTGCCTCAGCCTTCCAAGTGCTGGGATTACAGGCATGTGCCACCATGCCCAGTCATATTTCTAATAGCAAATTACAAGTAAGGGGGTCAAGATGAAAATTGATGAAAACCAACAAGGAGAATTTGATACGTTACTGGCAATAACAAACTATCAACATGAGTTGTGAAACAGCAACCCCCTTAATTTAGGAGGACCTTTACATCTCATAAATTCTGGGCCATTATTATGTGATGCTTTTATTTAATGATGAAAATGAGATTTTTTTTTTTTGTAAAGGGAATTGAACTCAGGATCTCGTGTTGCCAGGCAGGCACTGTGTTATTGAGCTATATCCCCAGCCCCTTAAAGTGAGAATTTAAATATTTTGTTGTTGTTTGAGACAAGGTCTTGCTGTGTGACGTGGGTTCATGAACAGCAGTACAGGATTCCAAGCAAATTGATAAATTTGAAATTTAATTAGCTGAGCTCAGGACCACTCATATACAGACTCCCCTGTTTCAGACTCCAAACAATTGGTCCTGCACTAGAAAGTTACAGAGCTTTTAAAATAGAGAAGCACAAAAAGACATCCTGTTGGAAACAATTTAGCTAGAATCTTACATTAATTTTTGGTTGACACTTGCATCCTGCTTCTTTTGTTGAGCAGGTTAATTTTTCCCTTGTGGGTACAGCCCATTCTGCTTTTTTCATGAGATTTGTACCCTGAGTAATTTTCTATTCTTCTGAGTCAAATAAAGGACACTAATTAAATGCAGAGATCAAGATGACATCAGTTATGCCAAGCTACAACACTGTGTAGTTCCAACTGGTCTCAAAAGTTGTTATGTAGTGTTGGCTGATGCAGGAGGAACTCTGTGAGTTTGAGAACAACCTGAACTACATAACAAGAGTCTCTCAAAAAAATTTTTTTTTAAAAAATCATGTTTTATAGTCTTATTCCTCTTCTTACTATAGTCATAGCAATATTAGATCTTTATCTTGCCAATATAGAGAATTTGGCTCTCTGATGTCTCATATTTATTTAGGCCACCCTTGTTTAAAAGAAAGCCTTTACTTACAGACTCTGTATTAGTATAGAAATAATTTCTATTGTAATGCTTAATTATCCTTTACTCAGCGATATTTATAGTCACTGCTATATGCCTTACTGTGGCTTGAAAAAGGGATTAAGCCAGATACGATGATGCATGCCTTTAATCCCAGCTATTTGGGAGGCTGAGGCAGAGGATTGCAGTTTAACAAGACCATGTGTCAAAGTTTTAAAAGGACTGGGATGTAGCTCAGTGTTAAGAGCATTTGCCTAAAATACACATGGTCTTCCGTTCAACCCTAGTCCTATAAACAAATATAATTAAACTTGGTTTTTATCCTTAAGGAACTCAAGATGAAAGATGCAGATTAAAATAATGATATAAATAGAGTTTATAAAAAGAGAAGTGAGCTTTTAATTATGTTGTTACTCATAACCCTGATTTAATGATCACACAAAATTTGAGCCTCAATCCAAGGTTCTGTTGGAATTTTATATGTACCCAAGAATTATTTAAGGCCTCCTGTAACTTACATATGAATAAATATATATTTATTTTATTCTACCATTAAAAGAGAAAGAATTTATTTCTACTCTCCTGCATGAATATCCTTGACTGAAATTAGATATCTGCTGCTGTTACTTATTAAATTATCAGCATGTTCTTACATTAGGTCTAAAATCCTTAGAAAAATCAAATGATAGTTGTGTAGCTTTCTGTTCCTGTAACAAATACTTGAGATAATCAATTTAGAAAGAGAAAAGTTTTATTTTGACTCACAGTTTTTTTACTGACAGCAATCAGTTGACTGTTGCTTTGGGTCTGTGACAAGGCTACTAGTACATAGGGATAGAACTGCATGATGGAGCCAGGCATGGTAGCACATATCTATAATCTTAGCACTCAGGAGGCTGAGGCAGGAGGATCACTTTGAGTTCAAGGCCAGCCTCAATTACAAAGTGAGACCCTGACTCAAAAAAATAAAGAACTGGTCACTTAATGGCCAGTTTGTGAGAGACAAGAAGGGAAAGGAGCTGGGATTACACTATCCCCTTCAAGGGAATCCCCATAGTGATGCAAGCACCTCCCAGTAGACCATCCCAATAAATAAACCTTGAACACCTGGGCCTCTGAGGGACATTTAAGATCTAAACTATAGCAGTAGGTCAGAGTAGAAAGGTTGGGGATGGGAGTGACAAATTAAACTGAACTAAACTAATATTTTATGAATTTATAGTTGTAGGCTCAAGGTCAGATTGATCATATTTTATTATTGGATTGTTTTTCATGTGAAATTATGCTTTTAAGGTTTCAGGTACGTTCACCAACTTTTTTTCAAAAATGCCGGGACCAGCATTGGTATATCACACAGTTGGAAGCTGCACAGACCAGTTATATCCAACAAATAAATAATCTTAAAGAGGTAAAGAAGTAGTACTATTTCTGTTCTTTTCACTTGATACATTTGGTTTTAAATTTTTCATATTCACTCGTTTGTAATTTTGTAGGAAAAAAATCCTGCTTATGCAGTTCTCTATTTTTTTGTGTGTTTGCGTTGTGTACTATCCAGTTTAATAGTCATTCTGCATACTTGGCTGTGTTAAAAATAAAGATACTATTTCTTTGGTGCTTGTACATAAATTAGTGCTTACATTGGCATTACCAATGGAGAACATTTTCATTATCTCATGAAGTTGTATTGCACAGTCCTGTTTTAGTTTGAAATAAATTCTATTTTTCTCTCAGTGACTAACTTAATTTTATTCTACAAGCTGTCTTGGATTTAAAGATTTCATTTTGTTTTCTTTTGTTTTTTGGTATGGAGAATTGAACTCATGACGTTGCACTCACCAGGCAAGTACTTGAGCCACCTAGCTAAACCCCAGCCCTTGGATTTAAAGATTTTAAAACTATGGAATACTTGAAATTTCCCTATTTTGAACTCTCAGTGTTGTTGATTGACCACTAGAGTTGATCTGTTAATGAATTTTTATTTTACAATAGTGACAAAATTTTTTTTTTCTCCAGTGGAATTTAGGAAAAAGTAGAAGATTGAGTGGTAAAAAATAGTTAATAGACAAGCAAAGAAAATCTGAGTAAATGTGTATGTATGGAGATTTTCACATTATATGTACTATTTAAAACTACTGAAGCTCAGTGCCTGCCTGTGAAGTGCAATGTCCTGAGTTTGATTCCTAGGATTGGAGGGAATGGATCAGACTGCTAAAGCTGTTGGTCAATGGAAGAGCAATTGTCTAGTATTCATAAGATCCTGACTTCGATACTCACCTCTGCAAAAATCAAAAAGCTGACTGAATTTATTTGCTAATTGTATATATAGCTTGTGCTAGATATGATCATAAATAGGGAAGTTTATCTTTGTCATAGATTTTTTTTTTTTTTTTTGGTAAACAAAAGCCAGGAAAGGGTGAGGGACAAAGTTCAAGAAATAGTTTTAGGAACAGCTTTTTTTTCCTTGCTGTGCCAGTGAGGCACTTTTTATGACTAATGTTAATTTTTCTGTTCTTATTTTGAAAGAGACTTACAATTGAGCTGTCTCGAACTCAGAAATCAAGAGACTTGTCACCACCAGATAATCAGCTTAGCTCCCAAACTGATGACACACCTGAGACACGAGCTAAGAAGTCCGGGTCATGTTCTGACATGCTTCTTGAAAGTAGTCCTGCTACAGCTTGTATAAGAGAGACCAAGGAAGATGAAGAAGATGAGGAAAAGATTCAGAATGAAGATTATCATGTAATAATTGAGCCGGTTTTAGATTGATAACAGAAATGATAGAAATGGTGGTATCATGCTTTCTAACATGTAGGGTAAACAGTATATTTACAATATTGTCTACTGAGTTTCATTATTGAAGATCTTGTATAAATGTTAATGTTTTTGAATCATAAGTTGTTGAGTCAAAGCATTTCAAAGATCTAAATTTTAGTCCATTACAGAAAAGTATGTCGTCCTTGGAGCAAATTGTGTTGTACATTTTTAAAACTAAACTAATGTAATTGTGGATTTTAAAAATGTTACATTTTTATTCCCCAGGGTACTTTATGATTGCATATGCTGATAGAATGATTTGGAATTTGGGAGATTACCAGGTTTCATCCTAGCTAATCAATAACAAGAATAATAAATTAAGAATTTAATTTATTTAAGGATAATAATTTACTTAAATTACAGGCATGTGATGGTACATGCCTGTATTCCCAACAGTTTGCAAGGCTGAATCAGGAGGGTCACAAGTTTGAGCCTGACCTGAACAACTTACCAGTTAGGCAAGACCCATTCTCAAAGAGAAAAAGGGCTATGAATAAAATTCCTGCAGAGATCCCAGGTTTAGTCTCCAGGAATGCTCCCTCCTCCCAAAAGAAAAGTTTGTGACTTGTAGTTAATACGAATATATAGACAAGATTGTTTTGTACTTGTTATTTTTGAGATGAGAGACTTGCATTTATTTAATTACCTTGGGCAGTATAAAGGTTCAGTGGGTCTTGCATATGGTTTGAGTTAATACTATTTGAGCAACCTTACAAGAAGCTAATGTAGAATCTGGGAAGCATTTCCAGTTGCACTGAGAGCCTAGCTGAAATTGACCACCATATGTTTATAGTGACATGAGTCAGTGTGGTTGTGTGGTTGCGTGACTTTTCTCTAGGTAGTATTCATTGATGCTTACATCGTGGCCTAGCTTGGATGATCCAAGTGAAACATTTGGGATAGAAATCTTGTTTTTTGCCTTAATGTAGCATGAGCTTTCAGATGGAGATCTGGATCTGGATCTTGTTGGTGAAGATGAAGTAAATCATCTTGATGGTAGCAGTTCTTCTGCTAGTTCCACAGCAACAAGTAACACAGAAGAAAATGACATTGATGAAGAAACTATGTAAGTATCCCAAATTAGCTGCCATTATAAAATTACAAGCATTAACTGAGGCTTAAAAGTAGAAATAGCAGTTCTTTTACATCTCATATATAACCTTTAAAAATTTTTGTCAAGAGTATCCTTTGTCTGGTCCAGGATTTAATCCAAAATGTTATATATATATTGTTGTTATACATCTAATTAATTAATTAGTTAATTACTACTACACAGTTTAGGTTGGTCTTGAGTTCATTTTGTAGCCTAGGCTGATCTTGAACCCACAATGATTGTTCTGCCTCAGTGTCCCGAGCCTGGGATTACAAGCGTGTGCCACCACACCTGACTTGGTTGTTGTTTTGTTTTTTTGAGAGATGTTCTTGTTAAATTGACCAGGTTGGGCTCCAATTTGAGATACTTCTGCCTCAGTCTTCCACAGTACTTGTATTACAGGCATACACCACTGTGCCCAGATTGTAGTTATTTTCAATTTGACTGTTATGTTGCTAGGTTTTATTTCAAGATTATCCTGGGGAGTTGAATTTTATGTAAATAAAACTTCTTTCACACACCAAACCTTGCATCAAATTGACTTTTTAATCTTTTTTTTTTCTAACTGTGTTTTATTCTAACTTCAACTACTGTAATAGTTCAGTAATTATAATTCATAAAAATAACAGCACAGGTTGGTTCGTTCCTTTTATAGATGAGAAAATGAGCCTATAATCTGTTTGGATAATGATTAGCACCATCTTTTTAAACTGGAAAATATTCATCCTTTTTTTTTTTCTTGTCTTCGTGTAGTTTGTCTCTCCATAGTCTTTCTATGTTTTTTGTTTGTTTCTTTTTGTTTTGTTTTTTTGTGGTACTGGGGATTGAACTCATGACCTTGCACTTGCCAGGCAGGTGTTTATGCCACTGATCTAAATCCCCAGCCCTCCATAGTCTTTCTGTAAGTAGTGTTATGTGTATTTGTTTTGATACTTTTTTCTTTTTATTATGAGATAATTGTAGATTTACATGGGTTAAAAAAAATAATGCAAAGATTCCAATACACTTCACCCAGTTTTCCCTAAATTATAAAGTTGTAATAAAATATCATAATCAGTGGATTGACATTGATATAGTCAAGATATGAAGCATTTCCATCGCAGTCAGGTGTTGTGTTGGACACCTGTAATCATGGCACTTGGGACATGGCACTTGGGCTGAGACAGTAGGATCATTGTAAGTTTGAGGCCAGCATGGGCTACATAGTGAATTCAAGGACCGCCTTAACTACATAGCAAGATCCTTTCTCACCAGACAGAACAGCACAAATAAAACCTATTTTCATCACCATAATTTTTTTTTTTTGTCTTTTTTCACTTTATCGGTACCGGGTATCGAACTCACGACCACTTGCTTGCAAGGCAGGTGCTTATGCCGCTGAGCTAAATCCCCAGCCCCCCCATAATAATTCTTGTTAGTACTTTTTAATGGTTATACCTGCCTTCTTGCCACCTCAACCTTCCTGTTAGCCCATGGAAACCACCCATCTCTTCTGTAATTTTGTCCTTTAAACCATACTATGTAAATGGGATCATATAACCTTAAAACAGTGATGGCAAGGTCAGGATATAGCTTATAGGATATAGTAGCACAGCACCTGCCTGGCAAGTGTAAGGTTCTGAGCTTGATTCTCAGTACCAAAAAGAAAAAACCTGTGATACCAAACCTTTTAAAAACTAAGTGCCCACACATACCTGTAGTCCCAGCACTCGGGAGGCTGAGGCAGGAGAATCATTTTAGGTTTGAGACCACCCTGGGCTACAAAGTGAGCTCAAGGCCAACCTGAACTACGTAGTGAGACTGTCTTGAAAAGATACACACACAGAAAATAAAAAACAAAAGACCAAGTGCCCAAGTTGCAACCCCAAACTCACTTATTCACAGCAAAGGGCCAACACTGCAATTAAATCCAAATACTGAGTTTTAGTTTTAAAAAACAACTGTTGTCTGATGCTTGAGTGCTAGGGCAACTTGGCTCATATGTTGACAGAGAGGGCTCTTGGTGCCTGCTGCAACATGTGTGCCGTAAGTTCATTGCTATTGCCTTAAAGGATTGACTGTTTTCATTTAGCATAGTTCTCTGGAGATACATCCAGGTTATGGCATATGTAATTAGAATTAGTTCATCTCTTTTTTTTTTTTTTTTGGTACTGGGGATCAGACTTACGATCACATGCTTACCAGGCAGGCACTTAAACCACTGAGCTATACCAGGCCTACTAGTTCATTTCTTTTATTGTGGACTGGTGGCCTATATTAGTGGTGATGTACCTATGGCACATGTATCTCAGCAGACTATATTGCTGAAAGCTCTAAAAGGTTTGCCACCACTGGTCTATGTTGTCAGTGTGCTACAGTTGCTCAGCCATTCATTCATTAAAGGACACGTGGGATGCATAAAGGTTTTGGCATCATTTCTTTGGAATAAATGCAGCTGCTGGATTATATGGCATTTGCATCTGTAATTATTAAAGAAAATAGCGTTTTCTAGAATGACTACAGTATTTTCCATTCCCTTCTGCAATGTATGAGTGAGTAATTTTCTCTGATTCCTCACTTGGATTTAGTATTGTCACTATTTTTTAATTATTTTCTTGTGAAGAGATCCTTTGTTTGATTAAATTTATATTCCCCTAGTAACTAATGATACTTAGTATCTTTTTATTTGTTTAATTTAAAATGTCTTTGTCAATAAAATTTTGTGTTTTTGCCCATTTCTTTTTGGCTTTTTACCATTGAGAGTTTTTTTGCTGTTTGTAGTTTGTTTTTTTCTTTCCTCTTTTTGGCAGTATAGGGATTGAACCTAGGACCTAGGGCCTTCCAACTTAGCTATATATACAAGTCCTATTTTAAGTGCAATTCAGTGATCTTTAGTGCATTCATGTTATTATTATTACTATTTAACTAGAACTTTTTACAATCTTCTCTTTTTGTCCTCTTGTGACCCTGGCTAGACTTTTTTTTTTCCACGTCCAATTTATTCATAGATTAAAAAGAAAAAAAAAAAGAAGAAAATCTACAACAGAATTTTAAAGTATGTCAGTCGGTGGTAACAATAGTACATTGTACATTGTCATTCCCAAATCATACACCTAGAGCGCAAGGCATCTGCCTTCAGTTGTTTGAGCAATATCAGTACAAATCTTGTTCTTGAGCAAACTCAAAGAAATCAGTAGTAAACTATCGTTAACTATTTTTTATATACATATACATGTTTTTTCTTTCAGCTTGTCACATTAATGAAACAATATATTTACACGTGTCTTATTTCACTAATGAGTATGTTTTCAAGATGCATCCATTTACCTATAAAAATGTCCAGTTTATCATTCTTTATGGCTGAGTAGTACTCCATTGTATAAAAATTTATCCATCCCTCAGTTGGTGGTCATTTATTTTGTTTGCAAGATCTGGCTATTAATAAACTGTACTGGTATAAACATGGGTTTACATATTACTGTGGTTCAGTGTTTTTAATTCTTTTGTGAAGATACCCACAAGAGGAATAGCTGAGTTGAATAGGACTTCCAATCCTAGTTTTTTGAGGAATCTCTACATTGATTTCCACAGTGGTTGCACCAGTCTACATTCCCACCAACAGTGGAAATGGGTTCCTTTTTCCACACAGTCCTTCTAGCATTTGTTATTGATTGATTTCTTGATACTAACCATTCTTTCCAGCATGAGGTGGAATCTTAGTGTTGTTTTAATTTGCATCTCTCAAGTGACCAGTAATGCTGAACATTTTTTCACATATTTTCTACTTTTTGTATGTTCATGTCAGATGCCCATTTTTGGACTGGGTCTTTAAATCTGGAAGAACTGATTTTTTTGAGTTCTTTATATGTTCTTAATAGTAATCTTTTGTCTGAGGAATAGCTGGCAAACCTTTTCTCCCACATTGTGGGTTGTCTTTTCACTCTGTTGGTGGTTTCTCTTGCTATGCAAAAGCTTTTAGTAGGGTGAGATCCCTGTTGATTCTTGTGATGAGAAAAGAATCTCATCAATCTGCAATCTGAGTTTTTTATAAACTCTTTCCCTACACCAATGTTTGCAGAGTTTTACCTACTCTTATCTTCCAGCAGATTTAATGTTTCTGTTTTGATATTAAGATCTTTGATCCATTCTGAGTTTAGCTTAGTACATGGTGAAAGATATGGGTCCAATTTGAATCTTCAGTATGTATAAATCTAGTTTTTCTAGCACTGCTTATTAAAGAGGTGCTTGCTTTCTTCCAGTGAATGTGTTTGGCACCCTTGTCAAAGATAAGGTGATTAATTGTGTCTGCAGTTGTTTCTGCATCTTCTGTTCTATTCCATTGATCTTTGGGTCTGTTTTTGACAATACCACACTTTTTTTTTAATCACAGTAGCCTTATAGTATAATTTAAAGTTAGGGATTGTGATGCCTTCTGTCTTATCTTTGTTGCCCAGGGTTACTTTGCTATTCTAGGTCTTTTCTGGTTGCAGATGAATTTTGAGATTGTTTTCTCTAATTCTGTGAGATATGCTATTGGAATTTTGATTGAGATTACATTGAAGATATAACAGTTTGGAAGTATGGCCATTTTCACTATATTAATTTTTCTTACCCAAGAGCACAAGATACTTCTCCATTTTCTAATATCCTCTTTAGTCACTTTTTCAGAGTATGTAGTTTTCAGTATAGATGTCTTTTACATTCTTCGTTAGATTGTTACCTAGATATTCCATTTTTTTGGATGCTAATGTAAAGGGTATTATTTCCCTGCTTTTTCTCTCAGTGAGTTTGTTATTCTTGTATAAAAAGGCCACTTTGAGTGTTGACTTTGTAACCAGCTATGTTACTGAATTCACTTATTAAGTCTAGAAATCTTTTGGTTGGAGTTTTTCAGGTCTTCTAAGTACAGTATGATGTCACCTGCAAATAATGATAGTTTAACTTCTTCCTTTCCTATCTTTATTCTTTTTATTTTTTCTCTTCTCTTACTGCTCCCACTAAAGTTTCCAGGACTGTGTTGAGTAAGAGTGGAGACAGTGGACATCCTTGCCTTGTTCCTTATTTTAGAGTGAAAGCTTTCAGTTTTTGTCCATTTATTATGACATTGCCTGTCAATTTGTTATAGATAGCCTTTATCAGATTGAGATAAAGACCATTTATTCTAATTTTCTGTAGGGGTTTTAACATGAATGGGTGTTGGATTTGATCAAAAGCTTTTCTACATCTATTGAGATGATCATATGATTTTTGCCCTTGGCTCTGTTAATATGATATATTACATTTGTGGATTTACATATATTGAACAATCCCTGTATCCCTGGGATGAATCTACTTGATCATGATGTATAATCTTTTTTGATGATTGGCTGCAATCTGTTTGCAATCTTACTGAGGATGTTTGTATCAATGTTCATTAGGGAGATTGGCCTGTAATTTTCTTGCTGAGTTGAGTCTTTCTCTGGTTTTGGAGTCAGAGTAATGCTTGTTTCCAGGAATGAATTTGAGAGTATTGCTTCCCTTTCCATTTCATTAAAGAGTTTGTGAAGTAGTGGTGTTAGATCTTCACTAAATGTCTTATAGAATTCCGCAGTGAATCCATTGGGGTCTGGGATTTTCTTTGTTGATAGGTTTTTAATTATATCACTGATTTTATTTGTTGATACTGAGTTATTTAAGATTTTTATATCTACTTGATTCAGCTTTGGTGATTCATGTATATCTAGTAATCTGTCCATTTCTTCTATATTTTTCATCTTGTTAGAATACAAGTTTTCAAAGTAGCTGTAGATAAATTTCTGGATTTCTGCCAGATCTGTTGCCCTGTTTTTTTTTTTTTTTTTCTTTTTGTCTTTTTTGAGACGGGGTCTCATGCAGTTCAGCCTTAAGCTCACTTTGTAGCCCAGGCTAGTCTCGAACTTGCATTTTTTGCCCTTTTCATCCTAATCTCATGGATTTGAGTCTTCTCTTTTCCTTTTTTTGATAAAGTTGGCTAAGTGTTTGTCAGTTTTATTTAATCTTTCAAAGAACCAACTCTTCAATTCATTGATTCTTTGTATTTTTTAATAGAGTTTTTTTCTAATCAGAAAAAAGTAGCTGGGGGCAAAAGGAGAAATATTTATTTCTTTCCTCTCCCAAGTGTATAACTTCTCGGGAGCTATGAGAAGTGGGAAAGTCTAGAATGGAATTTCTTTTGGGGAGAATAACAGTTTTGGAAGTATGACCATATGGAGTGCTTTTTGGTTCAGGTGCCACAAATGCAAATTCTAACCGAATTTTAATATTTTTTTATTTTGGAAGTGGGAAGATAGATGTTTCTCCATTAACTGTCTCCTTAGGACTATTTTTAGAATCTTTAAATGGTTTTTGTCTTGGATTTTTTTATACTGCTGGGGATTGAACTAGAGGCATTGGGCATGAAAGGAAGCACTCTACTCAGCTATATTTCTAGCTCTGTTTTTCTTACCCTGGGATAATCACTCTCTTGAAATGTGAGTTTCTTGTCCCCTGTGTTGTGTTGTATTTTCTTTTGCTTTGCTTTGCTATGCTTTGTTTTGTTTGAGACGGATTTTACTCTGTAATTCAGGGTGGGTTTGAACTCAGTATGTAGCCCAGGCTGTCCTTGAACTCATAACCATCCTTTTGCTTCAGCCTCCCAAGTGCTGGATCATTCCCAGACCTCTAATCCTCTTAAGAGCAGGTCTTGCTCATTTGCCTAGGCTGCAGTCCCACTTGCCACAGCCTTTCAGGGTGCTGGAACTGCAATCATATGCCATTGCACCCAGCTTATAAATAGTTTAGTTGTTGTTGTTTTTGGTACTGGGGATGGAACTTACAACCTCGTGTTTGCCAGGCAGACACTTATGGTGCTGAGCTAAATCCCCATTCCCTATGCAAGTTTTTTTTAGAAATGTTTTTCATCAGTTTCACTTGAGAACAGTTCTACAGGTTTCTTTACACTGTCAAGCTGGAAGCGATCTTAAGATTTCTATAAATGTATAAAACTAGCATTGATTTGTATTCTTCAGAGTGTTACTTCTTAAAGCACTTAATTAGTAGTGAGTGATATTTTTTTGTTTTTAATATAGGACACTTTGTGAATCCTAATGGGAAGCAGCAACGTTTTTTTCTCAAGTTATTTTAATCATATGTAGTAATTTGTGGTTTTTTTTCTTAAATATTAAAATTCATTATTTAAGTTTAATTTTACTGTCATTGACACTTTAAAATTCTGCTTATTGTGGTTCTCAGATTTTCTGATTTAAGGTGTTGCTAACATATCTTCATGTTTTAAGAAGTTGCTTAAACATAAAGTACTTATATGTTTAATATTGATAAAAGTTTTTACTTGCAATTATCCTGTCTTCACAGGAGAAATCTGTGCACTATTACAAAATTTGCTTAAGTGGGGCAAATAAAAATGTTAATTACATTATTACATTACAACATAATGATAATGAATTTTTTTATCCTTAGGTCTGGAGAAAATGATGTAGAATATAACAACATGGAATTGGAAGAAGGAGAACTCATGGAAGATGCAGCTGCTTCAGGACCTCCAGGTATAGCAGCCAAGACCTGCAAGCCAATTTGTCTTATCTCTTTGCTCTTTTTTGGACCATACTTTAGTAGGTGGTAGTCACTGCTCTATGTAGTTTGTATTAAAAGTGCTATTTATTATAGTATGGCTTTTAGAGTAAGCATGTATACACTTCCAAATAGACCATAGGAAGACATTTTTGGTGAAAGGAAAAAAAAAATGGTTTTATTTAAAGCCATCTTTTGAGGAGATGGAGGGGACTTACATTGCCGTAGGTCACCTTTGCACTGTATCCAAGGACCTTCATAGTAAGAGACAGAAGAGCATGGGAATAAGGCTGTACATCATGCCAGGCTTGCTATATCTAGAGCAGAAGCTATCTTCTGCCCCCTTTTTTCTTGTGGAATGGGAATTGGAATTTTAATTCTTGGTTCCAAAATCTGTATATTCTTTACATTCCTCTGGGCTAAGGAGACGAAGAGGTAGCAGTCTATACCCTAGGCTTGAGAAAGGTTAGAGCCCAAGGAAGTTTGAAAAAGCCATTTGTGTCTAAAGAAAACATTGTAAGTTTTATCATTTCATGTTGCCCTGCAGGTTACAATCCTTTTTTCCTGTGGCACTTCCTCTATATACTGGGATAGGGGATCAGCCTGAAAGGCTTTGGGAAACCCTGCTCTGTGGCTTTGGTGGTCCAAGTCCAAGGGATTATTCTCACAGGTTGTATGTGGATATGTGTAGCTCTCTCATTCTGGGATCTCAAGAGCAGCAGTTCTCCTCTGATAGCACCAAGTAATTTCTGTTGCAGTTCCACCCTTCAGCAAGTTTCTATTCAGAATCCTGAAAATTTAAGCGGAAGCCACCACCCTCCATAGCTCTTACATTTGGACACTCTTCAGACTTAATACCTGTAGTGTGTGGGGCCCACTAAGGCATACCATTTGGATTCTCAAGCATATCATGAATCACACTTGAGTCCATGGTAGTATGGCTGAACATGGCACTAGGGCTCAGGGAGTAGAATCATAAGTGGCCCAGGTCAGCAAGCCCTTGAACATGTGATAGGAGACCTTGGTCCCATTGTCTTGATGATTAGCACCTGGCTACCTTTTATCTAAAATAATCTCTCCAGCAAGTGACAGCTGTGTTCTTTGTTGAGTACCCGTTTTAGCTCTTTTTATAGGCAGGTTGTAAATTTTCAAATCCTTACATTTTGCTTCCATCTTTATTATAAATTCTGTTTTTAGGTCATGCCTTTAGGTCATGCTCCTTAATCTTGATGTTCATGGATAAAAGTACCCATAAGGCTTCTACATATTGTTATTAAATTTTTTTCTCTGGGTAACCTAACTTACCACACTCACATTCTGTCTTTCATAAACTAGGATATGGACACAATTTTACATCATAATAAGAATGGTCTTTTCTACAGTTTCCAATAAGACATTCCTCATTTCTGTTTACTGTCCACATTTCTATCAGAATTCTGATTATGAGCATTTGTCCAGCCTCTAAGAGGTTCCAAACTTTCCTTTGTGTCCTTATCTTCTGAATCCTCACAAAGATCACAAGAAATGCGCTGTTTACATTATTTTCCATCTGCTTCTTCAAATTTTTCTAATCATTGTCCACTGCCTAGTTTGAAGTTATTGGTCCAGTAATAAACCCATTCTCAGTTTCAATTTTTTAAGTCCATCTTTTGTTGCCATAACAAAATGCTTGATTGAGACTGGGTGGTTTGTAAAGAAAAGAGGTTTATTATTAGGGTCACATTTCTAAGTTCCAAAAATGTGGTGCTACCATAATCTCTACTTGTGGTAAGTGCCTCATTGCAAATTGCAGGAGTGTGTACAAGAGTAGAAAATGAGCACATGTGAAGGAGACCAAAACATCAGATATAACTTGCATGGAACAACTCATAGTAATCCATTTTGAGGGACCTAACCCAGTTTCTCAAGAAAGACATAAATTTATTCATGAAAGTAGAACCCCTGTTATCTAATCATCTCTAAAATTCCTACATTTTTTATTTTTTGTATCTAAAATTCCTACAGTTTGTTTTTTGTTTCTTGAGCTCAGGACCTTCTGCTTGCCAGGCAAGTGCTGTGCCACTGACCTATATCGCTGGCCTGTTTACACTTTTTAGCAGTTATGTTTGGAATCAAATTTCAAGATAAGTTTTGGTGAGACTTTCAAACCCATTACCTTTTGCACTTAATGTGAACACTGGCTTGTTATTTTGCGTATTTGAATAATAAATAACTAAAAATCTCTTGCTTTAACATTTTTACTTTAGTCCCAAGCCCGTGTCCTCTTCTGCTTCTTACTTTATTGCCCAGTGATTTCATCCACACCTTTATTTTTGTTAGTATTCAAGTGCTGGTTTCTCTCCAACCACTATCTCTAAGGTTTCTGAGTTTCTGTTCACTCTTGGTTTAGAAATGCCAACTTAAAGTCATAATGAACTCCCACTGCATACTAACCATGATTATTAATATTGTACAAACTGGGCAGTACTAAGTGTTGAAAGCATATGGAGAGATGGAAACTCTTATACTGTGCTGGTGGGAATGAAAATTGATACTACTCTTTTGAAAAACCATTGCACAGTGTTTACCAAAATTGAAATATATCTGTCTATGACTATCATTTCTAGTAGAAATGTTGATCTATTGTTTGCCAGTAGATTTCTACAGGAATATTTAGAGCAGCATCATTCTTTTTTAGTTTTTTTATTTTTAAGGAAAACAAGGTAATTTACAACAAATTTAAGGGTGTGAATATGTAGGATATGAAAGTAAGACTAGACTGTAAGGCTATGAGATTTGTTCTAATACATGAACTTGAGTTGATTGATGTCAGTTTAGCAAGATTCATCTGGGTTGGCACAAGAGGAAAGGAACCTGTCACTGATCCATTTGCTTTTTTATGAGATGTTTTATTTTTCCATATGCACTTAAAGAATGGTTACTTGCTTATTTTTTAGTGGCTAGCTTGATTGATTGATTGAGCAATTAACTGGTTAATTGAGATAGGGTCTCTTTATGTAGTTTAGCTTGCCATTGAACTCACCTTGGAGCTCAGGCTGACCTCAAATGCAAAGTGATCCTCTCCTCTCTGCTTCTTGAGTGCTACGAATATTGGTATACACTACCACATCAGCCAATGGCCTTATTCTTTATAGCCAAAAACTAGAGGCAACCCGCATTCTTCCCAATAGAATAGAGAAATAAGTTGGATATATTCATATACTGAGATGAAAATGAATAAGCCACTGTTATAAGTCTAATGTGGAATAAGAAGCAGGGTATAAGAACATGTACTATCTCATTAAATTTGTATAAATTCAAAAAAGGCAAAACTATGGTGTTTTAAGTTAAGACCAGGATTACCATTAGGGAGTAGTAGTGATCAATTTTAGGAAATATAGTGGGGATTCTGGGATGCCAGTAATCTGTTTTTTCATCTTGTGGTTGGTTTGTAAATACTGATTAGGCTGTATACTTATGTATGAGACATACAGGTACATATGCACAGAATGGTGGCAACATTAACTCTTAAGAGAGAAACTGAAATAGATGCTAAGGCCATTAGTGTTTATCCTGGAAAATGATAGTAGAAGAAGAATGATCATGTAGGTGGAATAGCCAAAGTGTACAACCCCAAAGAAAGGAATTTTTGTTGAATGGTGAGAATGGTGGCCTAGAACAGTAGTGAGAACCAGGAAACTGCTAACTGCTCTTTGGACTTTAGGTGTGTTTAACCAGGAGACTGAGCAACTTCTATATTTAAAGGAGAACTAGGTATTCAGCAGTAGATACCATATCCCAGCATACAAAGTTTACTATACATTATAGCCACCTGTGGTTTATTGTACATTGTAAATACCTGAGTAGCTTTTTGGAAATAGATCCTCAATCCCACACCAGTATTCTTAACACATCTGCAGTAGATCCAGGAATATTTTAGTCTTTTCCAGCTAACTGATATATAGTCTACTTTGGGAACTTCTAGTAAAAGAAAAGGTAATAATTTCAGTGTGAAAAGGGGATAGTTTTCTGCAATTTAATGAGAGGGCTAGTGGACACAGAGACTGGGAAGAAAAACTGGCAGTGACATAAATTGGCAGCAGCATCATTAGAATGTCATTTCTTATCCTAAGAAAAAAGAACAGGACAGTTGAGGACAAAAGAATTTGAAAATAAGTGAAAAACATGCAAATTACTAATTGACCCAAAGCTTCTAAATAATAGAACTTTTCCCTGAAATTATTTTGGGCTGAACTTCTCATAAATACTTAACTTTCTCTCATACACACACACACACACACACACACACACACACACACACACACACACGTGTGGTTTTATGTTTTGTTTTGTTCTTAGGTGATAATAGGGGTTTAACCTGTGGTCTCTGCACTGAGCTGATTTATCTCCGGCGCCCTGCCCCTTCCTTTTTTTTTTTTTTTAATTTTATTTTGAAAGTGGTAAACTACAACAGAACAAGGCAGAATAAAGCCAACTAAGATCGTACAGTGAAATTGGTACAGAACTTCACAGCAGATTACCGGGATAACAGTAATAGGTATCACAGTATATTTTGTTATCTTTTTTTTTTTTTTTGTCTTTTTTCCTTTTTATCGGTACCAGGATCGAAGTCATGACTGCCTGCTTGCAAGGCTGGCGCTTATGCCGCTGAGCTAAATCCCCAGCCCCATATTTCGTTATCTTTATAATAGTTGTTCTTTCAATCATGTCTATCAAAATGAGATGAAATACAAAACATTATAGAACTTATCAAAAAATAATATTGAATAGGATCAGTACCATTAATTAGAATAGAGCAAAACAGTAATAAAAATATTTGCCTTCAAAGAGATGGTAGAAGGAAGTCCCCCTTATTTGCTATGGTCAACCTCACAGGAGACGCTCAGATTTCTGATTCCGATTTGTTAACGGGGGTGGGGGAGTGGGTGGGTGGGTGGGGTGGGAACACAGGAGAAGAGGGGTAGAGGAAGTGGGATATTTGACTCTAGGCCATGTAGCAGTAGGTTCACTATTGCTTAGCAGGGAGGCAGGCTGGTTGTTTGGTTTCACAGCGTCCTAAGTTCCAACATGGCGCGGATCTTAGGAGCTGCTGGTGGTTCTCCCCCTGGAAGGGCCGCAGTCTGCTACACCGCCACCGCTTACCAGGGAGGGGAGGTGCGTGCTTGGCCTGCCCGTTTCTTTTTTAACAAAAGTTCTCACTGAGTTGCACTAGCTGGGGTCAAACTTGCAATCCTCCTGTCTTAGGTTTCTAGACTGATAGGATTGTAGGAGTGTTTCACCATGCTTGACTGGACCTAATTGCATTATCTTTCTATTGTCTACTTTTGCTTCAGATTTTCTTGCATATGTAGTATTGTATATGTATGTATGTGTTCCTAGAACTTAAACACGTCCCCATCCATGACAAGCAAGCACTCTACCACTGATGTATGTGGCATTTTTTAAAGAGATGTGTCTCTTTAGAATGTATTTAAATCACATTATTGAGGATTAGTTTTAAGGAACATTTTCATACCTCATTGCCAGACATTATAATAATCACTAGAGAAAAGTCAGATGTTTTTCTTCACGTTAGGCACCAAGAAATACAAATATGTGTAATGTATAGATCATCAACAAATTTAGTTACATAACTTCAAATTGTACTCTCATGTTAAACCAAAAAAAGTCTACTAAATTGTCATTGAACATTTTGCCATCCAGAGACCTGGAGATAATTCTTACTTTGCTGTCTTGTTCTTTGGAATCTGTTACACCATGAGAATTTATCTTCTTTCATTTAAAACTCAGTTGTGTACATTGTACACATTTGTTGTCTTTTTATTTTTAGGGCTCCAAATGAGGTTAATGATTGCTTTTAAATTCTGAGTATTAATAAGACCACTGCTTAATCACTATGCTGTGGTATTTGTCTTTGTGCTTCTCGTCATGAGTATGAATTTCTAAGAGAAATGTATAGATAGTGTTCAGACAACATTAACCATGTTTGTTCTTTTATGCATACTTGAATTTGACAAATATACATTTTCTATGCCTTATTTTCTTTGCAGGTAGTAACCACGGGTATGTGGGTGCCGGCAGCCGATTGTCAAGAAGAGCACATTTATGCTCTGCTGCTACCAGTAGTTTATTAGACATTGATCCTTTAATTTTAATACATTTGTTGGACCTTAAGGACAGTAACAATATGGATAATTTGTGGGGCTTACAGCCTCACCCACCTGCCTCATTTTTGCCGCCCACAGGTAAAATAATTTCTTCTTTTCTCTTGTGCTGCAAAAGAACCATTTAATTTTCATCTAAGTAGAAACTATGTTTTTTTAGTGAGTAGTTTTTTCTTTGTGTGCCACAAGAATGACATAAGAACCGAATTACTTTTATACTATTGCCCAAAAGTATTATAGGCATAAACAATGCCTTTTAGGAGATTCTTAATGAGTTACCATTTATGTTGTCTAATTGATAGTTTAATTCCGTGGTGGTGAACTCCAGGGCATGTGTGCCACATCCAGCCCTTTGGATCACTGAAAGCTCTAGAAGGCTTGCCATCACTGGTTTAATCCATGTATAATTATAGTTGTCCTCTTTGTGAACAGGCTTAGAGTTTTTCAAACAGAGAAACTGTGTCTAAATTAAACATATAGAAACATCAGTTACTCATGCACTGGTATTTGTTAGAAATGCATGCCAGTTAGCAGCGGTGGTTAATATGCAAAAGTACATGTTAAAAGGAAATAGCTAGGTGTGGTAGTGCATGTCTGTAACTCTTAGCACTTGGGGAAGCTGAGGCAGAAAGATTGCTGCGAATTGGAGGCTAGCCTACGCTCCAACAGTGAGTTCAAGTCCAGCTTACACTACATAGCAAACCTTATCTTATAAAACAAATAAAAACAAGGTGAAGCTGTATATTAATCTGTACTTTCTGAGACCCTCAGAGATAGTTATTTTGAATACCTAAGAACTTAATATTACATTACGTTTTAAAAACTTTATTGATGTGTTCTAAAATATATTCAGTATATTAACAAAATATACTGCTTTACATATATGTACAATTTTGTTGTTCCTTTTTACCTACAAAATTTTAAGGTAGACCCTCTGTAGCAAACAGAAATAGAGTTGCTGTAGTAAGGACTGTATACTTGCAGAATGAAAGTAATGTGTGTGTCTGCCTGTCTGTCTTGTTTTCTGAGACAGGGTCTTACTGTGTACTTCAGACTGGTCTTGAACTCATTATGTAGTCCAAGATGGCCTCACACTCATGGGAGTTTTCCTGCCTCAGCCTCTAGATTGCTGGAATTATATGCATATACAACTATGTGTGGCCCACCAAAACTTGTTGAGTATTGACATGATGTTTAAATTCTTTGGGATTTTAATGTATTTCAGGATCTTTTGAAAGGATGCTCAACCTATTAGGTCTATACAAATGGGCCAAAATCTGAGACATTTTTGTTCCTAATCATTTGGGTCATTTTGGATAAAGATACTCACCTTATAATGCCAAAAGATTGGGGTACATTTGCAGTGGAGGCGGAAGATAAAGCTCCTTTTCAATAAGGCAGAATTGGATAATGTAGGGCGCTATGTGCCATGTCAGTTCTTCTTAAATGCTGCAGAATTCTATATGATGATTCTAAACAGAAAGTAATGTCTGGTTTGGGTTAGGAAAATTGCTCTGGTAGCAGCCAGGTGCTGCTATATATACCTGTAGTTCAAGCTACTCAGAGATTGAGGCAGCAGGGTTGCAAGTTCAAGGCCAACCTGGGCAACTTAGTGAAACCCTGTCTCAAAATAAAAATTAAAAAATGGCTTGGAATGTAGCTTAGTGATAAACCATTTGCCTAGCATGCACAAAAGAGAAAACAAAGAAAGATACCCACTCTGACATCTTGGTGGACTGTGGATCATATGGGAAAAATGCTGCATGGTTCTTTCACAAGCTTACTCTTCTGAGCCTAGCAACAATGCTTTTATTGTAAATTAGCAATTAGGCCAAACTTTTAAACTTTTGAAATTAAGTATGTAATTTAGAGTTGCATGATTTCCTTGTGATTCAAACTCCTAACTTTGAAGGTGCAAATAAAATTAGGACACTGGGGTTTGACTTGATTTTCATTAATGGAATTTAATTTTTTTTTTTAAATACCACCTAAAATACCTTAGCTTGTTTTACACATCTGTATATACTGATGATACAAAATAATGTCCTAAGTGTTGAAATTTATATTTACATGACTTCTTACTTCTCTTTGCAGCATCATATTGTCGAAAAGATAAAGACCAAAGGAAGCAACAGGCAATGTGGCGAGTGCCCTCTGATTTAAAGATGCTGAAAAGACTCAAAACTCAAATGGCTGAAGTTCGATGTATGACAACTGATGTAAAGAACACCCTTTCAGAAATAAAAAGCAATAGCACTGCTTCTGGAGACATGCAGACAACCCTTTTTTCTGCTGACCAGACAGCTCTCGCTGCATGCGGGACTGAACACTCTGGCAGATTACAAGATTTGGAAATGGAGCTCCTGGCAAAGTCATCAGTTGCTAGCTGTTACATAAGAAACTGTAAGTAAAAATGTTCTTATTATTGTTATTTTTTAACATATTATTTGGAAAACTAAAGATTGGTTGTTTTGAAGGTAATGTTTAAGTGACTCTCTTCCAATGAAATAAGACAACAGATACATGCAAGCTTTTTTTCTCTGAAATTGATTCTTTGTACTTCCTTTTATATAATAGAGCCAATGTTTTTTGGTGACTTCAGTGATTGGGACTTGAACCTAGTGACCTAGTGCCTTGGTACTGAACTAGCCCTTTTAATATTTTTCATTTTGAGACAGGCCTCACTTTAGTTGCTCAGGCTAATGTCAAATTTCAGATCCTCCTGCCTCAGCATCCCCGAGTACTAGGATTGCAAGTGTGTACCACCAAAAATGAATTTAAACTTTTAACATAACATGACACTGTCGAAGGAGTAAAAGGCAATCTGCACCTTGGAAAATATACTTGCAATCAAGTTCTTTGTGCTTATGTATCATATCCAGAAAAGCACTGCCAAAATCCAGTATCATGTATTCCTGGGTAGCAATGTACTTAATTCAAGCCAATCTGTTTAAATATACATTTACTTCTTTAGAGTTTCAGTTTTATTCATATAGATCTCTGTATTTTCTATTAAATTTACTACTGGATGTCACTTCTTGGATTTTTGGTTAAGATGAAGTGGGTTACTGGATATGTTATAAGGCTAGGTTGCTGGTGTGATTGGAATCTTCGTTTCCCCCAAATATTTTCTGATTATTTGTTACTGGCATATAGTAAAGGTACTGGTTTTTAATGTTTATCCTATGTTAACCAATTCATTGATTTTTTTTCTTAATCTGTAAAGAGTCTTACATTATTCTTAACTCATTTGAGTTTCAATTCTATGCCTTTTCAGAAAATCAAAAGCTTTTGTTCTTTTCTGTGCTGTAAATTACTTAAAACATATTGCCTTTTTACTTTATTAAAATTTATCAAGCCTCTAGTTTGGTAAAACTCATTTATAAACCCAACTCTGGTAGCTCTTTTCATATTCTTGTTTCACTTTAAGTTAGTTTCTTTTAACTGGTTTTCCAAGAAAGTTAGTTCATTTTATCAGGGCTTTAAGTTTATCAAGGTAAGGTCATGCTCTATGCTTTTTAAAAAAATTTTCAGCTGGGCACAGTGGTTTATAGCTATAGTCCCAGTTACTTAGGAGGCTGAAGCAGGAGAATTGCTTTAGCCAAGAATTCAAGACCAGCCTGGGAATATACCACAACACACAAAAACACATGTTAGAAGAAAGCTATGGGTGAAGAAGAGAGTTTGGAATCTGCATGAAATAGGCCTTGTTTGAAAAGGCTTTGTAGGTTGGCTGTCAACATTCACTACAGAGACTGAGGATTTAATATAATGGCTGAAAACACAGGAAGAACACTGTGGCCTCTGTGTCTACAAATATAGAGAATGTCTTATTTGATATGTCCAGTGAGCCTTGGGATTCTAAGAAGGATACCTAAATGGGGGCTGTGGGCCTCATCCCCCATCAGTTTTCAGCAGCAAGTCCAAGTAGATCAGCCAGCAATGAATGCAGTGTTTATGAGATCTCCTGTGAGGGCAAGGATTTAGAGGATGGCTTACCCACTGTCTGGAGGCTAGGACAGTCACTCTTCTGATGGTCCTTGAGATTGCAGAAGGGGCATTCTCTTGCCCAGCATCTTGGGCATGGTCTAGGAGCATGGTCTGGGAGGGGCTTAGGCAACTCCACCTTGTCTTGGTTTACCTGTCTTAGAGCTCCAAGTGTCACTGCTAAAAGATCAGATTGTTATTTTTTCCTTTTTGATTTTTATCTCTGTTGTTGAAAACACAAAAAGCCATATTAATAAGGTCTCCCATAAGGGGTTTGAGGACCAACTTTAGCCTTTTATCTTGTGATCTGGCTTACAGCAGGAGGTATCTGTCTCCTCCACGGTCACAAGATATCTGGTCCTCTGTGCTAGCTACTTTGAAGCCCTAGCCCTGACTGACTGCCTGTAATATTTTTAACTGCCTTGGTTGCCTGTAGCACTTTTCCTCTGAAGAAGTAACCCAAACTGCCGTGAGGGATAATGGGTGATGACCGATCTGGCTTATTTAGGCTGAAGGGGGTTGAAGTTGTTGAATGGCAGTTAGGGATACTTTGCAGAGCTTTTAATTAGTGGCCCTCAGTAGATAGCAGGCATTTTCATCGTGAGTAGGTGCACAGCTTTAAGTCTAGATGAGACAAAGGCAAAGAATCAAGTAAGTATGCAGGAGTCAAATAATAGAATCAATAGGATATTTATGAGTGTAATTTTAGTAATGGCTTCCCATAAGGAGAAAAAGGATAAGGTCCAGGGAATTTTAGAAACTGGCATGTCATTCATTTGTCATACAAACTTTTAGGTTTTATAATTTTATAAGTATCTCTTGTGCTGTTAAAATGTCTAATGTCATTTGATTTTGGAGGATGGCCTATTTCATTTACCTTTTTTATTTAGGAGAGAGCTTAGCTGCAGTGTCATTTAAGGCCAGTTGAATATAGTTAATTATGGCCTCAATATGCATCATATAACCTTTTTTTGGAAAAGATCTGGTAGATCTCAGTAAAAGGAATCTAAAAGGAATTTATAATTATCTCTTAATTTAAGTTATTGAACATCTAGAAGATTGAAGTACAGTGCAGTAGAGGCAGTAAGCTTAACAAAGAACATTAAATTAAAACTACTATTTTCGGGGCTGGGGATTTAGCTCAGCGGCGTAAGTGCCTGCCTTGCAAGCAGGCAGTCGTGAGTTCGATCTCTGGTATTGATAAAAAGGAAAAAGACAAAAAACAAAACAAAACTACTATTTTCTATTAACCATGAGTGTTTTAACATTTGAGCACTGAAGAAATTTGTGACATTGTTTGGACTGTTCAATATTTAAGCATCTCTAAGTATATACATTACATAAATTTTTGAAGGTGTGAATATACCATAAGATCAGCAACAATAAATTGTCTTAGCCATATGAACTTTAGTTGGGGTGTCTCCCATAAAGCTATGGAAATTATTAGGGCCTCTGATTAATGAATAAGAGCTGGTCAAGTTATCAGGTGGCCAGTTTCATATTCATCAATTGAAGTCTTATCCATTCTCTCCTCACCTCAAGGGATTTTGTTTACCCAGTTTTAGCATCATTTTGACCAACTGGTGGAAGCATGCTTTTTAAATCTGTAACACAAATAAACCTTGATTAAATGATCTGAAAATGCAAAAGAAGAGAAGAAAGATTGTTGAGCTCAAATAAAAAGGAGCAGCTGTCTACAGAGCAGACAAATGGACAAATGTAGATGATCTGTACCGTATAAACAGACTGGACAAACAGACAATGTATCTATAGACTGACAAACATCTTATAAAATCAGTGTGCAATCAAATATATTTGTTCAATTTGAAGTATAATAAAGACTAGTATGAACCTTTTTATAATAAATAGCTATGACTAAACTAAAAACTATAATAAATTAGTATGAAACTTTTTATAGATTAATAGAGATATGCTGAAACAAGAATAGCAGAATAGGAACCTAATTTATGGCTACTCTGAGATAGGTCAGCAAGGGGTAAAAAGAACATGAATATGAACTAGTCCCTCAGAACCAACCTGTTACTGAATCAGGAATAGGGACTGAGGCTGAGAGCAGTGGGAAAACAAAAATGCTACTTCAGAGAAAATGGTGGAACTGTAAGCAGCAGAGAAAATAGTCTCTCTAAGAGAAATAATCCAGATGTCAGAATATAGCATTGTGGGGGAGACAAGAAGGAAGGAAGGGGGTCCCCTGGACCCAGGAAGGACCTAAAGTGAAACTTGAAGCCCACGGAGAGAGTAAAAAGAAAAACTGAAACGAAGAAGGCAGTAGCTTGTGGTGCCTTCTCCTGGAGCTGTACCCACTGTGTGAGAGGAGCTGATGGAACCTGGGGACACATGGTCACAGTGACAGTAGTGGCTGGCAAGCCTGAAAGTCTATGCAAAGAGATGTGGTAGTGGAAGGAGGAGTGGATGCAGAGGACTACACTGGCTGGCAGTGAGTGAAGAGGGCTTAGTCCTCCCATAGGAGAGAACGATTGACCAGGAGCCATTTTGGAGTCAGGCAGGATAAGCCTGGAACCAGAACTACAGCCAGCTCCCTGCAGCAGCTCCTAGCTAGGAGCAGACAGGTGGAAATTGCTTGGACTGATCCCTGTCCCTGTGTGCATTCCAACAATCATCTCCTGATGTTATCCTAACCCTAACCAGCCTGGCATGGAGGCGGTGCATACTCTTGATAGCCATGGTAGGGGCTCCTACCTGTTACCTAACTCATTAGGGAGGTGCCCTGCCCTGCTGCTTGCACTCTGGCAACCATCGTCATAGATCCCTGCTGGTAACCAGCTAGGAGACAGCAGCCAACCCCACCCCAGTGTGCATTCCACCAGCCAACGCAAGCTGGGAAAAGCAGACAGCCTGCACCAGCGCACCCAATAATCACCATCAGATATTCACAGCCAGCACTGGCTGGAAGAACCACTCTCACTTTAGAGAAATTGTAGCTGATACAGGAAGTACCTGGGACTCCACTACCCACTTGTCTGAAAGAACCCAAGAATATGTCAAGACAAAGAAGCAAAAGGCAGTCTCTGGCCTCCAACCCTAGCAGAACGAGTCCAGGAGATGTAAACATAGAAGACATTGGGAGTCACAATTTCTGAAGTAATGGCAACTAAAGTAAAGAAACAAATTCATGAGGCTATAAAAGAAATTAGAACAGAAATACTATCTCAGGTAAAAGAAATAAAAAACATTAAAAAAAGATTATTAAGCACCTCTATAGATGACATAGATGGTAGAATAGAGGAGTATAGGAAAATGAGGGAGACCTTGAAAAAATATAAAAAAGAATATATGAAATAGATTCAAAGAGATTATCAGGAAATTAAAAACTCCATTTAAGGCTGGCAAAACTACTTGAAAGAAACTAAATATAGACTTTCAAACCTTGAAGACAGGTTTGCAGCTTGTGACCACAAAAGGAAAGATCTCTTAAAAATAACAAGGAACCAGGAAGTAACAATTCAATGACTGCACGACAACCAAAAGAAACATAACTTAATAATAATAAATGTGAGTGAAACAGCAGAGGTCAACACAAATGACATTAAAAGTCTGTTTACAGAAATAATTCAGAAAACTTCCCAAGCATAGGAAAAGGAAATGATTTACAGATAAGTGAAGCATATAGAACTCCAGCTAGACATAACCAAAATAAATCTACACCAGACATGTAATAATCAAGATCCCAGAAATTCAACACAAGAACAGAATATTAAAACCTGTTAGAGAAAAGAAACAGATCACCTTAAAGGAAAACCCATCAGAATTATAAGAGACTTCTCAACACAGACCATTTAATCAAGAAGAGCTTGAAGTATTTCAAGTCCAGAAAGAGAACAATTTCCAACCCAGATTAATATACCCTGCAAAACTATCTTTCAAAACTAATGGAGAGGGGCTGGGGATTTATTTAGCTCAGTGGCATAAGCGCCTGCTTTGCAAGCGCATGATTGTGAGTTCAATCCCTGGTACCAATTTAAAAAAAAAAAAAAACTAATGGAGAAACAAGATATTTCCATGACAAAGAACGACTGAAGAAATTCATGATGACCAAACCAGCCCTGCAAAAAATACTGAAGGATGTTCTAGAGAGAGATAAAAAATAGACCATGGTTCTGGGATCAGCAGCAGAGGGGCCTCACTGAGCAGGGCAGACAGGGAAATGGAGGAAAAGTAGACAACCAATGGCAGAAAAATAGCATGACAGAGACGAGGCAGTGCATGTTGGTCATAATGATTAATATAGATGGCCTCAATTCACCAATAAAAAGAAACACAGAGTGAATCAGGAGATAGGGTCTATCAATATGCTTTATAAAAGACACACATTTAACCCAAAAGAAAGTTCATAGTCTGAAAGTTAAAAGAGAGAAAACAGTGCTGTATATGACAAGGAACCAGAAAGAAGTGGGAATAGTTTGTCCATCAGCTGCAGACTTAAGAAAGCTGCAGGTTAAGAAAGTCATGGCAATTTTATACAATGGAAAGCTACTCAGCTAAAAAGAAAGATAGCTTTGAGGCTTTTGTAGGTAAATGGGTACAACCTGAGATCATGCTCATGGGTGAAATGGTTCAGAGTTACATGGGTGAATATAGTGTTGTCTCCCTAGTATAAAACCTAAAGTAGTTAGTGGGATCCAAAATGAACAATATATCTTGTGAAAGTGGAAGAGGAGGAAGTGTCTAAAAAGGGAAGGGAGTGGCCATTGTTAATCTGTTACCGAGATTTGAAACCTGTATTGTTTTTATTGTTCAGTTTAGTTTGGTTTTATTCTGTTTCAGTTTGTCTAATTTCGTTATATGTGATGTCATGGAAAACTATTTCAAAGATAACAAAATATATTATGGTAGCCATTTTTGATTCCCTATTAGCTTGTTTTGAACCCCTGTATTGCTTTCATGGTTTTGTGACTGATTTTGTTCTGTTTTGTTTAATTGTATCTTGATGGTATAGACAACTACTTTGAAGATAACAAGATGCATTGTGGTACCCATTGTGGTTTTACTATTATCTTATTTTGAAGTCCTGTACTGTTTCCATTGTTTTGTTTTTGTTGGTTTTATTCTGTACTATTTTGTTTGATTTTATTATGCCTGATGGTATGGGCAATTCTCTTGAAGATACCAAGAGGCATTATGGTAGCCATTATTGATTCCCTTATATCTTGTTTTAAAGTCATGTGCCATGTTCATTGTTTTGTTTTGATTGACTCTATTCTGTTTTATTTGGTTTGGTTTTATTCCCTTAAAACAAAATAAAAAATAAAAACAGTTTCTTGCAGGATAAGAATAAACCTTTGTTTAAGTAGTGAGTTTTATGTGACTAGATTATATTCCATAATGTTTCTAAATGTCTTTGCAGCCACAAATAAGAAGAGTAATTCACCCAAGCCAGCTTGGTCCAGTATAGCAGGTAGTCTATCACTTCGAAGAGCAGTGGACTCTGGAGAAAATAATCGTTCAAAAGGAGACTGTCAGACATTGTTTGAAGGTAAATTTGAGGCATTCAGAATATAGTTTTGGTGAGTAAATGTCAGTTATTGGAAATTGATATTGAAGTATATTTTTAAGACTGCAAAAAATCACTGAAAATGCTAAAGTTCTACTTGTAGTTTCACCAATGGAACAGACCCTGGATTCCTTCGGTTTTAAATGCCTGGCTTAAAAAAGATTGGTATTTACATTTTAAAATATATTTAAATTTTTAAGTTTTTATTTGGTTTAAAAAATATATATTTTTTTAAATACATATATTAAAAAATATATATATTGAGAATTTGAGATGTCAAATATATATGTTGAGGAATTTCTGATGTCATCAAAAGAAAACTTTCATATTTTCTTTTATGGATATTCTTCTTTCTTTTCTGAAGGCTCTCCAGGAAGTTCTCAGTCTGGAAGTAGGCACAGTTCTCCCCGAGGCTTGACACATGGCATTGTGAGCGATATCCTGCCCAAAACTGAAGACCGACAGTGTAAAGTTTTGGACTCAGATGCAATTGTGGTGGCAGTTTTCAATGGTTTACCTTCTGTTGAAAAAAGAAGGAAAATGATAACCTTGGGGTACATAAAATTCTTTTATTGTTTGGAATATTAAATCTATATCATAATGAACAAATGATTTTCTGCTTTGTTAATGTTTTCAAGGGTGGAATATTTATTTATTGTATTGAAATTAAATTTTTTTTAAATGTAAATTTTTAAACTATTGGAGACTCCACTTTTTTTTTTTTTTAAATTGGGATGAGATTGTGCCAGAAATTGAGGTTAAATGTGTTCAAGTTCATTTTCTCAGAAATTAGGATAACAATGATGTATATAACCTGTGCATATTCTACCTTGTGAGATTTCTTGTTTTTTTGTGTGTGTGTTTTTGTTTTTATTTTTATTTTATTTGGAACTAGGATTCAAACTTAGGACCTTGTGCTTGCCAAGCAGGCGCTTGTGCAACTGAGCTAAATCCCTAGCCCTTTGTGTTTTTGTTTTTAATCTGTCCTATACCTTTCAAAGACATTTGTGCTGGGCTGTGTTACAGTGTGTCATATATATTTTATATGGAACAAAGTACTTCTAACAATATTAGTTTACCACTGATTTTCTGCTTTTGCTCTTATGAAAGCATGCTCAAAATTCATAGTTGGGCTTTCTCAAAGGATATATGTTAGTTGACACGTTTATATCTCTCCTAGGAACATAAATTCAGATACGTAACCCATGTCAATTAAACTTCAAAAGTGAGAGTAATAGCAGAATGTATTGTCTTTTTTTTTTTTTACATTTTTTTAAATCTTTTTATTGGTACCGGGGATCAAACTCACGACTGCTTGCTTGCAAGTCAGGTGCTTATGCCTCTGAGCTAACTCCCCAGCCCCCAGAATGTATTGTCTTTGGATATGCTAGATAAGCCATAAATTTCCTTCTGCTGATCTTGCTTCTGAATATTAAATGCCTTTCTATGTTTAAATAGTAGAATAGTTCTACATTGAAGACTTTGAAAACTTTGAATTAATAGAGAAACCTTGACATCCCTTAAGTTTACTTAATTTCATATAGCTTTTTTTGGCTTTGTTTCTAGTACTGGGGTTGAACCTGAGGGTCTTCATGCTGAGCTATGTGGCCCCAGGCCTTTTTTATTTTTTATTTTCAGACACAGTCTTAATCAGTCACTAAATTTCAAGCCTGGTGTCGAACTTGGAATCCTCTTGCCTCTACCTCTCAGAGTGCTAGGTTTTCAGGGATTTGCTACCAAATTTCATATAGTTTTAAGGCTTGTGATTACTAGATCTAAATAATCAGCTGGTAGTTTACCAGATCTGAACAGTCAGCTGGTAGTTTAGTTTTTGTTTTAGTTCATTTTTCACTGGTAGAAAGGTGTGAAAATCACTGGGGATTATTTTGTCTTTCCTATTACCCAGCCTGATAAGTGTACATGTTCCTTTCATGTTAAAGCTGCAATTAGCTTTTATATTTGGTGGCTTTTAATTTTTATTTCTATTTTTTGTTTTATGATTACCACTGTATACTATTTTATCACTATTTTACTATGATTTCAAATTTTATTAGTGCATGTTTGTGGTATATAATGATTACATTCATCATGGGGGAATTGGTGCATGCTTGTAACATCTTAATTCTTATGTCCCCTCCTATTCTCTTCCTTCCATTTCTAAATATATTTTATTCGTTATAGAAATATTTTTGTCTGCCTTTAGTCATAAATATTAAATGTATATGAATGTATTTTTTTCCTTAGAGTATAAAATCTCAATATCTGCAGTTCCTTTGTGTAATTATTTTGCATTTAAAAGTATCTGGTGGCCTGTTTTATATGATTGCTTTCTTGCTCATGTCTTTTTTTCTACTTGATTTTAAATAGTATAGGCGAAAAGTTTACTAAATGGTTCAGAATGAAAAGGGAAAAAATACTAAGTGTAAATTTCCCCATCCTTTAATAGGCCTTGTTTTCCAATTTCCTGCTGTTCTTAATTATCTTTCTGTCCTTAATTTTTTAATGTATGTTATCTTCTCACTTTTATTATATTTAAGCACCTGTGATGTTTAACTTAACACAAAAGTGCCTTGTTTTCCCACTCAATGCATTTCTAAATTCTTTTCTATTAATGAGAACATACTATTGAGAAGTCTTATTTACTTTGTAATTGAAGTTTTTGATAATCATAGATTTTACACAATTATAAAAAATAATAAGATCCTTCACGTCTTATACTGTTTTTGCTAATGATAAAATTGAACAAAATCATTGTTATATACAATATAACAAGTAGGAATTGACACTGATACAGTCTACAAACTCATAATCTTTCATTGTGAATCTTTAGTGACATTTTGAAAATAAAATTTGAAGTTTAGTATTCAAGTTGGCTTGGGGCTCAATGTCAGGACAAGAAAACATAGATTATTGTGTCACTTTGTAGTTATAAAAACACTGAGTTATTTTCTTCCTATTTCAGGACTAATGCTAAAGGAAATCATCTGGAAGGAATGCCAATAACTGATTTGGAGAATAATTCTGAACCTGGAGAGTTACAGGCTATACTTCCTGAAGGAGCTTTGGCTGCCCCTGAGGAAGGTGAGGAATGATAGATCATATTAAGTTGAAGTCAAGAATATTACCCTTGTTTTGCTGGTGGGTATCAGTAGGAAGTGATTGGTTTAGTAAACATTTTACTGAGCTCTTATTTGACACAGCCTGATCTGAACACAGCATTTGTTGTGCCATTGATTTTGATTTTATTAGGACATCAAACACAGAGGAAGGCAAAATGGACAGCATGGACATAAAAGGACATGTCAGTGGCCTAGAAGAGCCATTTATGAGGGGAAAAGTCTCCATGTTGTTCGTCTGCTTAGTTGATAAATGTAATTAGTTACCTACATGGTAGACATTTTATTTTTACTAGATATGCAAGATGACTTAAATATGTTCAGTCTTATAAGGAAGATGTGCACCAGGTTCGGATTCCTGAACCTCCAGAGTCTTTACTAAGATACTAAGTACATTCCTAGCCCTTGTCTTGATGAGTTGCTAAATTCCCATGACTTAGTCTTCAGTATTAATTCTATAAAGTGTGTTCTTTCTCTTAGAGAAGCATTTTAAGTTTTAACCATTTTAAATTTCCCTTTGCTGACCAGCTTCAACTGTATCAAATTATTCTGAGTTACTTGTTTCTTTTATAATTATTGTTTCTTCCACGTATTTTTTCAGGTTCAATATTCTTTTTTTTTCTTTCTTGGGAATCGAACTCAAGACCTCGCACTTGCCAGGCAGGCATGTAAGCCACTGAGCTAAATCCCCGGTTCAATATTCTTTAATAGCATAAAAGACATGTATTATTTTGGGGAAATAGAAGGTGTTTAAAATGAGACTAGGTCTGTTGACTGCTGTGTCCATTATATACTAGCTGGAAGGAATATTAATGTTTTTGACATTTAATACTGAAAGTTTTTACAATTCTCAGTGAAACTCTGCCATCTTCTTTCTCTGCACTCATTGCATTTCAGTAGTTGATGAATTATAGCTCAAAGCGTAACTATGTACAGGTGCCCTGTGCAAGAGTATGTGGGTAATGATGGTGTTTTCAGGCTTTCAATTAAAGAACACTAAAGGTGTTCCTGCAGTGCATAACATTATTTCAGAAGAAGAGAGTAAATGGGAAAGATTTTTAAAATGATGTGTTGATTGTTAAAACATTAAAAAATGTTATAACTGATTATAGAAAGTACTTGTGGGGATTGGTTGCTTTCCTTGTGTTTATACATACCCATTGTAAATTATAGTGGATAAATTCTTATAGCTTGTGTTGGACTTAAATGCTGATCTTTTTCATGCGTTATTTATTAAATGCTTCTAATTTACCTCATAACATGTTTGATGCTGGTGATTTCTATACCTCAAACTTGCTGAGTTTCTCTGGTGCCACTGCCATTTTGGACCTCCTAATTTATCACAAGGAGGCTATTCCTCTGCATCATTGTATGCTTAGCATCAGTCTTAGTGTTTTTTGGTTTGTTTGTTTGTTTGTTTCTGGCTTTTGGGTTTTTGGGGTTCTTTTTTTTTTGGTACTAGGGATTAAATTCATGACCTTGCACTTGCCAGTCAGGCGCTTGTGCCACTAAGCTAAATACCTGGCCCTATCAGCCTGAGTTTTAACTACTAGGTTCCTGTAACTGGGGGTAAGTACTGCTAACCAGAATGTCTTCAGAAATCATCTCCACTGAAGCACCACTGGTGAAACTGAATCACTTACCAGAGTGAGCCACAGTTACTGGTGAGAGCAAGTTGTTACCTCTCAGGTATGCTGGATGTATGGATGGTGGTAGGAGGAGGAGAAGAAAGAACAATTAAAAACCACTGGTTAAGTGTTAGACTAGTTAATAGCATTTCATTATACACTAATAGTGTGTACTGCTATGCAAAGTTGTCTAGAGAAGCTCAAGATGAGGTATATAATAATAATAGAAAATATTTACTAAGTTTTCACTATGTTCTTCATAGTGAAAGACTTTATTAGTCTTATTTATAGCTAAAAGACTTTACTAGTATTATTATTTTACATTCTGAGTACAACTGTATATGATACCGTAATACTTTGATTTTACCTGTGAAGACCAGAGATGTAGCCTACCTTGACCAAAGTCACAGAATCAATGGAGGGCCTAAAATTCAAACCTGAAGTTAGTGCTCTTAATTTTTATTTCTACTGACCTAGTCTCTAGTCCACCTTTGGAAAGCTCATCTAAAGGGATAAGTAGAAGTTAACCAGGTAAAGATTAGCAAAAGATATCACAGTGAAGGTAGAGGTCAGATAATAAAAGAGATGTATTATATGTCCTAGCTAGAATCTGAACTTTGTCCTTTGAATGGGATCTAAACAAAAAGTGACAATAAAGTTGTGTTTTTGTGTTTCTGCTCTGACTGCAGTGTAAAAAACAAATTTTGCAGCTAGGAATAGAATATGGAACTCTAGAGGACAGTTAAGACTGGTAAGAAGCAGCATGTTTAAGTGAGAAATGTTTTGAACCTAATTTCAGCCTTCAAATCATAAATTCCTATTAGCAATTTTTCTATGTAAGTAGCTGGTTAGCATAAAAAGCACTGAAAGTACTTGACATCACTTTTATTTAAAGCAAAGTGTACCTTATCTTAGAACAAGAGAGGTCATTCACCTGGCTACATTTATGTCTGCAGTGCCTTTTCCAAGTTTTGAAAGTATATTATTATTGTGGGTAGGATACAGAGCTAAGTGACCAGTGTTCCCAGTAACACATTTTAACTTTGTATAGGGAGTGTTGTGGTGACATTGCATACCAGTATCTTAGTAAAAAAAGATTGCTATCACATGCAAAGCCACTGTTATACAGAAGACTACCCTTGCAATTTGTTGATACTTAAACAGCTTGTTTACCATTAGAGCCCCAGAATAGGCAGTGAGATGGCAAATCACTGATGAGGCTGGGAACAAGGGAATGCAGAAGACAAAAGTAGCTGTGTGTCTCTTGAAATCTGTTTTGTTTGTAGAAGACAAAAGCTCAGTGCTGTGGGAATTATTTTATCAGAGGGAGCCAATTCTCAGGAAACCTTTATTTTTTTACACCTAGAAGCCTTGGTAGACAATTCAGTGGGTTTGTCTTATATCTGTGTTTAGAAAAAAACACAACTCTTTATTTGTGTCTAACACATGGAGAAAGTGTTCTGTGTCAGGTCACTGTATGTTTTTCCTCATTCTTGAAGAGAAGGCTGAAGAAACCTAAAATGAAAGTGTTTGTTTTGTTACCAGTTGGGAATTTGGGACTAGTAAAGTGATCTCTTAACTGATCTTAAGTATTAGTAAAATGCAACTTTTTTCTTAGGCATGACAGTCATAAACAAGTCTTTTCTTTTGAACCTGGGATCATATAGGACATCCTTGTATTAGTCTTCTATTTATTAGTCTGATGCTGAAAATCTGATCCTAGCCCAAATAGTCCCTAGATCTGTAGGTGGGCTTTTTGTAGCACTGAAGATTGAATCCAGGACCTCCATGCTGAGCTATATCCCCAGCATGTTTTATTTATATATGAAAGAAAAACATATAAATACTAAAATATTAAATTTATTGAGATATCATGAGAATAACACAAGTTACTTTTGGCCTGTACAATCATAAAAGGTGCTCAAAGTGGTGACCATCAGCTTCCAGACATTTCTTAGTATGGTGAACTTGGTCATTGAGATTACTGCACATGCATTTTTAGTTTTTCTCTAAGGGCTGGCAGTATATTGGTTTTCTGTGATACATAACATCCTGTAGGGTTCCCATATGAGAGTAAGATCTGTTGAGAAAATAGTATACTGTTTTTCTTTTCCTGAGGTGTCTATACATTTTTTTGGGTAGAGAGAGAGACATGATCTCTCTGAGTTGCCCAGATTAGGCTAGAATTTGAAGCCCTCCTGCCTCAACCACCCTGAGTGCTGGGATGACAGGTGTATGCCACCAAGTCTGAGTAGCAGTTTCTTGTTTTGTGTGAAACTGTAGCTTTCGTAGTTTGCTGCTCATGTAGCAGAAATTTCTTATATTTAAGTCAGAGATACTCAGAATTACCATTGGCACATCTATTAAATACCTTGCTGGCAGTGTAGCTAAAAGTAATAGGACAGCCAGGTTGTGGTGGTTCCTCCCTGTAAGGCAACAACTCCCAAAGTTGAGGCAAGAGAATCACACTTAGTCTAGGCAACTCAGGCACTGTCTCAGAATTAAAAAAAAATGGATGTAAATCAGTGCTGCCTGGCTTTAATTGCCAGTACTATGGACAGATGGGGTGGTGGGGTCATTTACTGAGGAATGAGTCACATAATATGTAATAGCCTCCCATGGCTGGTCACTTTTAGAATAATTAAATTACTATTTATTTGCTTATGTATTCATTTATTTATTCTCCCTGCCCCCCAGTACTGGGGGTTGAACCTACCCTGCATCCCCAACCATTTTTGTTTACTTTTTATTTTGAGACATGATCTTGTTAAATTAACCCAGGATGGCCTTGAATTTGTGATATTCTTGCCTAAGCCTTCCAAGTATCTGGAACTACAGGCATGTACTACCCACCTGGATCAGTTAAGATACTTCTAGCAGAAATTACCCAAAAATCAAGCAACCAACTGAATAATGAAATAGAACTTTTCTAGTAACAAGGAGTTACACTGACTGTGGTAGGGCAGTTTCAGGGTTGGAAAACTTAGCTGTTAAATGGCATCAGGACTCTGGTTTTTTTTTTCCCATTTTTGGTTTGCCATTCTTGATGATTTGGTTTCAAGGTGGCAGGATGATCGCTGCAGCTGCAAATTTTGTATAGAGTCAGAACAACATCCTGGGAGTGGGGAACCATTGCTTCATTTTGTGTATCTCTATCAACAAGGAAAATTTCTTGGGGTGCCTCAACAACATTCTGACTTCCTCTTCTATGTCTTAAGTCACTTACAAGGGTAAGTGGCAAAGTGCAGTCATCTGATCCCTTTCTCCAATGCATTTCATTTGACCATGGGGAGGAAGGTACCTGAGCAAGTACATAGGTTCTTTTAGAAAGGAAAAAGGCAGATAAATTATTAGGGGATAGAATACAGATTGTGTGCTACCTATATAATTAATATATTTTTCGAAGTATGTGAATCTGAGTAAGGAAATTATAACTCAGACAGTTTCCCTGAGCATACAATGGATGCTCCAAAACTAGGGTGGGCAGTTGATATAGGCATATCCTATTTCAGATTTTATTGTGAACTGCAGGTTTCTATTGCATTGTGTGTTGCAGTCAAGTGTCTTATAGTCACCATCAGTGACATCTAGGAATTTGTCTCTTTCAGTACATACACACAGGAAACTTTCAAATGTTAGTACTTCATAAAATATCAAATGATGTTTTCATATACAAATTCCATTGTGGAATTTCTTTTTTTTTTTTTTTTTTTGGCTTTTTCCTTTTAATTGGTACCAGGGATCGAACTCACGACTGCCTGTGTGCAAGGCAGGCACTTATGCCGCGGAGCTAAATCCCCAGCCCCCGTATTGTGGAATTTCTTAGGAATGTGTATTTTTCTGAATCCTGAGAAAAGGTGTCAAGAAATGTTTCCAGTAGTAAAAATTTTTCTATTAGAATTAATTTTAGTGGTTAATACAGATACTAGACCCTGTCTCCTCCTAAGTAAATATACTCCTTTGTATGGTATTTCAGGAAATGAGTTAGTGACATTGTTTGTTTGTTTGTTTTTGAGACAGGTTGTTACCATGTGGTTCAGCCTTGTCTTAAACATAATGTAGCCAGGGGCTGGGGATTTAGCTAAGACATTTTTGATATGTGAGCCTGTACAGTACTGTAAACTTTGCTATGCGTTCTAAATGTTACATTAGTCATAAACTACCCACTTATACCTGTAAAAGTTTTTCAGCATTTGAAATAATTACCTTAGGCTATTATTCATGTAAATATTAAATATTTTTTCATATAATAAAAGTGTAGATTAACATTTAATAAAGAATAACTTAGATTTTGAGAACTTCAGTTTGTTGTTTTTGAATCCTAAAGTTAATATCTTCTAGGAATTCAGAAACATGAATTCTAAGACGTCAAATAGGTATCTAGAGTTTCAGAAATTCAATGTGGTTGGTTTTCTCTCAGCAGCAGTACCATGAAAGGTCACATGGTGGAGTTGGTGCTTCACAAAAGTAGCTGGTTTTGAATTTCATAAATGAATTTTACTCTTTCAAGCAGGAAAGTTTTGTGGCTTGTGTGAGGGTGTTTTCTTTACTGAAGGTGAAGATGATAGAAATTCCTGTCTAAATTCACCAGTGAAGCCATGTAAGGCTATAATGATTTCTTGGTTAGAATTTTATTTTTATTTATTTATTTTTTAATCAGTACTGGGGATCGAATTCACGACCGCCTGCTTGCAAGGCAGGTGCTTATGCTGCTGAGCTAAATCCCCAGCCCAAGAATTTTATTTGTTTAATCACAATTGTTTCTTTAATCTGTTTTTTTGGTTTTTTTTTTTTTTTTTTTTGTCTTTTTCCTTTTTATCGGTACCAGGGATTGAACTCATGACTGCCTGCTTGCAAGGCAGACACTTATGCCTCTGAGCTAAATCCCCAGCCCCCTTTAATCTGTTTTTTTCCTACATGAACTTCAGTAAGTTGTTCTACAGTTTATTTTAGCCAAAAGGCCAAGAAGTGATAGTAGTGTGTGTTTGTCAAAGAATTTGTCTCTTTCATCAGTGTTTTTCAATTCCTAGAGACAGTTGTTTATTCTTACTGCTGGACTGCTGGCAAATGCTTATAGTCCCAGCTACTTTGGAATCTGAGGCAAGAGGGATGGCATGGAGTAGCATATTGTGGCTGTCTTTTCAAAACCAGAAAATTAGCTTTATGCAGGTGCTAGAATTTTATCACTACTTTAAACTCCCTTTCTATGGCAGGTCCGGAGCTTACCCTCTCCCATCCTCATCTTCAAAGGGGGTGCTAAGAGTCTTTACGTCAGACTTTCCAAGAGGACAGCTATAGCCTCTGATCCACTGGTGTTTGACACTTGTGATACCTTTCCCACAGATAAAGTATTGGAGACTGAACCCAGGGCCTTTTCATCAAGCTGTATCCCTAGTCCCCACCCCACCAATTTGAGACAGTATCTTACTAAGTCATTAAAATGCTCATCATGGGCTCAAGTGATCATCTTGCCTCAGCTTCCCAGAGTATTGGGATTACAGATATGTGCTACCATGCTTGGGCCCTACTGTGACTGGTAAAGTATGTTCTACATCTATATTTTATCTAGCTATTTATAAGGATTGTAGCAGAAGGATTTTTAGATTTTCTGAGTCACTGTCTTGTTAATACAGAAATACTCCCTGTAGAACTTTTCTATTCAGAAATAACTGATACTGAGCATTATCCAAAGGAATTGAAATCTGTGTATTAAGGAGATCTCTACATTCACATGTTTACTGTAACCAATAGGTCCAAAAACCAAGTGACAGAGTCAGCCTGTAATGTGTCCATTAGTGAATACATAAAGAAATAGTGGCATATAATACACAGTGGAATATTATTCAGCCATAAAAATGAGTGAAATTGTATCATTTGCACTGGGTGCTTTATACTAAAGGAAATAAGTACTGAAAGACAAATGCCCCATGTGGTTATTAAAATCTGGGAAGAATGTGGGGAGAGGGAGGGATGGAAAGAAAATAGTTATAGGTCCCAGGGTGTTGGATAAGAGAAATGACTTAGGTTCTTTAGCACACTAGGATAAACATGGTTGGCAAAAACTAATTGGATATCTCAAAATAACTAGTAGAGAAGATTTTGAATGTTCTCAATACAAAGACATATGTCTAAGGTAATAGATAAGCCAAGTATCCCTGTCTGATCATTACACATTATTTACATATATTAAAATATTATACTGTACCTATAAATGTGCACAATAACTATGCACATTTATTAAATTTACATTAAAAATAATGTATTATAGAAAATTAAAAATACATGCATTATAGAAAAACAAAATCAACTGATAGACATACAAAAACAAAACTTTCAGGCTCAAAACAGGATAAAAGAACTAACATCAATATATAGGTAGAATTTTACATATATATATGTAAATGTTTGTATAATGTGTTTACGTTTTAGGCTGGAGACTGTGTACAGTGAATCTGGAAAAACTCCCATTTTGTCTGATGACTAGGAGAAAAGTGACTTGGAAAAAATAGGCTCATTCCAATGATACTAATAGTTGCACATTATAGCTTTAAAAACTATGGTGCTTAGCTGCATATGGTGGTACATGCTTGTATTTCCAACACTCAGGAGAGCAGAGGCAGGAAGAATGCAGAGTTTGAGGCCAACCTGCCTACATAGTGAGTTCAGGATTAGCCCAAACTACATACATAATGCAACCCTGTCTCAAAAAACAAAAAGAAATAAACAAAAAAATTTGTGCTGCTCAGTTTTAAACTTTGAGAACAAAAATAAAACCACTGCTGTGAACTAAAGAGAAACAATATTTATGTGGCTTATTTCTTTGTTTTGTTTGGTTCAATGAGTTGTTAGTGTTCAGTATAGAAGCTTCAGGTTAATACATAAGCTTTTCATTTACAGTGGTTTCTTGTCAGAAACATGTTATTTTCTTTCAGGAATGAGTAGCGACAGTGACATCGAATGTGATACTGAGAATGAAGAGCAGGAAGAGCACACCATTGTGGGCGGATTTAATGACTCTTTCATGACGCAGCCCCCAGATGAAGGTGCAACATGTGATGTCATTTTACACAGATTAACAAAATCATCCCTGCTGCCTCTTTTTCTTCTTGTGCTGCTGCTGCTTCTACTTATTCTGCTCTGCTACTTTTGCTTCTTTTGCTTGTTTTTTTTAAAAATTATTGTCATTTGTGAGACAAGATTCTTTAATAAACTATATGGTGAGTACTAAAAAAAATTAATAGATAGTATTTGACTTGGTTAGACACTTAGTGAGTGCCACTTCATGCCTGTTCTTATACAGCCAGTAACCTGAGAATGGCTTTAAATTATAAAGAGTTGTAGGAAACAAAGAATTTTGTTAATACAGGAGGAGGATGCCAGGGATCAAAATCATGACCTCACACTTGCTAGGCAGGCACTTGTGCTGCTAAGTTAAATTCCCAGCCCTGGAAACCAAAAGAATTTTAAAAGAGAATTTGTGGCCTTTTGTGCTAAATATGTATGTTCTGCCCCTTTATAGAAAATGTTTGCCAATAACGCTTCAGCTGTTTGATTTGCTTTCTTGTTTTCAGATTTTTTTTTGTAGCTTACTATAATTTTAAAATAACCTAGATTCCTTAGAAATGCATGTAGATTATGGAATTACCAGTTTTTTCTTATTTTACTGGGTTTTGAACTCAGGAATTTACATGTGCTAAGCAAGCACTCTACCACTGATCTACATCTTGAGTCCGGAACCATCAATTTTTGTTTCTTTTCTCTCGAGAAAATTCTTAGGGATAGTATCACCAACAGAATCTTGTTTTTTATTTTGTTCTGTATTTATGTAGATTCCTTTTACTGAAATGAGGTAGTATTTTTGGTTTTTATTATGCTTTACTTTTCACTTAAATATTTTTTTCATTTGAAATTTTTTATGGCAACCTAGTAGTCTGTCAAATGATATACCATAACCATTCCACTGGGAAGCACTTTTCTAAAATACAGATTAAACAATAAAATAATATGAAATGAGAGAAATACTAATTAGGCTATTTAGGAGCCTAAATAGCCACCTGAGCATTCCTTTGCAAAATTTCCTGAAATGACAACATCCTTAGGGTTATACCAATTGTTACCTTTTATTTTACATATTTTACTAATGCCCTAGTTTCTTTTTCAATACAGAACCAAGTCATTTGGTGATTTGTAAGTACTAAGGCACTTTTAGTAATTTCCTCTGCTCTAGATTTGGGGCAAGTTATTTTAAGTGATGATGGGGTTTTGCCATATTTGCAAATTTGTATACTTTTATTGGCTTTAAAATACATTGTATGTTCACAGTATGAGTCTTGAGTGTTTATCATCCTTTCTTGTTCCTTTCTTCAGCTGCCCCTAAGTGTGCTCAGGAATGTGAGGCAGTACCTTTCAGCTTCTGTTGTCGGTATCTGTTACATGTTTTGGTTTTTGTCCTTCATTTTCCCTTTGTATTTGCTTACATATAACTCAAATAATAACCCTGCACAACTTTACCCTTTCAATAACATTTCTTAAGATCATTTATAAAGGCTTGAGAAAGAAAATACACCTTGTTGTGGTGTCTGCCTGTGATTTTAAAAATTTTTATCTTTTATTCTTTTCTTAGATTCTCATCCCAGTTTCCCTGATGTTGAACAAGTAGACCCTGAAAATCTCCACTTCAGTACTGACGAAAACAGTGGAAGGTAATTGCCAGATGGACTTACAAGCTACCTTGACCCTGAAAATTTATTGTAGTTGGTGCTCAAATTTGTCATCAATCATATAATCAGATTTAGTTGCTTTTTGTCATCATCTATACCTATGATAGTAATTCAGGAACTGTTACAAAGCAGCACAATTCTACTAAAAGACACAGGGAAAAATTAACAGTGTGGGAAGAGTTCTAATATAGTAAAATAGTAGTGTTGCCCTCCATTAATTTTAGCAAATTAATACATTCACAGAAGGCAGTTTGTATTCAAAACAGAAGGCCAGCCCACTGCCAGAAAGTGTATTGAGAGGCATGCAGTAAATTGTTCATTGCTGGTACTTTTCTGTCTTTGGCTGGATACTCAGTTTTGTTTACATAACTACCTTAATATTTTGGGGTTTAATCACAGTTTATAGTTTCACTACGTTCTATAGATTAGTGAACCAAAAAACTAGTTATTGATTCTGTTATGTAGAAACTTTACATGACTAACCAAAGTAACACTAAACTAAATCTTGTTTCTGGAGCACGTTGACAGCCTAAAATTTATTTATTTACCTTTTCTGTATTGTTGAAGTGCAGGCACATTGTTTAATAGCACATCATCTTTTGGCAAATGTAATTTAAAATGAATTAAGTTAATGTGGATTAGTTATATTCCTGATTATATGTAAGATTATTTTAAAATTTTTCGTTTTTTAATACCTTTTAAAGTATAACTATAGTGCAACAAATAATTTAAAATTGTCTTCTTTATTTTCATTAGTTGGAAATTGATGTCAGTGTCAGTAAAGACTCATATTGCAGAGTGACTTTGGAATGAAACTGTGATATATAAGGTTTTCTTTCATACTCATAAATAATCCCTACCCTTAAATTGCCAAACTTCACCATTGTGCTCCATTGAGCTGCTATATATTTATGAAAATTACACTGAAAGTTGACCAAGAGACTATTTGAAAAAGCATGAATACCTGTATGTACATGTGAGAGATGTTGCATCAGCTTATATTTTACTTCCTATTGTTCATTTTTTTCATATCTGATGTCTTGCTTGAATGCTGTGATGCAGTCTACTTATTTTCAAAATAGTTTGCACTTTTTTTGTTAATAAAAGTTACTTGAGCAAATATGCCTCTGAAGTTTATTAAAAATGGGGAGTACCTTGTTTCTCTTCAAAATAAAAAAAAAATGCGGACTAGAAACTTCTTTTTTTCTGTTCTACTGCATGTGCCTGTTTAGTTTTATGGACAAGATCATTTTGTAAAGAGGGGCAATGGGCAACTTCTATCCTAGTCATTGTATGATCATAACAAAACTCCAAAGACCAAAAAAGTTATCATCTATGAAGAAACATAGATGATAACTTTTTTTTTTTTTCTTTTGTGTTTTTGAGACAAGGTTTCACTGTGCAGTTGAAGGCAATCTTGGATTTAATTTGTAGCCCAGATTGCCCTCAAACTAACAGTGATCCTCCTGTCTTGGCCTCCTAAATGCTGAGATTACAGGCATCTGCCACTATGCCTGACCGTAGTGGATACTTGTTAAGTTTTAGTAGTGGAGTCTTTGGAAAATACAATTCTTCCCCTGGCTTCTACTCAACCTACATATGAAGTCTGTACCCAGTTCTTTTAAAAACAGTCCTAAATTGCTAAGGTTGGCCTCAAACTTCTGGATTCCAGTGATCTTCCTGCCTCAGTCTCTGGAGTAGATAGGCTGCCGGTAGTGTACCCATTTCTTTAGTGAGGGCAAATACTCTGGTGCTATCTGTCTTGCTTGAGGCAGCATGCTTACTTTGGCTATGCTAGATTTCAGGTAACAGTGAGAAGAAAGAGGCAAGAGAAAGAATCCCTTGCTCTACTTTGCTTGCCACTCCTGTGTGCGCTAATAGTAGTATTCACTGTTTCCTCCTTACCCCCTTTTCTGCTGAAATATCTAGTTTCTTCTCAAATGTTTTTATCTTAATCTTACAAAATTTATTTTTTATAGTTTATTGTTGTTTTCCATGATGGGAGTTGAACCCAGAGCTTCCAGTGTGCTAGGCAAAAGCTCTACCATTGAACTACACTGCCAGCCCTTAATTGGTTTCTCTTAGGCCTAAAGCATAGTGGTAATATTTGTGTTGGGGACAAACATATAATCTGTGGACAACTTACCACTTCAGTCATTGAATCTTTCAGAAACATTTTAGATGGATGAATTGTGTATCCTTATCCTTTGGCAGATGAACCTGAGCTTTAGGGAAATCATCTGACTCTCCTCTCTTTGAAGTTTCAGAATGGGGATGGGATGGATTGCTAGTGTAGTGCTTTTACAGCACATCACACAGGAATCAAACGCAATGTTTTTGTACCTAGTAATTAAAACCCTAAAGACTGTCCTATTTTTTAACTTTTATTTTAAGATGATTTTAGATTTGCAGGAATTGGAAAAATTGTGAGAATTTCCTTACACACTTTGCCCAGCTTCTCCTTTTTAAAATACCTTACATAAGTTTGGAACAATGAGCAAAATTAACATCTTAATCTTGGTTGCAGTTCTGTTACCCAGGTTCCACCAGTTGTTTCACTACAGGCCTTTTCCCATTCTAGGACTCAGGTCAAGGCTTCCACATTGCATTTTGTTATGTCTTCCTTAGTATGCTGTAGTCTATGATGGTTCCACAATTTTTTCTCGCTTTCTTAACTGTGATTTTCTCTTTAAAGGACCGATTTATTTTAGAGAATGCTCTTCCATTTGATTTGTCAGGTGCTTGCTCATATTCATTTGAGGAGATGGTGTATTGATAAGGCTACAGTGGAGGAAGTGTGCCCTTCTCTGGGCATCGTGTCAAGGGGCGTATGATGTTGACATTTATTATTGGCAGTGTTAACCTTTATTAATTGGTTAAAGTGATGTCTGCTAGGATTCTCTATAGTATTTGAAACAGATACTTGGAACATTGCAGGTACCTGTTTCTACTCAACTCTTACCCATTAAGTTTTGCACTCATTAGTAGATTTTGTCCATAGTGATTATTACTGCAGTATTCTAATGGTACTTTTCTTTTTTTTTTCTTTCTCTTTTTTTTATGATAGCTTTTTAAAAATTTTTGTTAGTACCTGTTTACGGTACATGATTATCATTCTGGAGAGTTGGTACGTGCACTTGACACATCTTAATTTTCTTTCATTCCCTTCCCCTTGCCTCCTTTCTCTAATGGTACTTTTCTGGTTCCCTAATTAGGTCTGTATTTTTTTAGACTTCTGTAAGGAGCAGATGCTTTATTCTTTGAATTATGATCTAGTGCTATAATTTTTTGGCTTGTTTCAGTTTTGGCCATTAGAAGATCTTTTCAGTTTGGTTTCAGTGTCCTTTTGATAGATCCTTTTCTTGGTTTTTGTTTTTGAATTTTTTTGTTTTATTTGTTCTATATTTTAAGTTTCTCCTTATTTTGTTCCCTCTCTCCTTCCTTCCTTCCTTCCCTCCCTCCCTCCCTCCCTCCCCAGAGGTTGCTCCAAGCTCACCTTAAGTTTGCCCTGCCCTGAGCATGGGATCAACTATTTCCCGTGGTTCCTTTTATTGGAGAATAGTATTTGGGAACAAAGATCTGAGTGCTAATGTGCTGATTGTTACTAGAACATCACTGCTTCTAGTCTGTTTTAGTCAGTAGATGATTGCCTGTTCATGCAAATTATACATTTATATGTATTTCTGTGTCAGTGAGTATATAAAACTTTGTTTTTAAAGAAATTCTGTGATTCTATGTTGATACCTACATCACTACAGCTCTTCAGGGCTCATTCTAGCCTTTTTTCTTATTTGAAATATCTAATGGGGACAAACCTATCTTAGTTACAGTGTATTTACTTACTTGTTCAATCCTGGTTAAAAAATAAAAAAGATACTTTCAGAAATGTTGAGCCATACTCTTGTGTGAAAAATTTATCACCTAGATTACAGATTCTAATGCTTACCTATGGTTGGTTTTTGTTTGTTTGTTTGGTTTTTATTTCGTTCTTGAGATGGGATTTTCAAATGTTTCCCAGACTCATTTGAATTCCTGAGTGCAAGTGATCATCCTTCTTCAGGCTTTCCAGTAGCTGGGCCTCAGGCACATAAAATTGCACCCAAGTACTGCAGTTACTTTTCTCATCACCGTTTGAGTATAATGTCAAAATAGATTTAAGATTTATTTAGGTTTCTAGATTGAAAATTAACATTGCTTCCTTTCCTATCCTCTCTATTATGATTATGTGATTCATTTGTAATACTGTTAGATACATCATTGTAGTCTGCATTCTGTCCTCCCACACACATCCTTGTTGACTTAATTTACATACATTAAAATTTAAGCTTTCTGGTATGTGGTTCTGTGGATTTTGACAAGTGTTGTGTTATGTGCCAAATAGTATATAGAGCATTTTGGCTGTCCTAAAAATTCTCTAGTCATGCCTTTTATACACAGCTGCCACCACCCCATACCACTGCCACCAAATTCCTGGACATCACTGATTTATTATCTTTGCTTTTAGTTTCCTTTTCCAAAGAGTCATATAAATGGAACACAAAATATATGGCTCTTCATATAACAAAATGCAATTAAATTTCATCTCTCTTATGTGAATCAGACTTAATTTCTTTTTGATTGTTGAGTAGTATTACATTATATAGTTATGCCACTGTTTGTTTATTTATCCATTGCAAGACATAAGAGTTGTGACTAAGGATGTTTACGAAACTTACAAACACTAGTGTACGGATTCTTATGTAAGCATAAAATATTCTCCATGATATTAAATCCCCATGGGTGGGGTTGTCATGTGTGATATAGGATTGGCTGGCCTCTTTCTGGATTCTTGAGAAACACCCTGTAATTTGGAATTCCTTAAGTAATAAAGAATCATTTGGGCTGGGGATTTAACTGAGCAGCATAAGCACCTGCCTGGCAAGTACAAGGTCATGAGTTTTACCCCGTACCAAAAAAAAAAAAAAAAAAAAAAAGAATCAATTTATGGTGGACCTAGTTGATCTAACAAAATGACTCAGAATATGAACTTCATGCCCGAAGGGCAAGCTAGGTGATTAGAATAAGGTTACTAGCCTAATTGCCACTTAATCAGCCATGCTTGCATATTGAAATTTCAGTACAAAACTCTGGATATTAAAGCCTGAAGGAGCTTCTCTGGTTGACAGCATTACATCACAGTAGTTGAGTATGCTATTAAGGTAGCTTACTGAGGAGAAGGCATCTTCACTTTTGGAACCTTCACAGATCTCTGTATGCCTCTCGTTCAGCTGCTTTGTATTTATATCCTTTTGTTATAAAATTGTGATCATAAGTATAGTGCTTTCCTGGGTGTTATTCATTGTAATGGGTTACAAACCTAAATGGAATGGTGGGAACCCCTAAACTTGCATCCAGCTGCTATCCAAAAGTGGCAGTGGCTTAGGGGGAACCTCTGGGCTTGAAGCTGGTGTCTGAAGTGAGGATAGCCTCATGGAAGACTCAGCCCTAAACCTGGGATATCAGTCTATAATTGTATCTGACTTGGTATCAATACACTGATGCTGAAGTCATGAGTCTTCTCTGGAAAATAATATGTAGCACTGCCAAGTTTGGAGTAGGTTTCTCTTTCTTAGCTGTGGTGTTTTTACAGTTTATTCTGCTTGCTGTCCTCTGAGTTTCTTGGATCTGTGATTTTGCATGTATCATTAATTTGGGAAAAGTTTGAGCCATTATTGCTTATACCCATTACCCTTCTCTTTTCCTTCTAGGATTCTAGTTATGCCTACATTACACTGGTATTGTCATAGCATTTATATGTGTGCTCTTTCTGAGTTTTTTGTTTGTCTTTTTTTTTTTTTAACTGTTGTGGTTCAGTTAAAGTTTTGGGGTGCGAAGGAAGTTTTGTGTATATTTGTGTTTTGCAGAGCTTAGAATACAGTCATTTGCCACCAAACCTAAGTAGGGCCATTGTTGTTGACTTTCAGGTTTATTAATTGAACCCCTACAAAACTGATCCAGCCAGTCAAAGACATTAATCATCTCTGTTATGGTATTTTTCTTTTCTAACCTTTCTATTACACTTTGTTTCTCTACCCACATCACCCATATGATCTTACATGTTACTATAATTTTTCCCTAATATATTAATCATATTTATTGAAAATTATCTCTCAGGCCAGGAACGTAGCTTAGTGGTAGAGCACTTGCTTAGCATACCTGAGGCCCTGTGTTTCATTCCAGTGTGTGCGCGCACACACACACACACACACACACACACACACACACAGCCATGGTGGTGCATGCTTGGTGTTGGCGATTGCTTCATCTATATAGAGTATTGCCATCTATATAGAGTTTTTTGCCTTTTCATATACCTCTGTATATTTTGCTAAAAGTAATACAACTAATGTAGAACAGTAGACACTTTGATGAATAGATACTTAATGCCCAAAAATAAGCATGCATTTTTTTTTCTTCTTACACCTTCATTGCAGAGGTTGTATTAATCTAGTAGAGTTATGCTTGTTTTAAGACTTGCTGTAGCTATGAATAACTTTAGTGATTTCAGGTTCCTACAGCAGTACATTATTGTATTGCTGATAGTGGCTAGTTTGAGCGAACAGTGCCTATCCTGAGCTTTTCATTGTCCTGTGACTTGGACAAGATCCCCCCCACCCTATGGTCACATTTACTTCTGAGCTAAACCTTGCCCCTCTGTTCCTTTAGTTCTCTCTTGCTCCTCTCCCAAGAACATTCTGCTGCTGTTTGAAACATGGCTGGGGCTGGTGTTCATGGCTCTAGATTCTGGCAGGGTAGGGTGGGGGTAGTGTCTTAGTTTACTTGGCCTTTCCCGGCTAGTTGCATACATAGTGACATTCCTGCCCCTTCCCTGGGGGTAGGATTCTTCTTCCCTGTTGGCTTCCTTGGCTACAGTGACACCGGTGTCTTGAGGGGAGTAGTATTTCTGGACCCCCTTCCTACCTCAAGTGGAATACCTTCTTTTCCATAGATCAGGTTGACTTTCTGTACCTTTCTCCAAGGATGCTGGGTACCTCTCCTGAACCTTCCCCACAGCGGTACCTAAGAGTTCTTTCCACTCTTTTCTGTGAGCCCTTGGTAGAGATTGTGTAGAAAAAGTCTGCAAGAGGATGCAGACTCTAGCAATTTCTGTCACACTTCCCTACCCCATGTTATACTTCCAGCCCATACTGTCCCTTCACTGACGTCATTTTAGCTGAATGTGCTAGTGTTCCCTTTCCCCTGTAGAAGCCTGTTATGCTCAACTTTATTTAGCCACTGTTCAATTTTGGCTTTTCAGTGTTCTTTTTAAAGTCATAATTTGCATTTAATCTAGCTCACTTTCATTGTAAGAGTAGTAGCAGTGTTTCTTTTAGCTCTGCATCTCACAGAGCAGAGTACTATTTTTTCTAAGTTACTTGTTTACCCCAAGTGTCACTTGAGCAAGTGTCATTTCAACCAGTCAACTCTTCAATTGGATAAGCTTGATAAAATTGTCATTTTATATTTTCTGTAATAGTCTTATAAAAATTAATGAAAAAATATGCAATTTTTGGTCATACTGTAAGTTGATAAGTCATTAATATGTATATACTATTAGAGACTAATTTTAAAGCCATACTTAAAAAAAAACTATTTTATGATTTTATCTTTACTTTCAAATTATAAGTATAAAAAGTTTGGAAAACAGAAAACTCCCAAGACCTGTTTTCTTCTTTGCATATTCATTTTATTCTTTACATGGCCATATTTTAAAATTTCTCATTCTATGCGTCTCACATCAGTCAGTAAATACATGCTTCATAGTCTAGATTTATAGAAGTTTTAAAACTCTGTCCAGTGGGGCTAAATGGCAAATGGTAATATCAGCCACTCTGCAGTTTGGGACATAAATCGAGGGGGCTGCTCTGTTTCTAAACCTCTGTCTTCCTTCCATTCCTGTTCAGTGGAGCTCTTCTGAGCCAGAGTCTTCTGCCAGGTCCTGCAACATGTAGTGTCCCTAAGGTGCACCTGGAGGACTGCTTTGTATACTTAGTTTCCTGCTCTGTCAGTACCATGTGACCTGGTGAGGCCCTAGTGGCTGTGCTTGGCTTAACTGTCTGCCCCCATCTTCAGCCTATCACATTACAGTACTGGGACTAGCAAGGGCTTTTTCATCTTTGGTCAAACTCTGGTTACTTGAAAAATGACTTCTCCAAATGTTTGTCACTTCTGACAGATTTTCACATTGATTTCTCTGGTCCAAAACCAGGATCAGAAAGTCAGAACCTCTGTGTGAAGGGCTCTGTTTGTAGCATGAAGGGATGGCACATCTTCCCTAGAGGTCTAATCACTGGGGTAGCATCCTACAGCATAGAGGTATGCTAAACCCAGTGGTCTGTGGAAAAGCACTTTGTTGTTGAAGTTTGGGGTCTCAGCCTAACTTGTTTGAAATATAAGTAAGAAAAGCTCTTCCAAGGCCAACTAAAAATAGATTTCCTAAAGCACAACAGAAATGTTCTTTACTGATTGCTGTTAAAGTAACTGGTGAGTTAGTGGTACAGTCTGTGGAACATGCTGAAGCCCTGGACTCAGTGTCCAGCTGAAAAAAAAAAAAAAAAAAAACCCTGCAGGGTACAGCCTTGTAATCAAAAAGGAAAATGAAGCCAAGATATGGTGGTACATACCTGTAAAGGCATCATTTTGAAAGATGAAACAGTAGTATTTGGAGTTCAAGGCCCGTGAGGACCTCATAGACACTATTTCAATAAATAACACCTTATCCATCCATCTACCTTTAATTTTTTTGGCCAGGGGTCAAACCCAGGACCTCATGCATGCTAGACAAGTGTTACATCACTAAGCTACACATGGTACCCACAATAGTGATTTTCAGTAATTTGATATTGGTAAATTTCTGCCAAGTTCAAATGATTTTTTTTATACCTAATGGCTCACTTAAATCATCTTGTGTGCTATTGCTTCTGAAAGTAAATACTAAATTTTGAACTAAATATTAAATTTTAAGGATTGTTTTCAAAGGTAAACACTTACTTAAAGGTGCTTTTCTATTAATTCATGTTAAAAACTGAATTTAGGGAATTTAAATTTACCATCATTGAGAGTGAGCTAAAAGATCTTAATGGCAAGAATGGATAATGCGGTTTACCTCCCATTCCTTTGGATGCAGGCATCTTGTCTTACTTCTTACACCACTTTTCTGTCCCCTATTACTCCCTCAAGAGCAATCCTCCAAAGGCTTGCACAATTCACCTCTCCTTTTCAAACTAAACAGGAAAAGTGATTGGAAGGAAAGACTTGAGTGGTTGGATTTAGAGTTGTAGGAATTAAGTTCTCGGGAGGTGTGAGGTAGGTCCTGTTTCTTTTCTATTTTAGATACTAACTCTTCTCTCATTCCTTTTCCCCTGGTTAAGTCAGTGGGGAGAACATGTGTAAGATGAAATATCTTGTTTTCTTTCTTTTTTTTTTTTTTTTTGGTACTGGAGATTGAACTCACGACCTCACACTTGCCAGGCAGGTGCTTATGCCACAGAGCTAAATCCTTGGCCCAAAACATCTCTTTTTCTGAGGGGCAGTAATTGTTATAAAAGCACTAAGCACATTTTCTTCATTAAATGTTCCTACTTGCCAGGTGTGACACTTTGTGACTAAATGCAGCCACTCAGGAGGCTGAGGCAGAAGGATCCCAGCTTCAGGGATAATCTGGGCATTTTAGTGAGGTTTGACAAAATTTTAGAAGGTGGTTGGGGATATAGCTCAGTAGCAGAGCACTTGCCTTGCCTGTAAAACCCTTGTTACCACACACACACACACACACACACACACACACACACACACACACACAAAGTTCCTAGGTAAAACTAAAGAAAACTATCATCTTGGAATTTTCTTTGCATTTCTGAGAGAATCTGCCTAATTTTAAGCACTAAATAACAGTGTTCTCTTAAAGAAAAAGACAAAGACAATTGGTTTTTAAATTGCTGGGTTTTATTAAGATTGGCAAAATTTCAACATACTCCTTACTTGAATGAACAGCTTAATAAATAAAATATGATTACAACTGAACTCAAAGGTGATCTGTAGAGCAGGTTTGTAAATTTACTTGGTAAGAAATGTTCACTCTCTTCACTCCATAGAGAATTCATTGCAGAGAAATGTCATAAACAAGAGAAAGCCTGTCTCACCAAAGAGCACCTGCATAGTTTACAGTGATGTATCTAGATTATCTAATACATCAAAGTTCAAGCATTTCCTTTTCATTAGCAACTGGTGTGTCACTCCGGAGATTCCTATCTTATTTGATAATTTCTAATTAGTACCATAAATCATCTTTGAGATAGATAAAATGCTGCTGGAGGAAGTAACAATTCTTTAACAGGCTCTTTAATATGCCTTACGTTGTAATACTGGCGATCATTTTGTTTTGAAAAACATTTAATCTTTTTCAAAGGTGAAAAAACCATTTTTTTGCTAATTCATGACTTAAAAATCTGAAATTAAGGTGTGAACAAAACTTATAGTTTCCCCTTTTATGGCCTTGCTTAAGTGAGAATGGTCATTGAATGAACAAATTGTTTAAAAAATTTGGATCATTTTCTCACTACCTCACCGAGTCTCTGATATGGAAGGAAGTACTTGAACCACAGCAGTTGATCTGTAAACACAGAACTCCTCATGCATCATTTTCATCTGCCCACTGATGTTGCACTTATTACTGGCACAGTGTTACAGCAATGGAGTGTGATTGTCCTGAAAATGCAGTGTTGATACTATACCACTATAAATATGGTCAGAGTTGACTTATTGTTGACATTGATACTGTCCTTGGGAAAGATGTTACCTTCAAGAATTCTCCTAGTTAAATGCAACAGGAACTTTAATTGTATTCTTCAAGGACAATGGATGGCACTTCTAGGTAAAGAAAAGGTATATACATGTGTGTTTCTAACTGACCTCTTGTAGTACAGACCTAATGGGATTAATAGCCCCAGTATTTGGTGCTGTAATGTTGCCTAACCTCAGATGGCCCTCAAAAGTACATGTCTAGAAAGTGAAAAAAGGAAACTTTTAAGGTAGGGAGTGACTCCCTTTGAAACTCACAGTGAATGTACAAGGAATTTGTAATAACTTCATTTGGTGACGTGAAGTCTGTTTCCCTAACCAATACTATACTTTCTTGTTTATATTTTACTATTTCCTATTCTAACAAAACTTGGTTAGCAGGCAGACAAATTGATGCAGTTCATGTTAAATTGAAAAAGGGAGACTGCCCCTCTTCAAGGACTGAGTGTAGAACTTTCACCACCACTAAATTACACAATGAGTAAAAGTACGAAACACATAATTCACAGATTATACCTCAGCATTAAGTTAATATGTAATATATACTTTTATATCTGTCTATTTGTACAATCACCAGATACACCATCATTAAATACAAGTTACAATAATGTATAGATACCATTAGTTAAAGGGTTACTTATTGCTTACGTCAGCAAGCAGCAAATTAAGGGCACAGGATTTGAATGGAAGGGAACTACTTTCTATCACCAGTGGCATTAAAATATAACACTGCATTTCACAAAGCACTGCTTTTTATCTAGTTTATAGAACCATGAGCAGCATGTATCAGACCAATAACCACTATCTTAATATTTATTATAGAATTTTAAAGGACTTACCTTACAAATGGTACCTAACTACCCTATAAATATGCATGTTGTGAACAAATGAATAGTTGCTATTTTTTTACAATATTGAGAACTATTCTATTTCCTAGAGAAAATGAGACATGGAGTTAACACTGCTATATAGTCAGACCTACACATCCCATACCCTTAAAAATGGGTCTGTGTTTGTCCTAGTTTCATCCAGCCATTTTTTCCCTACTGAAAAATCTTACCATTTGCAGCTTCTTTCCTTTCACCTTTATTCTGATCAAAAGCATTATCAGCAGACAATTATGGAAAATTTAGTTTTTTACTTAGCTAAGAGTTTTGGACTATAATATGTACCAATATTCTGCTGCCTTTGTTTTCTTGTTTCTTTAGATAACTTGAGTTGAAACTGACACTGCATCGGAAGGGTTGTCAACAAGATCTAGGCTTCAGAAAATGACAGATATGAGTGAGGCCCATGCATAGGGCAAAGAATCATAACAATGAAAAAAGTTGTCTAATACTATAGTTGGAGTCATGTTTACTCTTTCATCTCTGTCACAAGACTTGAGGAAAAAAATGAATGACTTCAAAGTCAAGAGAAAAACACTGAAAATCTCTACTTACATCCAAATTTTAAAAAATAAAATCTGTAGATTAACAATCAGATTGTTGTTAAAAGCTTTGTTTAAAAATTACTTGATATAGCTATACTGGCACCTGTAATATGCTGCAGTCATCTTTATCTTAAAAACTCAAGAATTATAACCCTGCTCTGTCCAGGGAACTGAAGGTAATTATACTATCATGTAAAAAACATGACTAGGCAGTGGTCATTTGTCAGCAAGAGCACTGAGTGCATCTGACTGTGAGCGATCAGTGCAGTGGGGCCACCATTGGCTAGGGAAGGGTGACATGGAGACATTCGTGATTCTCAGAATCAAGGCTGCTTCGCTGAATGATAGTTTACTTGCTGTTTTTAGTTGAAGATATGCTTCTGGCTTGAAATGGTAGAAATAGCAAAAACCAGATGATTTTAAACTATGAAATACAAATATTGAAATGAAAATTATACATCCTGTTTCTACAGTCTGAATTTGCCTGTAGCAGGACTGGCTTGTCTTCCAGTTAAAACTGAACAGACCTGGCTCTTGGTAATCTGCATTGTCCTTTGCACTTGGCCTTTTGGTTCACTTTAGGCAGTATTTTCAGTCTCTTTCATACCAGTTACTTCATCCCCTTGGGGAAAACAGTTTTAGAGAAGTTGAAACTAGCATTTTTAAATCTTCAAAGCCACTTTATGTTATAGTTGTATATGCCCATTCTGTCTGTGAACTTAAAAAAAAAAGTAGAAAATATACAAATGCTGAGTAGCTTTCTTTTATAAATGGCATTTTGATTCTTTTATATTTGTACCTGACATCATCTCTGTTAAACCAGTTTTATTCCTGAGATGAAGGTACAGTGAAAAACACATTAGCATCATAGATTAAAACAGTGGTTTTCTAAAATGACAAAAAAATTCCACCAAAAGCACCATGACATATATGAAACTCCCAAATAACTACAGCCCTAAGAAACATTTTTAATTCAAAAAATGTTCATAGTATTATGTTACAGGAAAAAAAAAATCTGTAAATTTTGACTATATCTTGCCTCACAAGTCTGAAAAAATAACACCTCTACATTAGCTTTCTACTTTCATTATTACCAGCTAAAACCCTATGGCTTTTAGTCTTTTATCTACCCAAAAGGAGTGAGAGGGATCTTTCACAGACCCCAAGATCTTGAGAGATGTTTCCCAATTAAATTCTTCATTGATTTTTCTGTAGATATATGAGGCACATCAGACCAGATTTCAACACTATACGTCCTGACTGAAATAATTCAAGCTTCCACTAGTGACGTGAAAGGATGGTGGCAGGGGTTGGGGGCAGGTTTAGAGACACATCGCAGGGATCAGTTGTATAATTTTGCTAGTGAAACTGCCAATACTTTTTTTAAAATTTGAAACACTATTTTGAGTTTCCTAGAGATCTATTTACATTTAAGAATTGAGCCAACCATGGATTCATAATGAAGTACATGTGTTTTAGAAATGTCTACCTTGTTTCTACTCTGATAGTGGTGACTTTAATTGAGGGAGACCTAGCTAGCCTACTTTAATGAAAAAGTATTATATTTTACAACTTCTGAAAACATCTGGGCATGGAATATCATTACTCTTTATGGTTTTCTTTATTGTGTTGTCTCTGTACCCTTTCCAGCCATTTTCCCTCCATGGGACAGAACTTCTTACCATCCTATTTTTCTTCCCACTTCGAATAACTGAAGTTAGGTTAATGCCTATTTTGTGGGAAGGCTCTTGAGCAGAGAAAAATGAATAAAACTTTTGCCACCTCTTGGAGTAGTAATAGCATGGATGATAGAATCTATAAATTCTTTTCGCCAGAGATTTGGATGGTTTATTTTCTAACCCAGAACAGACAGGAGACAAAGTCTCCATTCTGTATATCTGCTGCCCTGTGGAACCCAAATTAAAAGAAGCAGAAAACTCTCCAGCACCACTCCATGCATGCAATGATGATTGAACTGATTTTTCCTCCATCATTAGCTCATTATTGAGATTGGCTTTCTTTGGTTCACCAGGACCAAACATTTCAACTGGTGGCAAAAACTGAGCACTGTGAGGTTTGCTTGCTTCTAATTGTGTGAGATCTAGGTAGCCTGGATCTTCCAGCACGTTGATATGGGACCCTGGGCTGAGGCTGGTGCTATCAGTGAATGAATCCACACGCCCATCATAGCCTAGATCGGCTGGTGCTGAGCACTGGTGCTGAGGCCAAGGGCGTTTGCATTCTCCATGATTCTCCTTATCATCCCCACCATCTTCTTGCCCTCCTTGAAAAGAGTTCTCTGTCCAATCTGATTCCTCACTAACATTTACAGCTTTATTCATGTCCCTCAGGAATACCACAATAACAGTGATGTTATCACTTGACCCAGCATCGCGAGCCGATGCCACTAATTTGTGGGCGACCATACTGCTGTCTCCATTGTTTTCTTTCAAGTGATCAGACACAACTTTCACTGCCTCATCAGGGTTCACAGTATCATAGAAGCCATCACAGGCCAGAATGAGGTAGTCTTCAGTCCCATCCAAGACAGTAGAGGCAGAATCTGCATCTCCACAGATATATGGCTTATGTTCAGCATCTCCTGTGGGAATTTGAAAGTAGAGAGATCAGAAGGCAGACTTTGGTTTGCTTGAATGCTTAGAATGTTTATGGCCAACCCAGAAATGATGGTACAAACCTATAATCACAATAGTCTGGGAAGCTGAGGCAGGAAGACTGTAAATTCAAGTTCAGCCTGGGGAAATTAAGCAATTTAGTGAGATCCTGTCTAAACATTTTTTAAAAATTATTTTTTTAAAGGCTCAGTGCAAAGGCCCCTGGGTTCAGTATCCAGTAGCATAAAAGAAAAAAAATTTATATCCAATGACATGAGATAGATTGTAATTTCAGATAAAATGTTTTTAAGTTTTCTGTTAAGTAGCTGTTGCTTATGTCTTAATTCCAGTTGAACAATTACCAATCATTGGGCTAAGTTTTTTGCCTAGCATGTACTGTGAAGCTTGTGCCTCTGGCTATCATTTAGGCTTTGCTGAGTATGACTACAAGTAGGGTAGATCTAAATTTGTTGATGTACTAAAAAATTTGGCCCTACATAGTGGTTAGATTTTATTTAATTGCAATTTGAGTACAAATCCTCTTGAAAAAAACTAGAAGTTCTGATTGTTTTCTTCATTAAACAATTTTTGTTCTATCCTTATTTAGAAATCACTAAATAGCTTCATATTGCAAGCACAGAGGAAGGTTTGCATTCCTAAGGAATTTAAAATATCAGTTGCAACTCCCTCAAGCCAAGAAAATTTGTGGCTTATCCAAGGCTTCATATAGGGAACTAGAATGCAGGTCTTTTAGGCCCTAATCTGCTTGGCTTTCTTTTAATGCTGATTTATTTTAACTTCTAGAGACAAAATATATATGACCATTTTTCTTTTGTCTTTAGAAATTATTACCATGTTCTTCATTTCTTCCTATGTCTCTGATTAATGCCTCTTCTGTCCTTACTACTCATCTGCTCATTCATTAACAACTGTGAGAACCCCTAAAGCCCTCCTGGACCTTTCTCTTCTTGCTTAATTCCTTTACTCAGAGAATCACATTTGAGCCTAGTCTTGAAGTGTAAGGTAGCAACTAGGCAGAGTTCCTTCACTTGGGGGAACAACATAAGCAAAGACAGGCCACTGTTAGGGAGTGGTGTATAATAGAGACTGGAGACCCTGGGCCCACACTGAGCTAGGTTTCTGTCACCACTTACTGAGATAATTGATTACCTGCAGTGCCTTGGGAACATTCAAATCTAGAACGTTACAGGACGCATTCACTGTTTGCTTTCATTGTTTTCCTTTAAGTAGCTGGAAGGAACCTAGTTGGTAGTGGTTAAGGATATCAGCACTGCTGTCAGACTGCCTGGCTCTAAATCCTAGCTTGTTAGCTACACAACTGTCATTAATGACTGTTTTTTCCATTGTACTAAAAGGAACTTTTGACTAGGGGAAGATAAATGAAGATAAACTAAGTTATATGGCTCTATAATCATTATTTCTGTTATCTGTTCTAGGTTCTCTTTTGTCCAAGAAACATCTTTACAACATTTCACACCTATTTAATCCCTAGATAGGCCTGGAAGTTTCAATAGGACCCCTATGGATCACTCTTCTGGGCAATATATACTACCTATCCAGTAGGTTGTGTGACTGTCTACCAGAAAAGACCAAAACAAAAAACAAAAATATGTTAGCCAGGTGTGGGGGTTCACACCTGTAATCCTAGTATTTGGGATAAGATAAGATCACTGTGAGTTCAAAACTGGCTTAGGATAGTGACTTCAAGGCCACCCAGAACTGCATAGTGAGACCCTGTCTCAAAAACAAAACAAAACAAAACACAATAGTTCCTTAATAGAATTACTTAGGTTAGTATATCTGTAAGGTGAGATATTAGTCACCTTAAAGTCCTCAGCTCCACTCCTGTTCTCAAATGTATGACTCCCTCCTCTTACTCAGCTATGCTGTCTTCCATTCATGCACTATTTCTTATAATAGTCAAAACCATCTTCCTCAAGCATGGTTTTGATTTCATGAACTTCACTTCTTTATTATGATGCCTCCCAATACCCTGTTAATTAAAACTTCCAATCATGGGATTGTATTTTCCATCAATCCACTTAATTTCCCACTCTACCTGACTGAATTATCAGTATTTGTTTAATTCCACTTCTAAAAATAAATGTGATCTGAGTCATACTGTTCCCAAAAGTCTTGTTTTAGTGCTACAATTAAAAGACTACTGCAACTGTTACTTTGGAACAGAACATATAAAGATTTGCACAGAGAAAATGCTGCCAAAATTCTGGCTTTTCACCTGCTGTACTGTTGGTGTCAAATTCATGACATTTCGCCCCCAAATTTGGTAGGAGGGCATGAATATCCATTTCATGGTAGAAATGGCAACATCCTTGTGTGTTCAGCCTCCTCTCTCCATGTGCTAGGAAACACATCATGCTTCTGTCAACTTTGGATAATGAATCTGAAGGGCTTATGCAGAGAAGTAATTGAAAAGCTTTTCATCTCCCAAGCTTCATCATTCATCAAATGTCCTTGATTCCTACGCTTCCCTGAAGTTAAAAAAATTTGTGTGTGTGTGTGTGTGTGTGTGTGTGTGTGTGTGTGTGTAGAGATTCACCAAATCCACTGCCATTTACCCAACTCAGAGGTGTCTCTTTTCCTTTCCAAAGCTGTCCTGTGCTGTTGGCCATGTCTTCCTATTTCTCTGACTACGCTCTCATTTTCAGTTTTCCCTTTAATTACTTTCTTTTTCCTACAAATACTCAAATCTAAAATTTCCTCATCCAAAAAACAGAAGCAATAAAAGTAACCTTTTCCCAAATCAACTCTTTCCTCTATCTATCATACTATTTCCTTTATTCCTTTCACAATCAGATTGCCCAGGAAACTAAATCTATGATTGTTCCTGTGATCCTGCCTTTTTCATCACCTTGTTGTCTGTCTGTCTGTCTTTCTTTCTTTCTTCCTTTTTTTTTTTCTTTTGGTACTGGGGATTGAACTCATAACCTATGTATGCCAGGCAGGTGCTTGTGCTGCTGAGCTAAATCCCCAGCCCTGACCTTGTTGTTTTCTATAACCCAATTAGTAGTTTTCACATCTCACAATCTAAAATATTTCTTGCAAGTTTCATCAATTATTTCTTTTTCTTTTTTTTTTTCTTCCAGTCTTTTTTGAAACAGGGTCTCACTGTGCAGTTTAGGCTGCCGTTGAGCTCACTTTGTAGCCCAGGCTGGTCTCAAACTTACAACGATTTTCCTGCCTCAGCCTCATGAGCGCTGGAATTACAGGTGTGCACCACCATGCCAAACTTATTTCCTAATTTTTTAAGTTCCATGTCTCTTTTAAACCCATTTTTCACTTGACCACTATAGCACTCAACACTGTTGGCTGTTTGCTCCTACAAAGCCTCTTTCCATCATATGCATCATATCCCGTCACTTCTCAGCTTCTGATTGTTTCTTGATTTGTCTTTGCTGACTCCCTTCACTTAATAACACTAACATTCACTGTATGCTCCATATGGCCTAAAGTATAGCTCAGGTGATGCACCATTTAATATAAAGATTGTCTGAGCTAGGTACCACTGTTGTTCCTACTTTACCAAGAAGGAAACAGACACTGAGAAGTGAAGTAGATTTCCCAAGGCCCACTCCTTGTCAAGTACAAATCCAGAGTCCATCCACAGTATTATTCTCCCTAAAGTAATAAGCCTGTGCCTTTTTCACAAAACGCACCTTCCCTGGGCAATGTAACCATGCCTATTTTTGCTTCACAGTTACCTAGTATTGCCAAAACAGAATGAGCTTTCAAACCTCTGTCTCAAATCTAGAACTCTCATCTATGCTTCAGATCTGTATTTCCAACTACATATGCTCTTCCAAGTCATCCCAGAATATAAAGTATGTCCTGCCAGCACTGAAGATACAGCTCAGTGACACAAGCACCTGCCTGGCAAGCACAAGTTGCTGAGTTCAATTCCTAGTATAAAAAAAAAAAAAAAATACATACATACATACATACACACACACACACACACACACACACACACACACACACACACACATATATATATATATATATATATATATATATATATATATATATATGCTCCATCCTTCCAGTGACAAATCGGAAACCTGGAAGTTAGCTTTCCCCTTCCCCACGACTGTTTTGTCTCATCAGTTAGGCCCTCTTCCGGATCCCTTTTTAGCCATCCCTAACACTGTAACAAATATATCCACAGACTGCTGAATGATCTCCCAACTGGGTGCTTTATAGTCTAGCTCACCTTCTGTGTTATACCTACGGATATCTCGCATTCACCCTCATCTAGCCTCCTCTGTTTGTCACTATTCTTAACATCCCACACTCTTTCCAACTTCCATGTATTTATATTCCTATATGGGATTTCCTTTCCTCAAAAGCCATTTCCTCTATGACATAGCTAACCTTTTCTATTTTAGACTGTGACTTTTTCAAGGACATTCTGCTTTAGCTTCACCTTGTGTTCCATTTTTAGAAGAAAAAGATGTATCCTCTAGTAAGTTTCTGTTCTAAAACAAGCATTAAAGATAATCTTCAGTCTTCTGACAAAGACAGGTGAGATCAAGAAAAAGAGGTCTTCAGTTAGAGTTGTCAAAAATAATTTTATATAAGAATATATTTAGCAATGAGAAACTTCCCCCTCTGTATATAAGAATGTATTTTAGAAATGAGAAATTTCCCTCCAGAGTTCCTGTTAACTCTCTCAGTGTCAGGTAAAGCTATCAATTTGTTAGGAGGTATGTGTAGAATCTCTTAGCTATTTCTCTTTGAGCTTTCTGCTGCTCATATTTGGGCCACTTCACAGCTTGCCAGCATCTCCCCAAAGAAAGAGTAACTCAGAGCAGTGGGGAAAGAAAATCATTCTTTTTAGATTTTTTTTACTGTTCTGAAACTTTTTGGTAACAATAAACTAAATTTGGAAATTAGATGTGAACTCTATTCATGCTAACCTTAGGTCCAATTATTCCATTTCTTCAGAAAGGCAAAGATTAAGAATCATAGCATGTGTTCATATCACCTATGAAGACAGATGTTGATTTATTCATTTAAAAACTAGGAAGTAAAGGCAAATTACAAAGCCTAAAATAAAGACCCAGGGCCCAAAGCAAGACAAAAAGAAATAGCTCAACTCTTTGAACCTATACCTTTGCATTTTTTCCAGTCAGCTACTTTATCTCTAAGTTTTACATAGTTTCACTGATTTTCACTTTCTTTTGAAAAATTTAAGTCCTAAGGAGGCAGGTTCTTCAAAAGCCAGGGTTATTTGACAAATTACTATAGTATACCTCTGAAAATAGTTTTCATTTAAAAAATTTTTAGTACAATGATCCCTATGAATTCCATTATTTATATTATTTTGAAATTCATTTAAATTATGTAAAAATATTTTTTAAAATATGGATAAAATATAAGGAGAACCATCCATTCTCTGGAAAATACTGATTCAAGTCAAATATGGCCAAAAATAATGCAATGAGGGTAGTTATGGTTGAAAGAGATTTTTAGAGTCAAGGATTTAGCTCAATGGTTCAGTGCCTGCCTGACAAGCATGAGGTGGTCCTGAGTTCAATTCCCAGTACCAAGGGAAAAAGAGATTTATATACTAACAGAAGCTTCTATTTAAAAAAAATACATATGAACTAGTAAATTTGGCATTTCTTGTTATGGCTCCCTTTTTATAATGGAATTTAAGCATATAAATAGGTATCATTAAATAATGAAAAAGAGGCATTATCCAATTGTTATGTGAAACATATAATAAGCATTCTGATACCATAAATCATACCTTGGGTTCCTATGTTTCAGAGTTAATGTGAGACAGTGCACTAGAAGAGTACAGTTTGGAGAAACAAAATTAATTTATTTTTCCTACCTATTGCTCTGGAGACTGACAGGCTTCCATTGACCCTCCAGGCACCAAACCAGACTACACAGCCTCCAAGGGCCTCAATTCGCTGCTTTTCATCCTAAACAGTGATGCAATAAAAAGAAGCAAATAACTGGATTCAAGATTTATTCATCTATTTTGACAATTAACAACAACAGTTAAAAATATTCATTAGCTTCCTGCAAAGGTTCTCTATATTCTTCCTTTGAAGGTGTGCATAGTTGCAGAGATTAATAGCAATAATTGAATGAATCCTAAGGAATCAACTAGAAAACTTTATTGAGACATGTTTTAATAGAAAAAAACCATACTTACCTCTCTATCTGGTTTATGTGGTTTCATTAGTTCAACAGCTTGGCCCTTTCTCACGAGCATAACCTGGGAATCACCCACCCAGGCCACGTGTAGCATGTTGCCTCTGATAAAAGTCACCACTCCTGTGGTCCCACATCTTAAGCTCTGAAAATAGTTTAATACTAGAATTAATGAAAATAACTAGAAAAACCTCACTGAGAAGCAATTGATAATAGAAGTTTTTATGTGAGAAGCAGACTGTAGGTATCATCAAAATAGATGCATTTTAAAAAATTTATTACAGTAAAAGTTACATTGCCACTAACTCCCTCCAAAATACTGCTTTATGCTTTAGAAACATATCCCATCATTCCTTTACTTTCTGAAGCAGTTCTGGAAGTTCTCTCTTGTGAGTATCTTTATGATGAATGCTGCTGCCAAGTGCTATTCAGGCTTATAAAAACATTACTTTATGTCCTCACCCACCTTATTAACCAGATCTGGCACCATGTAAACTTTTGGTTCTTTCCTAAAGTCAAAATGATCATGAAAGGTAAACATTTTGAATTGAGTCTTAGGACATTGAGGCAGCCACAGCAACATAACTAGAGACACATATGAAAGAGGACTTAAAGAACTGCTTTAGGAAGTGGCAAGGATGTAAGTGTGTTTCGAGCCAGGGCCTGGGAGGTAGCATTTGAGGGGAGTTAATGGAAGTGTGTCCTATGTTTGTTTGTTTTTGAAACAGAGTCTCACTATGTAGTCCAGGCTGGCCTTCAACTCACAGCAATCCTTATGCCTCAGCCTCTCGTGCTGGGATTACAGGCATATGCCATTATGCCCAATCTACTGGTATAATAAAATTAAATATTTACTCGTTGCATTTTAATATTAATACAATTTAACAAACAGCAATCCTGTGTTTCTCAGTGTAGTCTTATATTTATGTATATAAACTCATCTGATCTGTGATATACAAAAAGGAGATGATTATTAATCTCATTTTACATACAGAATTTAAAACTGACAGGTTACATGACTTGCCTGAGGGCAAGTATTATACAAAATATAGCTAAAATTCTTTTGGCTTTCGGTTCATTGCTAAATCTACTAAATCAGTCCTTAAAGATTTCTACATTCCAGTCTGTTTCATTACTGACCTGCTATATGTTCAGGGAGATGTCCTACATACAAAATAATATACAAAGCATTTGCCTGGTATATAACAAATGCTCTCAAGAGACCAAGAGATAGCATGCATTCCCTGATGCTTATACCTTTAAAGATAATACCTTCCCTACCATATTTTTAGAAATCTTTGCTTTTGGAACATTGCATAAAGAACTAACAGCCTGGAATTTCACTGTAATAGCTACCACTGTAAAGCTCTTGATCCCACTATGCTGAAATGACATCTCTATTTGACATGAGTCACCACCAAATGAACATGACTTTCTGTTACTAAGGACCTAGCCTAAATTAGAACCAGTGCATCAGGGGTGGTAAAGGACCTCTTGTATCTAATAAGAAAAACAACTTCTTGTTCCCTATATAGGGAAAATTTATTATAAATTCTCACCCACCAATAAAATATCTTCCCACACAGAATGTTTAAAAACTCAGCCCTCTGGAACACACGATAAAGACACTGCAGTGCATATGCCCCGGAGAGAACAGGAGGCAGGGCTGCTTCACAACAGGAATAGCTTCTTATCCCCAGCAGTTAGCAGCACATGGAAGCACAAGAAGGAGCAAAGTAACTGCTGAGACAAACCTGAGTTGTTCAAGGGAACTGTTGGTAGAACTGAGAGATACCAGGAGCCTGACAAAACAAAGGAGGTAAATGGGGAAGCCACAATTTTGAGAATAGGAATAAGCTAGAGGAATAAGAATAAACTAGAGAATGAAAAAACAAAATGATTCTCTTTGTTTTACGGTAGTGATTACAGATCACCTATAAAGGGGCCACTCTTTTCCTCAAGTTAAAACTTCAGAGCCAGCAGCAGCTTCAAGAAAGACCAAGCAGAATACTGATGCTCATGAGATTGGGAAGGTCTTAAGCCAAGAGTTGCATTTTATTTTCTAGCCCCACTTCAATATGTAGTGGTTAATTTAAAGAATTTGCATATTAAATCAAACTTGGGGGTTGGAGTATAGATACAGAATATTTCTCCAATACCAAACACTTCTGAGTAACAATCTTAATGCTTAATCCTACTACTGCTTGTGAGATCAAAGAAATAGATTAAGTGATTACTCTGATCTGTCCAATTACATTTAAAGAGATAAATTTAAGCCATGCCGCAAGAGTGTTATTTTCTGTGTGTATCTAATTCTGTAATTTTAAATATTAAATTTTTTTCTATTGGCCCTCAGTTAAAAATTCAGTATAGAGTACTGTAGTTAATTATATGCTGATACCCAGAATAATCATTAAACTTTTTTTAACTTTTAGATCTTATTATAGAGCCCCTGAATTTCATTCAGAGTAAAAAACACTTAGGTCTGGTTAACCTTAGCAATATAGCATATGAGTTCTGACTTTTCTTCTCATTAAGAAAAAATGAAGGATCATCTAAGGATTCACCCTCCCCAAGGAAATTTTCCCTCAAGAGACATTGAGCAAACACTGCCTATCCATTTAGAACCAAATGTATGGAAGTAATCCCAGTTTCTGTTTCTTTTTTAAAACCATTGTTTTTGTTTTACATTCCCCACATACAGAGCTTATCAGCAAGAGTACTTAGAGACACAGTCCTGCTGTGAACCTGACAGGCAATAGGGAATAAAAGAGGATAAAACTCACCCTCCAAACCCAGCAGTGGTTATAGAAATGAATCCAGAAAAGCCATAGCTTATAAGTTCTATACAGTAGATAACTGTACCCCTCTACAACTAATCCTGAAGAAGGAATTAGATTTAGAACTACAACAGATTGCTTCTCAGCCTTTTGGCTAAAATCAACAACAGAATCCAACACTGTGGGTCGAGAAAATACAGTTTGGATAATGCCTGCCCAGAGAGAAAAAAGTTCAAAAGAGCCCTTCAGCTATATAAAGCCTGGTGAACCCCAATACTGCACTCACAGACAGAAGGGAAGAGAAAATGGCCTACCTCCCTAGCTGCCTTCTGCACAAAGCGCTCGTCAGTGACCCGGAAGGCCCGGCACAGAGCTTCAGCAGGATCATGGGGGAACATTTCCTGGCGTACTAAGTTAACATGTAAATGAATGGAAGCATATATGGCAGCATCCACTCCCCCATGGCCATCAAACACTGCGAAGTAAGCTTGTTCTTCTTGGTCCTGTCAGTACAAACATGGAACAGTTAAGGGGTTGCATACGGTTTGATTCAAATGATCCAATTACCGTAGACATTGTTGCCCATCCTCGTTTACTGCATTTGTCGCTCAGATAATGAGTCTGTGTTTCCCTTTTCTAACATGCTCGACCAATTGCTGAAATACCTGAATATAAGGGCATCTGTGTTTGTACACGAAGCACTGGAACATATCATGCCCAATTAGCTCAGGCTGAAGTGCCCTCTCTTTGAAAGTTGTTGTCTTGTACCATAGAAACCACCCACATACATTTGCTTCAAAATTGCTGTTACAAAGTTGGAAGGGGAGGAAAGAGGAGGTATGAGGTAGAATTGAGGACTTTTTAGAATGTCAGAAAACAATAAAAAACAATTGGCTTTCTAGTGCAAAGCCAATTATGTTCAGCTTGTTTAAAATAGACTTAAAAAATATACATAGTTCTAAAGTGTAATACCTTCTTTGTAAATCATTCATGGTCACATTGAATTCTCACCATAAATAGCACAGTCTCTAGGTAACTAGGTAACTGAACTTGAACCAGACATCTAAGAGCTTTGTGTGACTCTCAACTCTGCTTCACCCCATGACTAAACCAAGATTTAGTTTCACGCTTTTTCATAAGGGCCACCTGCCAGAAGAAGTTCTTCCAATCTTTTGCTTTGCCTTGAAAAAGCCTAACCGTAAGTTTATAATTCAGCCACTAAATACATAGTTTACTTCATCTTCAGCTCAGGTGTTTCAATCTCAGGTCTGCTTTACTTAGGGGATCTGTGACTCAAGTCTTACAGAGTCCTGAGCTCCCTATAGGCATCGATAACAGTTAAGTAATGATTTTCATTTTTAAGTCTGTTTATTTTGCTTAGGCTACCAGGAGCCACAGAGGAGTTCAGGCCCTGTCACTGATCCTTGAAAAGGTCATATTTTCTCTTGTTTCTCTGTGTTAGGTAGAGTGGAGCTGCTATGTCATGGTGGTTGGAAGAAATACTAAAACAGGTTCATTTTGCAGTTGATATAATATCACCTATAGTGCTATTGATGACTAACTTACTAAAAATGGAATTATCTAGGAGTAACCCTGACACATAGAATTGCTATCTGTACTTAAGCAGTATTCATTCTTAAACAACTAAGTTTAGTATTAGAAAGAAGCAAAAGAGACCAAGTGGATTTTTAAAAGAGCTTCTTTTCTAAAAAACAAACAAAAAATGTATTGATGCTTTCCCTATTATAATTAATGAAAATGAAGTATAAAGAAAATATATATAGGGCTGGGGATTTAGCTCAGTGGCATAAGCACGTGCCTTGCAAGTGTGTGGTTGTGAGTTCGATCCCTGGTACTGATAAAAAAAAAAAAAGAAAAAAGAAAAAAAATAGATATCACATATAACCCATACCATCCATAGAAAACCATCAGTTATAGTATCTGGGTTGTTGTTGTTGTTGTTGTTTTGTCTTTTTGAGAGAGGTTCTCAGCTATGTAGTTCAGGCTAGTCTTAAACTCACTTTGTAGCCCAGGCTGTTCCTGCACTCAAACTCACAACATCCTCCTGTCTCAGTCTCCCGAGTGCTGGGGATTATAGGCTTGTGCCACCATGCTTGGCTTTTGTTTTGTTTTGTTTTAGGTTTTTCTAGTGCTTGGGAGTAAACCCAGGACCTTGTGTCTGCTAGGCAAGTGCTGTACCACTGAGCTAAACCTCAATCCTATACATAACATACTTTAAAAAATAAAATTAGAAGCATAGTATACATAAAATTTATGTCCTACTTTTTTCATTTATATTATCATTAGCATTTCCCTATGTCACTAAGTATTGTTCAGAGACACTACTTTTAAAGGCTTATATATCTTATGAGTATATTTTTATATTCATAATTTTCATATTGTTAATGAGTTATATTCATATTGCTAATGAATTAGGTCATTTCAGATGTTTTATTAACAAAATTATGTAAGACTTTATGTAAGACTTTCTGTATTTCTATTTCCTTTTTCTTTCTTAATTTATTTTATTTTATTTGTTTTATTTTTAGTTGAGACAAGGTCTTGTGTATAGTTTAGTTTGGTCTTCAACTCACTAAGTAACCCAGACTGGCCTCAAACTTGTGGTAATCCTCCTGCCTCAGCCTCCCTAGTATTAGTACAACAGGTGTATACCACTTCACCTAGTTCTGTTTTCTTAAGAATTAAAATGAAATTATCATACCAAAGGTATGAAAATTTACAAAACCTCTAAATATTTGTTGCTAAACTGTCCTAAGGTACTCCTTTATGAGTTAGGCCTTTGGATTAACTTTAAATAAGGCAAAATAAAAACCAAGTCAACAGCCAGCAATAAAGCCCTCAAATCTGAATATAATCTTTAAATAAGTATAACAATATGAGAATTGTTTATCACATCGTCTTTGAGTTAGATTTGCATGGGCATGGTATTACAAACAAAGATATTAGGTAATATTTTTATAGGTACCAATTACTAACTTGATCACTTATTAGACCTTGACAACTAAAAGTTAAATTCAGCCACTAAATGAAGGAAATATTGTGATTACTACATTGTAAGTTTTAAGTTATGGATAAATTACTACATTGTAATTTTTAAGTTATGGGCTTCAGTGAAGAAAAGAGGCAAGTGACAGATGAAGGAAACAAACCCACCTCTGTTTGCATGAACATAATACATTTAATAGAAAAGGAAAGAAGGTATCAAGAGAATGGTTATTAAGCTGACAAGGCTTATATCGATCCAATTTGTCAGTCACAAAGATTCATGGAATATGATTTCAACCACTTTCTATCGTAGGCACCAAGATTTTAAAAAGAAAATCACATGAAATAAAAAAAAAATGTTTCAACCTTAAATGTTTGAGTTTTGTGTTGTAGGGACTTAACAAATAGCATTTAATTATACTATAGAAATATTTTCTTTATAAAATAGCTTTTTTGATGTCTAATACTTTTCTTTTTTAACTCATATGTTTATAGAATAGCTCTAAAAGCTTACACAAGAAACTGGTAACTTTCTTTGCCTTCATGGAGAGGAATTAAGTATCTGGATGATACGAGATTTTTATATTTGCAATTTTGAACCTTGTGAACCTATCAAAATAACATAATGGTCCCAGTTTTTATTTGAACTTACTAAAAAATAACATAAAATAGTTCCTTTTCCATAGTCTAATACAGGCAAATTTGTGCCACTTAGCAATCAGTTTTTCTATAACTTATTCAGGACACTATTAGAAATACATAGTTCTCCTTTTCCAGCAGGACAATGAAGGTGTTTGTTTTTTAAAATCTCACTGGTTCTCCAAAAGTGCCCCTTACCTCTAGGTTGAAGAGCATATTAAAGTCGGGAATGCAGACATGTTTGTCCTCCATTTTCCTGCGCATGTTTTTGATGGCATGGATTGATGTCTCATAATAAAGCTGGGGTCTCCTGCGGAGAGGGAAGTCTTTCACCCAGCTGCAGCAAATCTCGTGTAGTTTGCTGAAGACAGACCGGGCCAATTTCACAGTCTCAATCTCTGTGAAAGAAACACAGAAATCTCCAATAAAGAGCTTTATAAAACTGCTTTTCACTCGTCTGCTTAGGAAAGACAGAAGTAGGTCACCTTAGTCAGGTTCCTCTTTAATAGAAGAAATTCACCCTCCTCAAGAAAAATGAAATGCTGCTTCTAAAGAGACAAAATGACAGAGCATCTCTAGTAGAAAATTATCAGCCAGCAGCTGCCACTAAGATACCCTTATGTCATGAGGAGAAAACCTTGAGCCAGGACCAGACCTATTGCAAGGCCTGCTGATTTCAGACGGGAAATGCTCTGGGCCCTGCTCTCAAGTTCGGAGTATTTACTCCTTTTCAGTTACTATCTGAGGGCGGAGCTGCCTAGCTAGAAGAACGACTGAAAGATGAACACTGGCTATCCAGCCAATCAGAATTAGAAAAGGCCCATGAAAACAGACAGTTTGCTTAGAAACTACAGGAATGTTTACCTTATCATTTGTTTGTATCCCCTTCTTTCTTTCTGACCTCCTCTTTAACATAGTTTCCTAACTTTTCTCTCTCTCGTAAATGATCATCATTTGGAACTGAGTTACATATTTTTTCTACTTGATATATCTATTAAGACTTTAGGTAATAGTTTAGTCAGTAGGCTAATTAATAAGTTAAAAGTTTTACATTTCTCTAAGAAAAAAATTATTTCTGTGTGTGCAATTCTAGATAGAAAAAGGCAGACAGCAATCAGAGGAGCAATAGTAATAGAATTCTTCACCACACACGACCCCTAAAAAGAACCGAGTAGCTGGCTTCTGAGGTGAGCTGCATCCTTCAGTAGGCAGAGCAGTGTACAGGCCTGTTAAGCAATGTTGGATGGAACAGGAGAGATTGTATATCACACCCCTTAACCCTCTACTCAAGTCAAGATGAAAATATTGAGATAACCCTGGGAAGATAAGGTTTACTGAGGCCAGTATTTTAGAGGCTCCTCCTACATCTCAGGTTGAAAAGAAAAAACTCTATTGTTTTACTTTGCTAAATCAGATGTAGCTTGACAGCCTGAGAAAATATGTGCCAGATGGGCAATGGCTACAGATGTTTTCTCCAATCAAGAACACAGCCCCGAAGAAGAGACTATATGTTCCTGAACAGCCTGGCAATGGCAACTTGGACTCTCATCTTGCCTTTGCCATAAATCTGTGACCCATGTACCAGTTTCTTAGCAGAATTCTCTTAAGACTATATTCAGAAAACTGACCCCAAGTTTTCTTTTCTTTCTTCAGTAACATAGTATAGGATGGTAAATCTTGTTCTGTGGCTTTGTCCCCCTTAATTTCCTATAACTGAATTCAAGGGTACACTTGAAAGAGAAATGAAGCTCAAAGAGCAGATACAGCCTCAAATATGTACAAGAAGAAAACAAACAGCCCAGCTGAGACTACTGGGTTGGCCAACCCAGTACTACGGTTGTTTTGAGTTTTAGTTACCACGAGCTTTGTTTTGTCAGTGCTAAGGATGGAACCCAGGGCCTTGTTCCAATGAGCCACATCTCCAGCCTAGAAACTTTTTCATCTAGCAATGACCTACTTGAACCACTATAACCAATCTTGTGTCAGTAGCAGGGGAGACCCCAAAAGACAGCCCCTCAAGATGGATGTGTCTGCATTTGACAGTCACATCAGAGGATTATAAAACAGGTGAATTCAGAAACTTTGAGGAAGAATGAGATAAGGTTAAAAAAAAAAAACCATATTATTTACTGATAGGATAGTTTCCAGATTTTCATTATAATAATATAAACCATTATGTCATTCTTTATGTGTTATTCCATTATAGAGGCCTGCATTGTTCAAAGAGATAGCTATTAACTACCTGAGGATATTTGAATTAAATAAAATGTTAGGGTTTTTTGTGGTTTTTTTGGTACCAGGGATTGAACTCATGACCGTGCACTTGCCAGGCAGGTGCTTATGCCGCTGAGCTAAATTTGCTGGCCCAAATAAATGAAAATTTAAGTTCAGCTTCTTGGTCACATTACCTATATTAAAGTGCTTTCTCAATAACCACACGTGGCTAGTGGTTACCACATTGAGCAACACACTTAGGGAATGTTTACATCATTGCACAGTCTGCTGGACAGTACCGACAGCGATTAAATTGGTTAGGAGAAGCAATACCAATTTCCTCTAACACACAAGTAACCACAAGATCTGTCCGGGCTCCCTCTCTGTCCCTCACTTTTGTTTATTACATCTATTATAACAATCACATTTTGTAGCAGGGGCTTTTGCTATATTCGGTGTCTTTAGAATATTTTGTAAGTACATAAAATCATTTTTTTTTTTTTTTTTTTTGCTTTTTCTCCTTTCTTCCCACTTTGCAGAGCTACACCTGGAACCCATGTCCATGAGTGAACAGGCTTGGCAAGTCCTCAACCACTCCAAACCCAATTCTTTCTTTCTTTTCTTTAGAGATGGCCCTCTCTGTATTCAGGATACCCTCAAACCTGGGATCCTCCTGCTCAGCATATTGTTTAGCTAGGGTTACAGGATCACACCACCAAGAGTATCCTCTTCATGCTTCTTAATCATTTTATTCCTGATTATCTTATCCATTTGCTATTTTCAATCAAAACATTGCTTTAATGTGTTTTTTTGCTACCCAGAAAAATGCTTTTTTAAAAAACTTTATCTTGGTCTACATGTATTTTGGGGTAAAATGTGATTGAGATCTAACCAGCAAGAGAATTACATTCCTCTGGTCACAGTGAATAGTTCAGCAATGGAAAACTATGCCAATTTGGACAACTGGAGTGAATTTTGGGACTGATATAAGTAACAGCAACTGAGAAAAGCTCCTTTTATTTTTCTGCTCAATTTGAATTTGGGCAAATGAAGACCTAGTGTTTCTAAGTAGTCATCTGGCCATCACAGGAAGCCTGGTAATTAAATAAAAATGAAGAAAAATGCCAGGTTGCGTTGACAACATTTCAAGGTAGCTGCATGGCCTTTACCCTGGAGGGTTGCCAGTTAAAGCCTGTTTTGCTTCCTGTTTTTTGGGAGTTTGTCTTTTTGTTGTTTTTGTTTTATGTCTTTTTGAGACAGGGTTTCAGTATGCAGTTGAGGCAGGTCTTGAACTCATTTTGCAGCCCAGACTGACCTCAAACTCATAGTGATCCTGTGCTGGGATTACAGGTGTGTGCCACTACATCTAGCAAATCATGCTTTGCTGAAGCCAAACTGATTTGTGTCATTTACAATGAAAATCTCAGGAGTCTAGATGGTAGGTCATCAATAAATTACTCACTGAAAAAAAAAATTACTCACTGAATGAATGAAGTGTAGTCAAGGTGCAATTGTGAGGTAAGGTTTGGTTTGATTTTGTTGAAGTATTGGGGATTGAATCTGGGACCTTTTTGTATGTTTGTGTGTGTGTGACAGGGTGTCAATAAATAGCTCAAACTGACCTCAAGTGCATGATTCTCCTGCCTCAGTCTCCCAGAATGCTGGGATTATAGTCATGTGCTCTCACATCTGCTCTTCAGCAGGTTTTTGTACAAATGTTATGCAAATTATTTTTTCTTTGTGCAATTAAAACATTCATTTAAAAAAGCATTGGGATTATCTCTACTCCATGTGTTTTTTGTCCTTGCCAATTTTTATAATCTTTTCTTACGTAAATTTTGTTCATTTATATTTTTCTAGAAAATATCCAGGTTTTCAAATTTCTTTACACAAATTTTTTATAATTCTTTTGTTTGTTTAGTTTGATTTTGTTTGTGTGTGTGTGTTTGTGTTGGTGGCACTGGGGATTGAACCCAGGATCTCTTCACTACATCTCCAAATCTTCTTTCTTTTTCTTTTTAAAATTTTGGCACAAGGTCTCACTGAGTTGCCCAAGCTGGGTTTGAACTTGCAGTCCTTCTATCTCAGCCTGCCAGAGTAATGGGATTATAGGTATGCATCACCATGCTCCTTGTTTTTAATTTTCATTCAGTTTTTCGAATCAGTTTCAGGTTGTCTAGACAGCAGTTTACCAATTAAATTGATTTGCAAGGTCATTTAGTAAATAATGTTTTAGGAATAACATAAACATGAAAAGAACTTTAATTTTTTTCCCTTATAGTTGTTTCTGGAAACAACTAAGAGGGATAAAAAGGCATGGGATAAAAAGGCATTTCTGTGAGTTCAGGGCCTTTAAGCCAGTGACTACAGGCTTATAGTGTGTTCATTTCCCAATCTAATGTACAGATAAACAATATATTCCTATAGAGATTTTTCCTAAGTGCAGTTCACACTGAATGATTTGGATCAAGTAGATAAAGATTTGAAAGTACATTAGAATTTTAGCATAGTCTGAATCATGGAAAAAGCATGAAGACATTACTGAGTAATCACCTGGAAAAATATAAAATCAGAATGATCAATGATATCTATTGAAACAAAAACCCTTCATTTCACATTTGCTACCCTATGGGGTTCAGAAAATTCTTCCAAACTAGGCACAAAGGGCAGCACTTCAATCTTGCTACATTAAATATTCTTTTGTGTTCTGCTATAGTGAGTGGTATGGGACATCAATATATAAATAATCATCACATGAAAATAAAAAGGGAGTGTGAAAAAGTGAAAGTTGTCCCAAGAAGGAGGCTATCCCTCACAGCTGTACATTACTCATCAGTTGTTAATGTCATTGTACTAAGCTGGAGCTGAGTCAGCTGTCACCCTGGCTGCAGTGAGGCAGAATTTAATCTCTCTTGTCTTTTCAGTACATGCGTCAGCTCCAGAGGAAAGAGCAATGTTTCGTAGCAGGGATTCTATCCAACTTCACTCTGGAACAGTTTGGTTCCAGGTGAATAAATTATCTTCAGTAAAAACAGAATAATTCCTTCTTGATGACTTTCTATCAAAATCTAGAAAGATAAAGGAAGAACAAGAATGTTTATTTTTATATCTTCCTCATATTCTCTGGAATCTAGTTATTCAAATTCATTAATATATGCTGTATTCTTTCTGTACTATGTTTATAGGCAAATGCTTTACATAGAACAAATTAACAACTTTTAAAAAATTTCTAGGTAGTGGGTTGAGGATGTAGCTCAATGGTGGAATATGTGCTTAGCATGCAAATGGCCCTGGATTTGATCCTCAGCAAGTGGAGAGTGGTGATTTTTTAAATAAATCTTTAAGTCCTATCAAATATGTAAAAATTAAAACATTAATAAATATTTCTTTTTCAAGAAACTGACTCTCTCACCAGTGTGGTGGTGCCTGTCTGTCTACACAGCTATTTGAAAGGCTGGTGCAGAAGGATTAAAAGTTCAGGGTAAGCCTGGGTAACTTAGGGAGTGTCTCAAGATAAAAGGGCTGGACTATACCTCAGTAGTAGAACACTTGCCTAGCACGTGCAAGGCCCTAAGTTCAATCCCCAGTAGAAGAAGAGAAGAGAAGAGAAGTGAAGAGAAGAGAAGAGAGAGAGAGAGGAGAGAGAGAGAGAGAGAGATAGAGAGAGAGAGAGAGAGAGAGAAAAGGAGAAAGAGGACCTTATAATCATCTTGACAAAATAAGATGTTCAATGATCCATGTAGTTAAAGCACATATTACATATCTGTCATAAAAAGTTGTATTTATTGGTAAATACAGTAGCTAATATAATTAAGGTTTCTTGAACTTTCTTATTTTTACATCTGACTTTTTACTTGGATTTGTAAAGGTAAGCTAAAAATTGTAAACAGACTTGCTCAACTGCCATACACTTACCGATTAATATCTTTGCTGTGTATCTGTAGTCCCCTTTTTTCCATTATCTAGATATTATTCATGACAATTTCCTGTTGTTTCATTACATTCTATATATAGCACTACTTTTAAAAATACATTTATATTTTATCTTCTTCCTTTTTATTGATCTATTGGAAAAATTGTATTTTTCATCTACTGCTACTATATAATTAGCTGCTGGATAAATACAATTAGATTTAGAATTTTACAGATATTTTCTATGGATCATTACATATGAGAAGATTTTAGTATTTTTCAACAAACATTGTAGAAAAGTACATACCCACAGTTCCTTCTGTGCCTTCGGTCTCCTTTGGGATGTAATGTGCAGACAGGTCACTCTGGAGGACTTCATCTGAGGTGGCTCTGGCCAAGGCTGCAGCCAAAAAGGAAGGGCAGTTACTGAAAGAAAAATAGAAAACTACATTCAGTAAGAATTAGGAAGTAATACATTTATCAGTATTAATAATTACATTAATTATCTCAAAACATAATTATACCTTCAAACAATATTTACTGAGAGCATACCACATGGCAAGCACTGGATACATACTGGTGAACGACAGAGATGGCCCCTTACCTAGATGGACCCACAATCCAGGTTGAGACAGATGACAAACAAAAAGAATATAACTTAAAAATGGGACAAGTTTTATAAAGGAAACAGACAGAATAGAGTGACAATAGTAGAGAGGTGGTACCTACTTAGAATGGCCAGGAATGCCACACTGAAGGCTAACAGACTGAGTAGTGTGGAGGTGCTAAGTCAGGAGAGAACACCTCAGGCATACAGACACTCTATGAAACATAAGCATAGCTAAGGGGCAGAGCTTCAGGGAAGCAAGGTCAGAGGGACAAGCAAGGCAGTTACATAGGCCCTGTGGACCGGGATTTGGTTTTTTCTCAAAAGGTAATGAGAATTTACAATTTTGAGCATGAGAGTGTTTCGTTTATTTTTTTGAGACAATGCCTTACTCTATGTCCAGGCTGGGCTTGAACTCACAGCAATCCTCCTGCCTCAGCCTCCCAAGTGCTTGCACCACACTTCAGTTCCCACTTTTTTTTTTTGTAGTTGTTTTTATAGTGTTGGGGATTTAACCCAGAGCTTCATGTATGCCAGCTATAAACTCTATCATGTTTTACCCCAAGATGCATGAGTCCCCATACTATTTTATTTTATTTTATTTTATTTATTTTATTGGTACCAGGGATCAAACTCATGACCTCTTGCTTGCCAGGCAGGTGTTTACACCACTGAGCTAAATTCCTGGGCCTCCCATACTATTTTAGAACCTTTCCATTCTTCATAAAGATTTCTCTCCAAGTAAGATTTTATGACTACTTTGATTTTAATTTTTTGGTCTTTTGAGATAATATAGTTTTTTGTTTCGTTTTTGTTTCTTTTTGAGGCAAGGGTTTCACAATGCAGTTCAGACAGGTTTTGAACTCATTTTGTAGCCTAGGCTGGCCTTGAACTTAGTGATCCTCCTGCCTTTGCCTCCTGAGTGCTAGGATTACAGGCAGACACCACCATGCCCACCTTATAGTTTGATTTTTTGAGAGACTATATAGATATATAGAGTTCAAGCTGGACACTATGCAGCCCAGGCTGGCCTTGAACTTATGCCAGTTCTGCCTCAGTCTCCTGAATTCTGGGATTATAGGCATATGCCACCATGCCCAGCTTTTACTTTGATTTTTAAAGTATGTTAAAAGTAATGCTCCATAACTTCTAAAATTTAACTGTAAAAGGCCACATGGTTTCATCTTCATTTCTTTCTGTCTCCTCTAGAAGCTCCCTTGTAGACCCTACTCACCATTTTGTGAGGAAGTCCAGAGCAGCCCAGATGGAGAACAGAAACAGGCCCCTGTGGCTATGAGCTGAGTTTGCCCCTCCGCCAATGACCATCAACTGCTTGACATATAAGTATACACAGGCCTTCAGAAGATACTCTGGAACAAAGGGACAGGCTAATTTCTTTGCCCACTCTGAATTACTGACCCAGAGAAACAATAATATAATAAATGATTATTTTATGCAACTAAGTTTTATGACAATTTTTTACAGACTCACAGTCACTGAAAACCCAACATTTAAAATCTTGGTATAGCTGGGCAAAGTAATAATACTTGGGACGCTGAGCCAGTACCACTGTAAGTTTAAGGCCAGCATAAACTATACAGCAAGACCCTGTCTCAAAAAACAAACACCAAGCAAGCAAGCAAGCAAGCAATCATTCCTGGTAGATTCTAACAACCTGTTAAGACTGAAAAGAAATAACAAGATAAAACTGGGTGTTGTGGCATACACCATAATCCCAGCACTCAGGAGGCTGAGGAGGATCATGAGTTTGACTGACAACAGCCTAGGCAACATACTGAGCTCTAGGCCAGTATGAGAAGTGAAACCCTGTTTTTAAAAAGGCAGAATAAGTAAAAGGAGAATAAAGAGTGAATTATTTGGAGGAAATTGTCAATGATGTCATTCTATCAGAGACATCAAATAAGTAAAAAAATGAATACTTGAGTCTAACAGTATGTAAATCATCACTGAGGGCCAAGACAGTTTAGTGGAGGAAAGAACCATTCTTAGAACAGATAGTGCTAGGTCAATTGGATATACATATGTAGAAGAATCAAGCTAGGCCCTTCGCTTACACCACATTAAATAAATTAACTCAAAATGTGTCATCTGAGGCTGGGAACATAGTTCAGTAGAACATTTTGCTAGCATATGCAAGGCCTTGAGTTTAGCCCAAAGCACGAGAGTTGAGGGGAAAAGTGGTAACAATGTTGATGACTTCATGGAGAAATTGGAACCCTTCATATACTGCTCAGTAAAAATGTAAGATGGTGTTACTGTTGTGGCATTTTCTTAAAATTTTAAACATAAAGTTACCATAAGGCCCAGCAATTCCATTTAGAGATACATGTACAGATGAATTAAAATACATCCATACAAAGATTTATACATGAGTGCTGACAAGGTAGATTAGGGCTAGAGAGCATGCCTATCATGTGCAAGACCCTAGGTTCATACTGACTGAGCATGGACGTATTACTCACAATAGCTGAAAAGTAGACACACCCAAGTGACCATCAACTGATGTTGGATAAATGCAGTATTTTATACAATAGAATATTATTCAGTCACACAAAGAAATATAGCAATTATATGTGCTATGGAAAACATACGGTAAATCACAAAATCCAAGACCATTTATTGTAGGTTTCCATTTATCTGAATTGTCCAGAATAGCCAAATCAATAGAAAGAGAGTAGTGGTAGTTCAGGGGTGACAGGCAGGTTGGAGGAGAGGGGAGCAGGGCTAAGGTTGAATCTATCTTTTGTAGAGACAGAATTTTTCTAAAACATTATCAACAACTGAAAATACTGAAACTATTCAAGTGTACATTGTAAATGGTTAGTTGATGCTTGTCGAGAACCACAGAATAGGAGAGGTAAATCAGACCAGAAAGGATTGGTTAGTGTAAGGTAAGGTTTGCACAAAGGGGAAACAGATATAGGATAGTAACTGATAGGAGACATGGGGACAAGTTGTTGCTTTTTTTCTAGGACAGTCTATATATGTCTATATTCTGAATGCATATAAAGTGAAATGATCCAAGAAAGAGAGATTGGTAAGTAATGCCAGACAGAAAGGATGGCAAAGAAGCAGAGGTCTTTCTTTTTTTGTATCAGGAATCGAACTCATGACCTAGTACTTGCCAGTCTGGTGCTTACATTGCTGAGTTAAATCCCTGGCCAAAGCAAAGTTCTTTTTTTTTTTTTTTTTTTTTTAAATTTTATTTAAGGAGAAAAAGGAAAAAAAAAAAGCAGAAAAAGGTACAAGTTATACAGAATTTCAGAAAAAAAATAAACAGTAGGAAATCACTAGTTAATGGATTACATATTGTCATCTTAGAAATATTTGTTCAAGTTACAAAATTAAAGCATATAAAGTAGACATTCAAACAGTGAGACTGCAAACAGTTCTGTTCAATGATCCAACAAAACTCAGTAATATCATCGTCTATTTATACACTTAAATATACATGCAGTTATACCGTTCAGAGCACTTTCTTTTCCTCTTTTTTGTACATTGACTATTACGCATTTTGGGTTTTATTGCTCCCACAGTTCTTATTACTTTTTTTTAGAAAAGAGTAAAACCAAACATGACTTAACAGAACAGAGTCGGTTAAATCAAAAGGGTGGACATAATAGATAATGTAAAAACATAATACAAAGTGATCAACAATGGTTATCATAATGCCTCCCGCTATCTCAAATAGAATTGCCTATATCATCAGTTATAATAAAATTGAACAAAACAGTAAAGAATGAAACCAACAAAACCAAAACATTGGAGACATTACAGGTCTTCAAAAGTAGATAATAGTCAATCAGTATGGGCTCATAATGAATCCCACTATCTTCACAGCTGTTGCCTAAACTTTCGAACCTGGTACTATCAAGCAAAACAGAATAGAGGAACATCAGTCAGAACAAGATGGTGAGAGCAATACAGGGCTTCAAATCAAGTTAATAGAAAATTAAAGTGGGTTACTATAATATATCCTGCTATTTTTTTATTTATTTTTCCCTTAATTAAAAGGATAAAAATAAAAAAGTAATAAAATGGAGATTGAGATAAAAGAGGGCATAACAACAAAACAGTGCAGATCAAAACATAACTATTTAAGCAAAATAGTGTTTCACCACAAGATAATCCCGACATAAAAGTAGTTACCATAGAGTCTCTTTCCTTGAAATCTTTGAGTATAACTTCGTATACTGTAGCATCAAATGTATCAAAACAATGTAAAACCATTCAAGAGAATGACAGTATTACAGGGTATTTAGAATCAACTAACAGATAATGAACTATGGTTTCTGTATAATCTCCTTGTCTATAAAAGTTTTTGTTTACATTATCACATATAATAAAATCCAGTAAGACACAACCTGTTAAGACCTATGGAGAGAGAAGAACAAAAGCTTGATGGGACTTCAAAACAAGACGATACTAAATCAGCACTATCTATTATGACGTCGTTTTCTCCAAAATAGCTGTTCCTATCATCCAATCTTCTCTGCCTCATTTCTCTTGAGCTCTTTTTCTGGCATTAGTTTCTGCTCCATTCATTGTGGCCTCTCTGCCACTATTTCTGGATTCTTCATATTTTTCTTTTTTAGAATATCCTGCAGTATTCTCTGTAGAGTTGAATTGGTGGTTGCATATTCCCCTAGTTCCTCTTTATCCTGGATGCACCTTGTTTTTTCATCAATTTCCAGGGATAGTTGTGCAGGATATCTCAATCTTGGCTGGAGGTTATTATCTTTCAAAGCTTGAATTATTTCCCCCCATACTCTTTGTGATTTGATGGTTTGTGCCAAGA